GCCACTCACCCCTCTTCTTCGTTCTGTGGAAACCCTTTCAAGGAGTTTTGACGTGGAAATTTACTCCTGAGTAAACTTCAACAAGATTCCTTTCAATTTTATTTTTGTTTGGTTACTCATTTCAATGATAATTTTCTAGTCATTTTAGTTTCCATGTACGGTGAAGAAATGCTTTTTGCAAGTCTAAAGTGCCCTTCCATTACAATCCTGATGCAGCCGGGCTGACCAGAGCTTGCCAGAGATCTGCCTCTGGCAGGAAAAATGCTCACACACACCTTTCTTTCCTGTGCGTAGATCATGTATAGTCTGTAAAATGAATCAACCTTAGCTATTTAAACACATTCAAAGTTATGAATGGATCAGAGAATCATGGAAGGGACCCCAAGGAGCATCTAATCCAACTGATTCTCTTCCTCAGCTTCCCTCCAGAATTTCCTTCTCACACAGTAGCAATAACCCACAGGCAGGGCTGTCTTTAGCAGATGCGTTGCTGGGGTGCAAAGATCTGCCCAGTGCTCCCAAATTTAATTTAGCCCCCAAATTAGCTTTTATTATGCTTATGTCAGACACAACGCTTATGCCTTATCTCTTGTTGAAGGGAGGAAAAAGCAACAAACTTTTTTATTTGCTCATTTATTTACAATACACTTATACTTAAGTATACAACACCACCACACTTAAACTTATAAGTATTGTTTAGGCACCTTCTTAGGAGAAACATCAGTCGTGTCAAAGGTGCCTCTGACCCCGCTGCCGCATAGCAGCGCAGCTCAATACAATACGTATCATAATATTCTGGTGTAAAAGGTAATTTTGTGTGCATGGCGCCATTGAGAATGGCAAGCGCCATCGCTGAGTCTGACAAGTGCCACTGTTGTGAATGACAAGCACCGCTGCTGGCGCAGCGCCTCTTTGGTAAATGAGCGCCCCCCAGAATTCAGCACCCCTTGCACCCCGGGTAAAGACGGCCCTGCCCACAGGGGATCCCATCTTCTGCTTCACTGGGAGAGCCACGCAGCCTCTCCAGATTTTCCAACTCTCCCTGCATTGCGTTGTAAATGAGCCTTCTTCAGCTTGGTGAGGAAATACTGGGCTGAATTTATATCTACTGCTTTTTGTATTTTTACTGTTGCTACGATAACTGCTTTTGTTTCTCATGTTTTTGATCTGTTTTATATTTGTTTTATGGTTCTCTTTTGTAGGTTCTTTTAGAAATAATAATAATAATAATAATAATAATAATAATAATAATTAAAACAAAAACCAGTTGCCATTCACTTTTTCATCTTTCTCCCTGGCTGAAGCCCAGACATGCTGGGAGCCTCAATGGCGCTCCTTTGGGGGCTTCATCTGGGGCAGTAAGCCTGTCTAGACACCCCCATCCCACCTACGGCTCTGCTTAAAATGAGTAATGAATTTAAAAAGAATTGAGGGTATTTCTTAGCCACTGCCATGCTTGGTATTTCCCCAAGTCAGTGTTTTCACAGCAAACATCAGGTTGCAGTAAATTGCATTACACTATAAAACATTTTGTTTGTTTTAATCCTGAACTGTGAGCAATGAATGCTATTTATCACCACCTGCTGGAAGCAGTGAAACATGCATCCCATTACACTCTTCCTCCATCCAATGCCATCAGCAGAGATCACAGGAGGTGAAGCACATTCCTCTTACGAAATAAGAGCCTTGCAGTCGGCCAGCACACACGCCTCATTTGGCTGTACAGAGATTCTTGGAAATTTCTGGTACACATCCATAGGAACATTAAGAACTTGGGGATATCCCAACCACCTGTAACTGAAAAAATTACATTCATTTAGCAGTTCTGAGGCCCATAGGGACCACCTGTTGTTTCTTTTTCCTTTTCCAGAAGAGTGTTTAATTAATGATATTAATCATTGTATTATTCATTTTATTAATGATATTAATCTTTTTTCCCCTGTCAGCTTAGCAGCTATCAAAGGTCCTTTCCCCATGTTACTCCTTTTGCAACCAGCAAAACAAGTGGCCTAAAGGAAAAATAAACACATCTTATATTTGCTTAGGGTCACTTTCCTTCTTCCACTTGTAAACAGCAAATTAGGGGGTTACTCTAAAGTCTTCACTGAGTCCTGTCCCTGGCAGAGGAAGAGGAGTGCGGGGGGAGTGCGCCGGCGGCGGCAGCGCAATCCTGCTGGGGTGCCATCGAGGCTGCCCCCCCGCCCACGCTGGGCACCGCGCCCCTGCAGGAGGCGCACCAGGCCCCTGGGATGCATGCCAGCCCCGCCCCGCCTGCTCTCCGCCCCCCCCCCCGGTGCTGGAGCATGAAGCTCCGCCTCTGGTCCCTGGACACCCCAGTCTGCAGAGATTGTGTAGAGAAGCTTTTCTGCAACATCACTCTGGCTACACCAGGATTATTCATCTGGCATTATCCCTACTTTCTTTTAGTCTGTCATGTTCAACTGAGGTCTGTTATAAGAATTTTAAGGTCTCAAATATATAATAAATATTCATAAATGCACACATATCTAAATATATAAACAATGTGTCTGAAATAGTACAGGAGAGCAATCCTGAAGCTGTTTTGACTCTCCCAATGACCTCAAATATTCCTCTGCAGTAAGGGAGGCAAATGGGGAAAGCCTCCCCATTGTCTTTTTGCTTACAAATGCTGTCTTAAGGGTGTATCTGTGTTTGAATAGAGTGAGGCTGTGACCTGGATTCAGGAACTGAAGGATTATCCATCACCAAAGAATGGCCAGGCTGTCCAGATAATGCAATCAGTGACCAGTATTCTGGCGGACATGATTTCTGCAGTAGACCGCCTCCCATGATGCATGTATGATGATTTTGGGGTGGTCTTTGGCTAAGGGGGTTGGCCAATGTCAAAAGTCTTTAAAAGTTCCTGCACACTTTTCTTCAGGGTCTCTCCTTTCTTGGAAAGAGGGAAGGGAACTCTGTTGCAACAGAAAAATAAATACCTCTGGATATGCACACCTCCGGTTGTGTATCCTTCAGGATGAGAGCGCAGCAAACCCGGAAGTATTTTTCTGGGTTTTGCCACATGCACATGCACAGAAACATTCTACCACACTGCACACATGCGCAGAAACAGTCCCTCCAGTTGCAGAAATCTCAGGATCCGACTGGAGCTCCGGAACAGATCCTGGCCGCAACTGGTGGTACCACTGTATTCGCCTTGCTTTCCACTGGATCCTGCCTCCATCCATTCTTAGAAGCATAGAATCAGAGTTGAAAGAGACCACAAGGGCCATCGAGTCCAACCCCCTGCCAAGCAGGAAACACCATCAGAGCACTCCTGACATATGGTTGTCAAGCCTCTGCTTAAAGACCTCCAAAGAAGGAGACTCCACCACACTCCTTGGCAGCAAATTCCACTGTCGAACAGCTCTTACTGCCAGGAAGTTCTTCCTAATGTTTAGGTGGAATCTTCTTTCTTGTAGTTTGGATCCATTGCTCCGTGTCCGCTTCTCTGGAGCAGCAGAAAACAACCTTTCTCCCTCCTCTATGTGACATCCTTTTATATATTGGAACATGGCGATCATATCACCCCTTAACCTCCTCTTCTCCAGGCTAAACATGCCCAGCTCCCTTAGCCGCTCCTCATAAGGCATCGTTTCCAGGCCTTTGACCATTTTGGTTGCCCTCCTCTGGACACGTTCCAGTTTGTCAGTGTCCTTCTTGAACTGTGGTGCCCAGAACTGGACACAGTACTCCAGGTGAGGTCTGACCAGAGCAGAATACAGTGGCACTATTACTTCCCTTGATCTAGATGCTATACTCCTATTGATGCAGCCCAGAATTGCATTGGCTTTAGCTGCTGCGTCACACTGTTGGCTCATGTCAAGTTTGTGGTCAACCAAGACTCCTAGATCCTTTTCACATGTACTGCTCTCAAGCCAGGTGTCCCCCATCTTGTATTTGTGCCTCTCATTTTTTTGCCCAAGTGCAATACTTTACATTTCTCCTGTTAAAATTCATCTTGTTTGTTTTGGCCCAGTTCTCTAATCTGTCAAGGTCGTTTTGAAGTGTGATCCTGTCCTCTGGGGTGTTAGCCACCCCTCCCAGTTTGGTGTCATCTGCAAATTTGATCAGGATGCCCTTGAGTCCATCATCCAAGTTGTTGATAAAGATGTTGAATAAGACTGGGCCCAAGACAGAACCCTGTGGCACCCCACTAGTCACTCTTCTCCAGGATGAAGAGGAACCATTGATGAGCACCCTTTGGGTTCGGTCAGTCAGCCAGTTCAATTAGAAAGTTTTAGCAGCTGAACAGGACAAGAAACCTGAGAAAGTGAGGAATAAGAAGAATAAAGGACTGATTACGACACGGAAAGAACAACGGGAGGAGTGGTAAAGATCAAGGAAATTAAAGGCCTTTGTTAGATTGGACATTTGAAGTCAAATATTATTTAAATTAATAAACTAAAGAAAACCGGCAAGATGGAATTGGGGAGAAATCTGGTCATGAAATGAGACTTCCAAGCTGATAATGTATAGACTGATGGACATGGGGAATTCAAACCGGGAAGGGGAGATTTGAAATCCAAAGGCTGTGTAACCATTTTTGAATTTTTCTATATCTCTTATTTTCTATTTCTTTACATAACTTACGCATGTTATTTTACTTTGATCGGACGTGTTTAAAAAAAGGGAATTTGTGGAAGGAACTGGGGTGGATCTTGGGGAAAATCTTTTTTCTTTTTCTGTTAATGATGTGGGATGGTGGTAAGATTTGTACAATTCAATCTGGATAGTGGGTTAAACAAATTAAGCTTTAAATTGGGAGTGAGAGCTTGTAGAACCAAATTAAGGAAAGGGGAATACAATTGGGGGGGGAGGGGGGGGAGTCCCAGAAAGTAGGGAATGAAAGTAAGGTTTTTAAATATCTTTTTTATTTTGTCTTTTTTCTTTGTATTTTTATATTTTTGGAAACTTTAATAAATATGATTCAAAAAAAAAAAAAAATACAAATCCACTGAGTGGTAGCATAGTCAAGACCGCATTTTACCAGCTTCTTTACAAGAATATCATGGGGCACCTTGTCAAATGCCTTGCTGAAATCAAGGTAGGCTACATCCACTGTGTTCCCTTCATCTACCAGGCTTGTAATTCTGTCAAAAACGAGATCAGGTTAGTCTGACATGACTTATTTTTCAGAAATCCATGCTGACTATTGGTGATCACAGCATTCCTTTCTAGGTGCTCACAGACTGTTTGCTTAATGATCTGCTTCAGAATCTTCCCTGGTATTGATGTCAGACTGACTTGGCGGTAATTATTTGGGTCCTCTCTTTTCCCCTTTTTGAAAATAGGGACAACATTTGCCCTCCTCCAGTCTGCCGGGACTTCGCCTGTTCTCCAGGAATTCTCAAAGATGACTGCCAGTGGTTCTGAGATCACATCTGCCAGTTCTTTTAATACTCTTGGATGCAGTTCATCTGGCCCTGGAGACTTGAATACATCTAAACTAGCCAAGTATTCTTGTACTATCTCCTTAGTTATTCTGGGCTGTGTTTCCTCTGCTGAATCATTTGCTCCAAATTCTTCAGGTCGGGCATTGTTTTCTTTATCAGAGAAGACTGAGGCAAAGAAGGCATTGAGGAGTTCAGCCCTTTCTGTGTCCCCTGTTTGCATTTCACCATCTTCTCCTCTGAGTGACCCCACTGTTTCTTTGTTCTTCCTTTTGCTACGAACATACCCATAAAAGCCTTTTTGTTGCTTTTAACCTCTCTAGCAAGCCTGAGTTCATTCTGTGCTTTAGCTTTTCTGACTTTGTGTCTACACGTGCTGGCTATTTGTTTGAATTCCTCTTTGGTGGTTCCCCCCTTTTCCATTTTTTGTACACATCCTTTTTTTAATCTTAACTCAATTAAAAGTTCTTTAGATAGCCACCCTGGCTTCTTTAGGCACCTTCCATGTTTCCGTCTCATTGGTATTGCCTGACGTTGTGCTTTTACTATCTCCCTCTTAACAAACTCCCAGCCATCATGAACTCCCTTTCCTTTTAGTATTACTGTCCATGGGATCTCACCCAGCACTTCCCTAAGTTTTATGAAGTCGGCTTTCTTAAAGTCAACTGGTCATGGATTTAGGGGACTCAGAGTCCCATGGGGAGTTGGACAGCAAAAGCCAAACCTCAATTTCTACATCAGTCCTTAATCACAATATTGATTTGCTTCTTGCTGCTGTCTATCTATACTGCTTTATGTGTTTATTTGTGCTGCTTTTAGCTGTTACTGACTGCTTTTGCTGCTCTCATCATTTTTATCTGCTTTATTACTAGCATTTTATTGTCCTGTACTGTATTTGAAAGCCACTGTGGGGACTGAAAGAATAGTAGAATAGAAATCCTACGAAGGAACAAATGGACCAAGTAAGCATTCATGGTGTGCTGTATGCTGTAGAACAACATACCTTTACTCAGAAACATGGTTGACTAGCAGCTTGCCACGCCCTCTCATCTGAAAAGCTTCTTCCCTAATTCCAGGGGCTGATGAATGAGCTGATGTGTATCGTGTAGTGAGGGAAATGCAGGGAGATACAGGCTTAGAGCTGGTTCCATGCTCATCCTTTGGCAGCTGTAGCATCAAGCAATGGATCTGCATGTGTGAAAAAGCCACCAGAGATCAAATGTCTCAGAGACAACTTTCATACTACCTCAAGCCCAAATGAGTCAGTTGATACATTTGGCTGTGTCTCACAAAGTGCTGAGTGATCAAGTGACAAGAGATCAAGTGATGCATTCAGAGCAGGACAAGTTCTTGTGCTGGTCTGATCCCCAAATGAGATTTGTGTGTATGCCTGTAGGAGAGCTCCTCTGCCCACCCCCGGATGCACGAGGGAGCGAGGGAGCGGCCTGCTAGCCTCATTTCTGAAGATGACATGTCTGCTTGCCCTGCTGCCCTGGTGATTGTGCCTACAGAATGAAGAACGACCTTCTGTGACCCAGGTGCACACTGAGTCCTTTCTCAGCTACAGCTCAGTGGCTGTAGGCAGAAGGTCCTGGGTTCAATCCCTGGTGCCTCCAAGTTGGCTTGAGAAAAGGCTCTTGTCTGGAACCCTAGAGAGCTGCTGCCAGCCAGTGCACACATTACTGAGCTGATAGGCCAGTGCTGTGACTTGGTCTAAGGCAGCTTCTTTCATTCCTACGCTCCACTGGGGGGTGTATGTGGCTGGTGAGCACATTGGCATTGGGAATGGTGTGGCCAGGGGGCCTTGCCCCCTACCATGCGCTCAGTGTACATATGTGGGCAAAGGAATCTCTGAACGCTCTCAGCCTATTTGTGACATTTCACTAAGCTGGCAGCCAGGCATGGGGATCTCCTGTTGATGGGCCCAATCTGGCCTTCATTCCCCCAGGCCCCATCCATGACTGCACCAGAACTCCTCTCCTCTCATTCTTCTGCAGCTCCTCTTCAAGATTATGCTCCTATTGCTTCCTCCCTAATTTGGCCTCACAGTTGGGAACAAAACTTCCTCCGCCTTCTGATTGGATCTAGCTTCTTTGAGATTAATAAATTGGTTATTGAGCAGAAATTAGCAGGTGATAAATGTCAATCTTCATGTCGTGAGAACCTGCTTCTGCAGTTCAAGCTGCTCTTAAGGGCACAAGAGCAGATGAGGCTGGGATTTTTTCCCCTGGTTAGCTGGCAGCTCCAAGATTGAGGGTTTCATTTCTTGTTGCCATGGCATAACAAATATATTCTGCTTGGGTTGCCAGTTTAAGTGAAAAGCCATTCTGCTTTTACAATTGTATGCTGCTGGTATGAATTTAAAAAGAAGTTGGGATTCATATTTGTACCTTTGCTGTTTTTTTTTTTTTTGAGCACTTCTGAAAGAAACAAATAAAGACCATATCTGTCATCTAATGTAGAACCTTGATTCTCAGTTGAGTCTCAAGACTTGTTCATGTTACACCAAACACAGGTACAATATGTACAATATGCACAGCTCAACTACTATGTACTTCAGTACACAGACTCCACACCTGAATAACTCTACAAGTTTAGAACTCAACCGTTAGTGTACACAGGTACAGAAACTTGACATTATTAAATAGAATCATAGAATTGTAGAGTTGGAAGGGATTCCCAAGGGTCATCTAGTCCAACTCTCTGCAATGCAGGAATCTCCACTAAATCATCCCTGGCAAATGCCTATCCAACCTCTGCTTAAAAACCTCCAAGGAAGGAGAGTTCACAACACCTACTGTTGAACAGCTCCTACTGCTAGTAAGCCAGTTGTCCCCCATCTTATATTTGTGCATTTGGTTCTTCCTGCCTAAGTGCAGAATCTTACATTTGTCCCTGTTGAAATTCATTTTGTTAGCTTGCACCCAGTTCTCCAATCTGTTAAGGTCATGTTGAATCCTAATACTGTCTTCTGCTGCATTAGCTACTCCTCCCAGTTTGGTGTCATCTGCAAATTTGATTTAATCCTAGTTGTTTATAAAGACCTTAAACAAAAGGGGGGCCAGGACAGAATCCTGCAGCATCCCGCTTGTCACTTTTCCCCAGGACACTGAGGAACCATTTATGAGTACTCTTTGGGTTTGGCTGGTCAACCAGCAGTTATCTCATATGTGTGTGTGAGCACATCTTAAGAAACAGCTAACAGCTCGTTCAACACTGCTGTTACCAAATCTGAACCAATAAGAGTTTTTGACCAAAGGGGATGAAATCTTCTCAAAATAATTTGAAAGTGACATATACTCGGAGTCGAGTATGAATTTCATGCTCTTTATTCAGCTCATAGTAGCAATGAATGAAACTTTCCCCAAAACGTCTAACTATATATACATTATTTACACAACGGGCGCCGCTTGATTGGCTAATTCCAGGCTGCTCCTGTAGGCCAATCAGGTTGTGAATTTACTTCCTCCAGAAGCCTGATTGGCTGCTCCTGCAGGCCAATCAGGTCGCTGATTCACTTCCACCTGGAGCTGAATTGGGTGGCTCCTGTGGACCAATCAGACTACAGCATTCTAGATCCTATTGTTCTAGGATTCAGCTCAGTACATAACAGAAAGGATGTAACATGAGATGAAATTATTGTGTTTTAGGACTGGATTGATCAAAAAAGGAAAAGTGTTTTCCTCCCCTCAACCTCAAAAAGAAAGATTTTGTTGTTGTTTACATTCATCATAGCAGAAAGGAAGAGGGTTTAGGGATCATTGTTATTTAAAAATGATTTTATTATTAGGAAAAGATGTGGGGTTGTTGGTGCATGAAGTCCAATATTTGATAGGAAATAAAGCATAACTGTTTGTTCTGCTGTTCCCACTTCTCCAACGACTGTGAAATTCCATGAGCTCAGATTATTTGGAATGAGAGAAGACATTTTCCTATTTTAAAATGTAAGGCTGCCAACATACAGCCCTCACTGGAGGCTTTGTCATGCTGCAACACAATGCTGGATTTGGGGCAGGAGGCAGGGGAAACCAGGGGGCATGTTGCCCAATGGCAGTAGACCTGGCATGGAAGCTGGGACCTAGAAGTGGAAATAAGTAAAAAAATTGAGGGGCGGGGTGGGGCAAAGAGGAAAACGGAGGTTTGAAAAAAGCAGCCTCTGGTAAGACATGGTATTTGACAAATGGAAGGTGAGGGGTGCCCCACTTCGTTTTTCACCAAAATTCCCTCCCCTCTTGAAGTCCCTCTTTCCTTTAAGATTCTGTATCGCAGGGGTTCCCAGTGTGTGCTCCATGGGGCACCAGTAGCCCACAGGCCCCACTGCAGTCCTAAGAGAGGGTAGGACTTTGGGTGAAAAGGGGACACGGCACCTTGATGAATATTATATCTTCTAAGTAAGTCACTGAGGTTTATGGTGTTCTGTTTTGTGATTGAGTTTATTTACAAATATACTGGTTGCACATAAGAGGAGGCAGACAGCTTAAAAACACCAGTGGACAGCCAAAATTCATTGCCCCACACCCACTCCTGGATGGGTGGTGGAAAGGTCCCTTTCCAGATCTTGCAGATTCCCAAAGTCAGCTGTCAGACTCTTTCTGTATGTCTTGCTCAAAAACTGATACTCTTTGTTTACTTTCATAGACACCCACACAGACTTAGACTGCATCATGTGTATGGACCCTGCCCCCTTTTCTGATTGGTTTTCAGAAGACACCAGAGTGGTACTATATCAAGTTACAATGGTCTAACACTGTAGGAATGAATGGGGCAGTCCCTGCACATTCATCTTGGTGTGAGTCTCCCATGCAGCCTCCCGTGAAAGCAAGGGAAACCAGAAGGGAAGGAGGACAGGGATCCTGTAGCTTTAACATTTATATAGAAGAGGGAAATTTGGCCCGCACAGATTGCTATGCAAGGCTGAGAAAATCTGTACCTGCTGAAGTTTCCTGACTTGCTGGAAATTGAACCCAGAACCTTCTCTCTCTAAGCAGATGCTCTACCGCTGATCTATGCCCTTCCCTGTCCTGGGTTTGTGACATTGCACTGGAACAGCCATTCTCAAAATGGCTCTAAACCCTTGGGTGAATTGTACTCCTAGCTTTCACTTTAATGTGTCTCTGTGTTCTGTCGGGTCAATGGCTAGACCTCTCTTGTAGAAATAAACACTTTAGCAATATAATATGGTTCAGCCTTGTGTGCCAACTTCCAGTGAGATTTGTGGTTCTGTAAGAAGTTTTCTTCCCACTCTGCTAGAAAGGTCGGGGGGACAGGGCAAGACATACCCTCCAAACCAATTGACTCTTCTACACTACCCCTAAATGGCAAACCAAACATTCATGAAAAATGAATGACTCAGGAAATTAGTACCTTCTTATGTTTCAGAGAATGAAACGCCACCGGCACCCTTTCGTCGACAGACATAAGTATGTTGATGTGCTGGATACTTTATCTCAAACTACTTATCCTGGTAATTGCCTCGGCAGGCAGCAGCTCCAAGAGCCCTGTGAAATACAGCCAGGATGCCTAGAAGTGAAAAGCCAACTGCCTCACCAAGGAATGGTAATGGCAATTTTAATTATACATCTTATTCCAGCATCCTTTAGGTGCATAATTCTAGTGTTTATAGCTGAAACTCCCTCCCAACATCAGTCTGGGGTGTGCGTGCGTCTGTGTGTGTGTGGGGGGGGGACGTCTGCATTGTCTCTGAAATTTGCTCTCATTTCATTTCCTCTTAGCTTCTTCCTTTCGTTTCGGCAGCCTAGCTATTAACTTGATACTAACTTGTAAATCAAAACTCTGTGTTGGCAATCTCTGTTTTTGAACCACAACTAAGAAAGAGAAAGAATAATAGTAAAAAATCAAATTTTTGGCTCAGTTGAGGCAGATGCCTACTTTCCCACTTATAGGACCTGAATACAATATCTACATTTCTGCATGTGACTTGAATTGTCAGTCATGAGGAGAAAACTTAACAGTTTCCCCAAGATATTGCTGCTGGGACCACAAGCCATTGTTTTGAGCCATGTTTTCAAATATTTTCATCCTGCTTCCAGATATGTGTATCCCTGCAGCTTAAGAAAGAAGGGAAGTCAGAAAGAAGGAAGGAAGGAAGGAAGGAAGGAAGGAAGGAAGGAGAGGGATAGAGAAAGGCATTGCAGAAACAGAGTAACTGGATCCTGGAATGTTTTATTATATTTCATTTCCCTCAGTTAAACCTTACTATAGTTAAAGGTAAAGGGACCCCTGACCATTAGGTCCAGTCATGACCAACTCTGGGGTCTTGCTTTATTGGCCGAGGGAGCTGGCGTACAGCTTCCGGGTCATGTGGCCAGCAGGACTGAGCCGCTTCTGGTGAACCAGAGCAACACACGGAAATGCCATTTACCTTCCCGCCGGAGCGGTATCTATTTATCTACTTGCACTTTGATGTGCTTTCGAACTGCTGGGTTGGCAGGAGCAGGGACTGAGCAATGGGAGCTCACCCCGTCGCGGGGATTTGAACCACCGACCTTCTGATTGGCAAGCTTTAGGCTCTGTGGTTTAACCCACAGTGCCACCCAGTTAAAGTTTCCCATTGATTCACTGTCACTCCCCGAATAGTGCATAGAGTTCAGGAATAGGACTAAGGAGAATTGGAAGCCAAGTCAGACCATTGGTTCCTTTAGCTCAGTATCATCCACAGTGACTGGCACCAGGGTATCAGGCAGTGGTCTCTCCCAAGAGATACCAAGTATTGAACCTGGGGCCTTCCGCAGGCAAGGGCGATGCTCTAGCAATGCACAGCCCTTCCCCAAGGCATTATTCACCAGGCGAATAAGCAACCTGCTTCTTCACATCAACACATTACTCTGCCCATTGGATTCTCTTTTGCTTGTTAGTTATTCTGTGCCACTGTGCTTAATTAAATTCAATCAATTACATTGACGATGTGTTTAAGCCCCGGTTATGAGCAGTGCCTTTTTATGGTACAGATATCAGCATGTTGATTTCTGCAGAATATATACTCCCTGCTTTAATGGCCATTCCAGTGCATATTGTAAGCAGCCAGCTGCTCCCTTACTGCGTGGTTTCATCAGGATCCTCTGTCCATGGGAGTTTTTTCTTTGGCTGAAAGCAGATCACTGAAGGCACTCCTTACAAATAAAGTAAGGTGCCCAACTATAGCATGCATGCAAAGCATCTTTCCAAAAGTCTTCATCACTGCAAGGACTCCATGGCAATTGTAATGATCTTTGTATAATGTGGATCCATTTACTGCCTCCAGGCGAAAGCATATATTCAGACCAAGCAAAAGAACACTCATTTTTGCGTCCCACTCTTGATATTGAATAACATTTTTGCATAATTTGGGAGTGGGGGGAGATTATGCAGATGTTGGTGGAAATTGAAATGACAGAACATGTTACTGGCTTTTTGGAAGGAATTTCTGCTTCTTGCATATATGCCTTTAAAAAAAAATCATCCTGCCAACTTCTGAATAACTCTTGCACAGTCAGAAAACAATAATAATTCTGTTCTTTTCTCAGCATTACATATTTTGCCATTCTTTAATTTCCCACTTTATCAAAGCAGTACTCATTTTGTTCAATGGAGTTTTCACTCAGTAAATTAACATGTACGCCATTGTTTTGAAAAAAGATTTGGGTAGGTTCCTTCAAATGATAAGTGAAAATAGGAAACAATGTGACTGATGGAATGTGGAAAAGTCACAAAAAGCTCACCAGTGGTGAGCCTGCCGCTATGGAATTAGAACAATCTGAAGTTGATGTGACCTGGGAGATCTGTGATTGGGTCTCTTTGCCTTTTTTTTTTTTTTTTTTAGAAAAATACTTTAATGTAGCTATGAGATGGGTTGTGAAACTGGACAAGGGCTACAGCACTGGGGAAAGGGAGAACTGGAGTTAGGATAAGAAGGCCTGTGAAGGGGGAAAAAACCTAGACATCCATTTTGTGCAACTCATTGGTGCATTAATCTTTCAAAGATGAGTATTTTTTTGTGATGTGTATCCTGACCTGCATTGATCTTAATATAAAATCTAACTTCCTGCTCAGATTAATAGTATATGAAACAGATCTCTCCCCACAAAAAATTCACAACAAAAAATAAATAAGTTCACCAGCAGCACAATCCTAGACATGCCTATTTAGAAATAAGCACCTCCTCCCTTTCTCATGATTCTCCTTCATTTCTTTCCACTTGGAACTTGTTCCCTTCTTTCTGTCATGCTAAATCTCTTGCCTCTTTTTATGATAAAACTAAATGACCTAAACTGACCATTTGTTCCACATGTAACGCCTTTCATAAGCATACATATAACCAGCACTTTTTTTTCTAAAAAAATGTTTGGGGTACTGTCATTTTGACTCAAGAAAACCACCATTTTATAGATCAAATCGGGAAAAATAAATACAGTAAATGGACAAAAGTACAAAATTCACAAAATGTTTAGGGGTATGTGTACCCCTGCATCCCACCCCCCAGAAAAAAGCATATAGCCAGCAGTCAGAAGTCATGTTTTGTGATTTTCTAGATGGTTAACAATTTGTTATCAGTTTATTTGGATAAATAAGGTTGTGCTGCATTTGAAAACTGCAGCTACTGTATTAATTTGTTAATGTACAACATTACTACTTCATGGGAACATAGGAAGCTGCCTTATACTATTGGTGCATCTTGCACCAATGGCAGTAGATCTCAAGAATTCCATACAGGTGTGTAACCCATCCTTATCTGGAGATGCCCAGACTGAACCTGTGGTCTTCAGATGCTACAGCTCTTCCCCCATTACTTGTACCTCTTCAGCAATTGTAACTGATGTTTGTACGACTTGTATAGGCCAGAACCAACAGGGGCCGGGCTCTCTGTTGTTAAGGCAGAGTGCTCTATGAGCAAACAAGAATTTCCTGCTGTGCTCAGAATGCAGTGTGCCATTTCAGACTTTTTCCAGGAGAAAGATAAATTCTCCAACCATTTATCAGGAGTGGGCCATTAGCAGTAGCACAGCTCAAATTATTTTAAATGGGACAAAGCTGTCTGCAGGTGGATGCACTTCTGGTCATGCCTAATGTCTTTATGATTTGAATGCTAGAATTGGCCTTTAAATGACTATGCAGAGATGGGAACAATCAGCAGATGCATTACGGATCTGGGAATTAAAGAGCCGCTAAATGGACTTCAGGACACAGAAAACAAAGAGTTTTTACTTTTCCTCCACAGTGAGAATAGAGGTTGACAATGATGAAGGCAGTGCTGCTGAAAGCGAAGAAGGTAAGAATGCCCAGGATAGAGTGTGAGTGAGAGAGAGAGAGAGAGAGAGAGAGAGAGAGAGAGTAAAAAGAGGTTCTATAGATCTCTGCCTTCAACAAGCTGGGCAGGACCCCCAGGCCAGTTCTTCATACACAATGGTTCACACTGCAAAAGAACCAAGATGTCATCACCTACAAAGGGCGGTAGAAATTCAAGAATAATGTCCTCTTGTTGATATGGTACTTAACAAACATGACAGCAACCATGTCACGATTATTTCAATTAACAGTATTAAAATGGCAACCATGTGTTAAATGGAAGTTTTCCCATTTTCAGGGCATACACTCTGTTCCTTAACATTCTGCTTATATTTTTGGAATATGAATTTTATCTGTGATCTTAGGATCATTCCATATATTTCCCTATTTTTCCTCAGTGCAGAAAATGCAACTAGGAAGGCAGTTTTTAACAGAAAAGACAACATATATGCATTGATCTTCCACAGCAAATTTTGGCCTGGCTGCTTTATGCTTTTGAAAACCTCCCATAAGGTGGTGGACCTGACTGATACATATAGTTCCACCTATATGGCTAAAAATAAGAGTACACAGCCTAAACAGTGTAATGTTGGAATGCAATCTGTTGACATCACATTGTGATGATGTCCTCAATCCAGACAAAGCCATCTGTGCGTCGTAAAAAGTCCACATCTAATCTCTACTATAAGAGGCTGATATGGAGAATAGAGCAATAGCATTTAGCACCTTAGAGTTCGTGAGCAGTTTGAAACAGGGCTAAGATTTCATCTATGGCCATTTCTGATAGTTCCACTCACCTGGAGCAGGGAATGGGAAGGACTGGACTCAACCCAAGGGCTCCCTTTACACCTCATAGGTGATATGCACTCCTAGCTTTCAGTCAAGTGTGTGGTTTGTTTGTTTTTGCGGTGCTTAGCATTCCTTGGAGTGGGGCCAAAATTATCCCAATGCTCTGCCCTGGATTTCCAACACAGCTCCAATGCATTGGACCAGCAGTAGTTTGCATTCTTTGTCAGAGCTGAACACTGTACTGGAATTGTGTTTTTCTAGGAAAAACTTTGTTCTATGTCATTCCAATGCTATTTATAAATGGCTGCAACTGCACTGGTTTCTTAATGTCCCATTAAGGTACTATACTCTGAAATGGGGTAGGCAAGTGCGGCACTGCAGGCTTTAACTGGCCACCAAGGCTGTCACAAAATTTTCTCACTTTTCCATTTTTGTTTTGCTACTTTTGTATCTGATCCTTCTGAAGAGCCCAGAGAGGTGCATTGCCTCATAACAGTCCCGGGAAATGCCTGGACAGGCTGGACTTCTGTCCTTTTCACAATTATGTGGAATTAGTAGCAGTTCAGACACGTCACACCTGTTGACATTCATCCTTCTGCATCGCTATTAAAGGTGCAGGAGGAGCCCTGGTCACGTCTGCATCTGTCCACCCTACCTGTGAGGTATGTGAGGCTGCATGGCTAATGCAAGGCTACCGAATATGGTCCATAATGACTGAGAACTGAGGCTGTGGTTTCTCACTGCACCGTGACTGGCCCAGGGATCATTCGCTGCTTTTACTTGGCTTGAAACAATGACATCAGAAAACAATGTTTTGTGTGTGTATGTGTAGGTTTATGTGTGGAGGGGGGGAAGGTGGCTGATATCCAGAGGGAATGTATTTTTGTTCTCTGTTCTTGACAATAAAGAGCAAGAATCTGTTCAGAGAAAGGGAGCGTCAAGTAAGAAAACCAGAGAGAAATATGAAGAGGATGAAGAGGGCGAGGATGAGGATGAAGAGACTGCCGCAGATCGTAGGCGAAAATACAAAAGGCGGAGGATGAAAGATGGTGGATTAGACATCAGCGAATCGGATGGAGAAGGCTGTAAAAGCAGGAAGAACAGAGCCAACCAGATGACCAAGGACGGTGATGAAGAAGATGGGGATAAAAAACGCAAGGACAAGAAAAAAGGGAAAAAGAAAAAAAAGAAAGACAAAAAGAAAAAAGGATCAGGGTAATGCCTTATTATGATGATCTCTTGAATGATGGTTGTGTTAGGCATACTCATAGAATGGTAGAGAGGGGAGGGCTATCAAGGGTCATCTAGTCCAACCCTCTGCAAGGCAGGAATCACAGGGAAAGAATCCCTGACAGACAGTCACCCAACCTGTATGTTTAAAAGCCTCCATTGAAGGAGAGACCATCACCTTCTGAGATGCTCATGGAGCCAGATCTAGACATACTCAGTTCTCATAAAAATTGAGTATTTCCAAAATTTAATTTTGGCCAGAGGGCGTGACACTTTTGAGTGTGTGTTGTGCTCAACAGAGTGCAGTCCACTACACTGAAGGACTGTCGGGGGGCGGCGTTCTCTGTTTGAAAGCATCTTCTATTTGGGCACACACATGTCACCTGGATGCCTTCCACACTGTGCTGAGATACAGTACAGCTTAAATTTGCATCTATGCATATAAATCACCACATGCACATTTTCTGAAAATTGATGTCCTATTTGGCAATGCATAACTGGCCACTCCTGTTCAAAGCTGTGTGTGCAATGTATGTAAGATTCTGAGACCTCAATACCCAAAGGAGAAAGAGCCAAATTAGGCATGTTGCTATGTGCCTATAATTAGTTTTCTAACTAAATAGCCATTGCAAGGGATTGGCGCTAGAAAGGGAATGCAGCTTAGTGTGTGTATTCTCCAGGAGTTCATATGGTCTCTCCCAGCCCAACCTGGAGATGCTGGGGAGCGAACTTGGGACCTTCTGCATGCAAAGCTCCACCGCTGTGCTGCAGCCCTCCCCCTACTCAGAGCTGCTTTGGAAAGTTTTGAGCTTCGCATCTCTTCCTAGTTCCCTGCGTCCTTCACAGTCCTTCCCCAAACCCATGTATTAGTATTAAAATTAATCAAGGCATGAAGACAGTGCAGAAGCAAATGGGTCTGTTTACTTTTCAAATATCTGGCAGCAACTACGTATTTTCAGTTTTTGATTACTGCTGTTGGTGCTCCCACCCAAAATATCTCACATACATTCAGGAATCAATGAAGCAATCTTGATAATCAGGAAGTCATCATCACATTTAGTTTGTTCCTGAAATACAGTAGAAATAATGAGGCAAAAAAACTCATATGTAGTGGGAATGTGCCAGCTATGAGATGTTGTTGTTGTTGTTGTTGTTGTTATTATTATTCCACCCATCTGACTGGGCATCTCCCAACAGAATATTAAAAACACGATGAAACATCATCATATCAGGGCTGGAATGGAAGGGGTGTTAACCTTTTATTCCACTATGGAAAATATTTTACACCAATCATTCTTTTTAAAGCTTTCTATGATGATTGCTCATAGGAACCTGCTGCAGTAGGGTATGTTGAATTTTTCAACTTTCAAATTTCAAAATATGAGGGATGCTAAAAAGTTGTGTCATGATTTGGGAATTCAAAATATATTTTGGTTAAATAAATATAATTTAGTTTTGTTTTGTAAGTAAAATATGTGTAAAATCGCATAGAAATAATGAAAAATGACTGTCAAGTACTTGCAGTTATATAATATATTAATATTATTAATATTTAATATTATATTGCATTACCTGATCTTTTCAGAAGGTAAAATTAAAATCCTGAAAGCATGTTATGTGTTTCTTCATCAAACGTTGACCTTACCAAGCTAAATGTTGTCCAATCAAAAAAATAATAGCAGATTTGAGTTCCTCACACCCAAAAACATATTTTAAAGACCCCTCACTGTCAAAAATTAAGTATCACCCCCCCTAAAATGACATGCCTTACTACTGAAGGTCTAAGCTTTAGTGATATGTTCAAAACGGCACCTCAGAGTTATTATCCTATTTATGGCCAGAGGAATTGATAGGAAAATTTATGCTGAGCTTGTCCAGTCGGAAGATAAATTTCCCAACACTTTCTCAGAGAGGAACCTCACCTCTGGCAGTGTCTTCCTTTCCCCTTTCCTAAGGCCTTTGTCCACGTGTCGGGAGGAAGAGGAGGAGGAACTATGCTGGCAACTTGGCCACTATTTTGTATCCTCCACATGGGCTGCACTGGCATCGTTCTGAGATATTGTGCATGGGAAAGGGAGGCGGAAGCACAATGTTTGGAGCATTCGGAGGGTGGGAATGGTGGTTGCTAATATGTTTTCTGTTTCTTGAAAACAAAAATAACAATACTGCAAAAAAAGAAGAAGAGCATTCTCTCAGGACAGCGGAGGGCGTGTGTGCCGTGTCCCATTGGAGCAGTGGTGCTGGCACTCGCCCCTCTTCTGATTGGAAATGCTTCCGTGGGGGAGGGGGAGGGGGAAGGGCCGTCGAGGAGGGTCAGTTACAGGGGGAGTGAGAAATGCCCCTTTTTTCATCTGAGGAATGTTGGAGGCTATGTTTAAAGTCCAAGTTCAGTTTCATTATCCAGCTTCATATTGCTTGATGTTTGCTCATGCTGTGCAAATTGGAGGGGGGTCTGCCTGCCAGGGTATGGGGGCCTGGGAACACATTATGCAGCAAGTTTAATAATACATACCTTCCAGGGGTGGGTGGAGCAGCTGCCCCCAAGCATACCAGTGAAGCTGTCCCTCTTTTCACCCCTCTCTTTCTTTTAAAGCTCTGATTCAAGTTCTGAAGAGGAGCTTACAGAGGAGGAAATAGCCAAACTGAAGGAAGCGGTAGAAGAGAAAAAGAAGCTAATTGCCACATTAAGAAACAAGCCCTGGAATATGAAAAAGAAACTGGAAGTCTTGAAGTATGATATTGTATATGGTCACTTGTAGGGCATGTTTGCACTTGTTTTAGTCGTGACTGCTTGATTACTCAGTATTTGATCACTCACAGGTGAATGTGTGAACTGGTGTCACAGAGAAGCATTGGGCTGGATCCAGACTAAGTCAGCCATGACTTACTTAAGCCCCTCTGATTGCAGTGTGACCTAGATATGACTTACACTGGAACAAGCCCATTGGGTTGGAGGTAATATAAAATTCTATCAGTGATATTTGTAAGCATGCATGCAATCAGGCCACCCTTTTTTGCAGCATGTTCGATGGAGAAGACTATGGACTATGAAAGCTCAATAAACAGGTGAATCTTTAAGGTGTCACAAGTTTGTTGGCTTTTTCCCATTAAAAATGAAGTCAGTTCACACATGCAGCTGTCAGATGTGATCTAGGGATGTAACTCCATGCATGAGCCACTATAATTCATTGAATAAATATCTTTAGTTCCCAGAACTTTGACAAGAAAGACACAATAGGTCCTGAAATAGGAACAAAGGTGGGATTTCTGATCATCTGTAATGTAGTCCGGGGTAATTAATGTAGAAGCAAGGCCACAGCTTTATGTCAATTGGGGGTGAGCAACCTTTTTCCATGGACGACCACATTTCCTCAAGGTTAATCTGTCAGGGGTTCCATTCAACTGGTGGGTGGTTCCAGAAATTCTGGCTCTGGAATGAAGACCATCCTCTTCAGTGTTCACCAGAGCTACAGCAGGCTAGAAGTCCCAATTTAATGAAGTCTATTCAGAATTATGCCCCACTTGGTTTGATGGGATCACCCTCAAATAACTATACAGACATTTATTTATCAGTGAAACAGTTCAATGCAGTCACTGTTCTGGAAAATAATGAAAAGTAACTCATTCCTGACATTAATGTGCTATATAAAGCGAATCTAGAGAGGCAAGAAAGGGGAAGGAACATGAAGGAACATGAGGTGGAAAACCAACAGAATTCTTGAGGATGGCATTAAATGAGACCACATGTGGGGTCACATGTGGACCTGTGGTTTAATTAAGAAATCATTTCTATCCAGCCCGGATTATACTCCAGTCACAAGTGATGGAATTCCCCTTCCTTTGCAGCACCACAATCTGCTCTAAAGGGTTTCCTGAGCTTCTGGAGCAGATTTTCTGTGTGAACAGGGAACTGCAATGGGAAGAGGTGGAAATGTTAATCCTGGTTGGGCAATCAGAGGTTGTTGCACCACAACTGGATAGATCACCTTGAAATTCTGGCCTTGTTTTTTAAAATAAAATTAATCTTTTAAAGAGTTGCCCTGGAGCAACACTGCATTTCTCTTTAATGAAATTTGAGCTGGTGCCTGGAACTATCTTGACCTGTTATTGAAAAGTTGAGCAATCCACTTGAATCCTCCTCTTCAGAAGCAACCTCTTAAGTTTGGTAATTCATTCCCCACTTCTGAAACCTTGAAACAGCTCAAGTACAGTATACCTCGCACTTTGAGAGCTGCAACCCCACACCCCCCATGAATTATTAAGCTAGGCCATTTAAGGACAATAATACCTGTGCTCATGAAATATTCATGCCCCTTGTGTTGGTAATTAGATTAATGTTTCTTTGAATTTAATAAAGCTTTCAATGGGTTAGCTAAGAGAGTACATTTTGGTCTATCTTGTATTATCGATAATTTACATATAGCACACAATCCACTTACCTTGTGTTTTTGACACTTTTGCATCTTTGAGTAAAGATGTACAAGATTTGTTTCTGATGTTCAAACATGCTTTATAAGAACACACAGGGAGTGCATGGTGATGTTTGAAAGTGAGGTCCTTTGCTTCCTCCAGCAGGTGACTGGGCAGTTACCAGATATCTTTCATAAACTAAAATGCTTTCACTGGTCTTTTGGTGATGTATTTTCAAAACATAAGCCAAACAGATTTCACTCTCTTGTCATATCTGGCAAATGAAGGATCTCATGTTTAAAGTCATAATCAATTTATATGTGTTTTCTGTACACATTTATGCTCAAAGCAGTTGACAGGAGAAAAAACAGTAAAAATGCAGTAGTACAATAACCATAATACATAATAAAAATTACAATATCTGTACAACATAACACTAACAATTCAACAATGAACACTTCTAAATAATTTAGAAAATTTAGTGAGCATAAAGCTTACAAACAGGTCAGTTAACAAGATCCCAAAGCTGATGGTATTTTTGTACTTTGCTCCAACTTTTATACCCAGAGTGAAAAGGCCAGAAAACCCTTCAGAATGCTTCTCTTACATTCAGGGGGTTATCAGTTAGTTTCAGTGTCTTGACCTGCTGACTGTGAGGCCCTTCATCGGGGTGGCAGCTCTTTTCTGCCCAGTGGGCCAGATTCTTATCTCCCTACCTATGGCAATGTTGTGCTTTGAAGCCCCAGCTGTTGGGACTTCAAAGTGCATCATGGGAGTGTGTGCAGCTAAACCGAGCAGGATTTAACCCTGGCTCATCAGGTGATGTCACCACCATTGGAGTGATCTCAGCTGATTGGCAGGTGGATATGGCTTTTAAAAAAGCTTTGCAGGCCAAATTCAACCCCTTGGCAAGCCCATGTTGGCCCACAAGCTAGAGATTCCTACCCCTGCTGTAGAGGGCTGATATTTGATGCAGCAATCTTTAAGTACTTGTGAACAGTGAGCTTGAAAGTGCGGTGTAGCGTGTTGGACTTAGCTGAGGAAACCTGGGTTCATATCCTTGATCAGCCATGAAGTTCACTGCTTGGATGACTTTGAGGCAGTGAAGCCCAGCCTGCTGAACATATGGAGCATGTGCTAGTCCTCCCATCAAATTACACTACAGCACATCTGCGAATAAAGTTGTTGCTCTTTCTGTGAAAGAAGTGCCAGGGCTGCGCTCCTTATGTTTCTGACTGACTATATCTAAGGTAGGAAAGTTGAGTTGAACAAAGGATGAAGCCCTCTGCGGCAGTGGGTGGCTGCAGCAGCACAGAGGCTTTGTTTTAATTAGCTCATTGAACATAATAGTATTTTGTGTTTTTTGAATCATTACCCTCTGACTATCTTCTGAGATAGCCTACTCAAGCAGCAGAGTTGCTTTTCATATGTTTTGTTTTTAAGAAAGATCCACTGGGAATACTTCCTAAAACCACAGCCTTATTGAGATGTGTGCTGAAGTGCCTGTAAAATAAGCTATTTGAATTTATCATGTAAATAGTCCATGAGTGGTACAGATGTCAGTTGCTGGGGAATACAGGTACTTGACAGGGACCAGTAAAATGACTGTTGTATTTTTGTATTGTTTTATTTATTTATTGTGCGTGTGGGTAGAATACAAGTGCTGGCATCCTTTTTTCTTTTGTTTCCTACTACTACTCTTCCTGGGATGGCATCTTCACATTAGGGTTATTCAAAAAATCCTCTTTTGCTACAGAAACAGCGCTAAATCTGCTGGCCATGGCCCACAGCACACCATCACAATCCCACTATAAATGACCATATAAACAAATATAGAATTGTTTTGCTTGTGGATGAAGCTTACAGTTCTCTAGGGGACCGTGTGGTCCTCCAGATGTTGCTGAACAATTCCTCCCCTCATCGCTGCCCATTGGCCATGCTGGCTGCAGCTGGTGGGAGTTGGAATGCAACAACATCTGGAGGCCCATAAGTCCCCCATTGTTGCTACAGAGAATCATAATGAATTTAGAATAATCCAAGATAGCGCACAAGAAAGGCAGGGAATGAAATGAAACATTTTATTGTGAAATGGCATGTCTGTGTTTAGTTTCTTGTTCCATGACATCCAATTGTAATTTTCTTGATTCCTTGATATTCTATGTGTCCTTATCTGGCTCTACATCATTGGCTGTTGCGGGCAGTGGGTGGGGAAATATGGCGTGTCATAATGCCAGGACATGGGCAAACTGTGCTTGAGGGGACGAGGAAATAAGGAACGTGGTTCCCATGTTTAGTGGAAGAGAAAGTGTTTGGCATAACATGTCACTGGGATGCTCAGTAATGTCAAGTGTGTCTCAATGTTTCAGCAGAAGAGAAAGTGAGAGGAAAGATGCTTTCAGATAAATCCACAAGCACTTCTTTATTTTTATTTTTCAGAGATGCTCAGCAGTTTGTGGAAAAATTCGAAGGAGCCCTTGGCAAAGGCAAAGGGAAGAAATTTTATGCATATAAAGTGATGATGATGAAAGTAAGGACCATCTCTCATTATGGCTTTGAATTGGCTCACTCAGCCTTTTTCAAATATCTCTTCCAGAATTAATGGTTTCACTCTCCTTTTGGATTGCATTTACTTTTAGCTATAAAAAGCAAGAAGAATTTTCTGGGTATCTTAGTTCTGTAAATGCCACAAAACTGCTAATGTTCTCTATTAATCCTTCAAACACATTTGTGCCTTCAAATCATAGTAATCAAAAAGATTCTGAGCAGTCAGGTATGGATCACAGTCAGTGGAGCATAGGTGAACATTCACAAAAAATAAATGAAGGTATCAAAATCAGATGATGCTTAGGGAAAGGATACTGCAAGTTATCCAAAGAAATACAGATAGGCTGAAATCATATCAAAACCAATGCTTCAGTGTGACTTGGTGCTGCAGACCCAAGTAAACCTACAAGAAAGGCACAGATTAGAAATATTATATGTAAGTTAGTTAATAAATGATTAAAAAATCTCAGTGAACCTCTGGCATTAAGCTTTGGCACTTGGATGGAGCTGAAGTGCAGCTGAAATGATGGAGAGAAATAAATGTGGAAGTGGGATATGGAAGGATGCTGAAGAACCTTCTGTTTCATATCTCCTCCATTTAATATAATGTAGATTTTCAGATTTCCCTTGGTGCTATTGCTTATTGTACTTGTTGATTGCTTTTTACATGACTGTGTCTCAAAGTGACTTACAATGTAAGAATAGAAATAGCAAGAAACATTTAAACCAACTAAAGCAGGAAGACAAAATGCTCATTGACAAATATTTATAAACACACAAAACCCACCCCTCTCCTCAAAAGGATGAGCACAAAAAGAAGCCAAAGGAATACTTGATTACCCTCCAAGTTAAGGTAAAAGCCCTGTTCTCGTGTCACCACCCTCTGTACCGGCCTTGGAAGGGGTAAGTGGAGAAGGGTTTCATACGGCAAATGCAGGGTCCATGCTTGTTCACACCGAGAGAAGCAGTCCTTGGGTAGGAAGATGGGGACACTAACATATCAGCTTGCTGCAGAAAGATGTGGAAGACAGAAAAGTGCAGGACAGGAAACACATTTGCATTTCCTGTACCTTCAACAGAAACACTGCTGCCAAGGCCACGCTAACCACCTAGAGTGCACACAGATTTTGGAAGCACAGAGGTTTAAGATCGTCAGACAGATTTTTAGTTGAAAGTGTTCATTCTTTTCTCATTGTCCTAATGTCCTATTTTACTTTTGTAATATTTATTTCAGAAATGGATGAAATTTCAACGTGATTTTGAGAATTTTCGGACAGCCTGCATACCCTGGGAAATGAAAATAAAAGAAATTGAAAGTAAGTGAGAGAGAAGAAGAATTAAGTAATTTTCATCTTCCTGGGAGACAGGCCTGGAGTTCCCCTCCACTGTTGCATACCATTGCTCCTTTCATTCCATAGCTTTTAAACAGCAACAAATACATTGCATATCAAGGATTGCTGGAATTTGTAACATATATTTGCATACGAACCACGCATATACGAATGTAAGCAATAATTTACTATGGTTTTACCAGATCACATCAATAGTAATACATGGTTAGGTTTTAGGAGGGGAAAGTGGCAGCCACTGATTTGTGGTGTGTTAAGCAAGCATAAATATACTGATTTATATCTTATTTGAAAGGACAAAAAAGGTGAAGAATGATTCATTTGCCCTTTTATCTTGCTTCATGTCTTGTAGGTCATTTTGGCTCTTCTGTTGCCTCCTACTTCATATTTTTGCGATGGATGTATGGAATAAATATAATCCTATTTGGACTGACTTTTGGTCTTGTCATGGTGCCTGAGGTGGGGATAACTACATTAATATGCCCAGCCTGTTTTGCTGTTTCTCTTTAGGCTTAAATGTCACACAGGAAAATGGGTTACAGTTAAGACCAGAGCAAACAATGGGGGACTGGGCATTTTGGATAAAATTGCACTGTCAGGAAGATCAGAGCTAGACTGACATTTACAATCAGTAGGATTCAAATGATGTTAGAGATCTTTTGTTGTCCTTCAAACGTTTTTTATCTTGTTAATTCATGCAGCATACGCACTGTCCATATTTACCAGAGATGGTTCCTGTTTTCTGTCTATATTTACTAGAGATGGTTCCCTGGTGAATCACTTTCTCTGTTTGGTCCCTGCCTTATGGAGAGGAGATGCCTTATGAAAGAGGCATCCGTCATTCACCTGCACTAACCACTAGTCCTTTAGCTTTTCCTCCTTCTCCACTTGCCTGCTGTAATTTCACAAAAACAATTTAAACATTAAAATTAATATTAAAATTAGCAGTTGGAAAACAAGAAATAGCCTTGAAAGTGAGCTTCCCCAATGTTTTTTTCATGCTGATTTCTTTCTTTGTTTTGGTTGTGTTTACAATTACAACTCTGACTGACCTACGTGCGAAAACAGGCATTGATGGGGAAACCATATGGAACTTTACCTAGAAAAACTGTGCCCAGAGCAGAGGAAGCGACGGCAATGAACTTTGCCACTCTGTGGGATTTCAGTGTAAGTTGCACTTTGCAAAAGCCTTTCCTTAGGCTTTGTGTTTTGATGGTGTGAAATGTTGTTTTCTGTCAGCAGTTCACTGGGCAAAACTACCAATTTGGGATGCGTAATTTAAGTAGGTAAAATTGAAAAGATATAAATTCAAATTGTTTTGGGGAAATGGGAGCAAATGTGGCACCCCAGATCCAGTGGGACTTTCTGATGTCATGAAATAAGCTCTTGCATTGACTTGTCACTGGGATTTCTGACATGTACAGTATGTTAAAAGTGAGCAAGATGAAGAGTAGCTCAACATGCAGCTGAAAAACAGTCATTTTGCTTTATATTTTTTAAGTTTACATGCCATATATAATAGATCCCCAAAGGCCACCATGTTGAGCCATCACTGATCAATTTCATGAGGTATAAAAGTACTATAGGTGGATTTGCTTCACTGGCGTTGCCCTGTGGGATTCATTTGGCCTTTTGTGCTTAGATGAAATAACAAACCTGCAAACAGGCAATGGCAAGATAGTTAAAGAAAGATAGATGAAGGTACTGAAGAAATGAGCTCCTAGTCATGTGTTTCACTGCCTTTTCTACCCTTTGGGATCAAGGATATTGTTTGCAGCAGAGCTACTGTTGGATTTACAGTGAGAGACTTGATAGCGCATGTTAAATTACCGTGGGAACCTCTTGCAGTAGTTTAAGTGCTGTGGGGGAGCCATTTCCTATGGGAGACAGGCAATTGCAATTCCAGTACAGTGGTGCCTCGCAAGACGAAATTAATTCGTTCCGCGAGTCTCTTCGTCTTGCGGTTTTTTGGTCTTGCGAGGCACGGCTATTAGCGGCTTAGCAGCTATTAGCGGCTTAGCGGCTATTAACGGTTTAGCGGCTTAGCGGCTTAGCAGCTATTAATGGCTTAGCGGCTTAGCGGCTTTAAGAAAAAGGAAACAAACTCGCAAGAACTCGCAAGACGTTTCGTCTTGCGAAGCAAGCCCATAGGGAAATTCGTCTTGCGGAACGACTCAAAAAACGCAAAACCCTTTCATCTAGCGAGTTTTTCATCTTGCGAGGCATTCGTCTTGCGGGGCACCACTGTAAATACTACAGTAAATACTTGCTGCAATCTGCCTTAACTGAAGGGTGGGAAAAACTACCCAGTTGGTTCCTTGGTGTTTGCCCTTGTTGGCAGATGAAGAGAATGCAGGCCCCTTTGGTTTTGTTCACAGAAGCACCATGTAAAACCACACAATGTGAAGGATCTGGTCTTAGTCATGCTTAGGCAATACCCAGTGAGAGCAACCTGTAGACATTTTCTTCCCTGAACGAATTCAGGAGGAAAGAAACACAAGCAGGAAAAAAAAGGGAGGGACAAGAACAGAACAGAACAGAACGTGGAGGGAAATTCTCTCATCTGTTCTTCATGATTACAGATATTGAACTTAGCTGTAATGCCCAGGAAACAGCCAAAGTCTTGACAGCCAATTTTCTCCCATATACTGTTTTCCTTCAGTGGAAGGAAGTATATACCTGAAAAATGTTGTGTCAAAATGAAAAATCCATATTGCAGGAGAGATCTGGGAGCAGGAGCTGGCAGGAATGTAATAATCTGTTTACAGATCTGCCATGTAAAATTCACATTCTGATGTAATCTCGGTCACATCTGTTCCTCTGTGGAGTAAAAATGTTTCATCAAAATTGGCACCTAATTGCACATTAAGCAGATATTAATGGAAGACACACACCAGCAAGAACACCATATGGGCAGAGAACCATGGTTTAAGATAAATCTGTAATGGGAAGATCTATGCATACATTATTTTATTTATCTCTCCCCCCCCCCCGGCAATAGTGGCTCCAGCATACTGTATTTCATGCTGCTTCTTAAAATCAGTGGGAGTTTAAAACACCCTTTGTGATGAGGGCAGGATGGGGGGTAGGGGAGGGATAGAGTGCAATTTGAAAAAAAGAATTCAAGAACATCACACTGCACATGCTAGTGCAACTCACTGTGCACACACAAGCTCAGGTGTGCATATGAGGAGAATTATAGCCATTGCTTCTGAAATATTTGCATTTATTTAACACAATTTACACACCACTTTCTCATCATAAGGAAGTGGACCTCTAAGTGGACCTTTTAAAATATTTACCAGATAAACCTGTAGTCCCCATGGAACTGGGCAACCACTCTCCGAGAAACTAGTACCAGCAGCTTCTGGTTGGCTTCATGGGACAAAGCAGAGTGATGGGGCTTTGCCCTGGGAACTGCTTCCCCTTCAATCCATTGGGTCTCAGGGGAGTCAGAGCTTTGTTGGGAGCTTTCCAGAAGACCTGTATCCAAGTTTGTTTAAATATTGTTTAAAACATATACCAGCTTTCACCATGTAGCTGTCGAAGTGGCTTACAACAATAAAATATATGGCATGCAACAGTTAAAACATAAAATTCACTTCCAGAATTTAAACCTCAAGAATTTCAAATTGAAAGGATGTAAAACATCTAAGACATTCAGAGTGCAAAGTGCTTCTGAAATAAACTGTTTTGACAGGCGTCTGAAACAGTAGGAACAGTGCCTGTCTCACTTGTGTACTAAATTCCATGGAGATGAAGATGGAGGGATGGAGAGAGGCAGTTGCCTGCGCCCTGCTTGTGTCTTTGAGTCTTGTGTCGATCTATCCTGCACCTCCTAGTAGCCCCCCTCGTGGGTTCTTCCCCCACATGGGGGCATTGTGATCTATTATGAAGTTCTGTTTAAGAATGGCACCATTTCATTACTGATGAAAGTAAAAGGACAAAGTTGAACTATCTTACATAGACCATTCCCAAGAGCAAGATTACAATAGGAAAATCCTCTTAAACATATGGACCTGCAATTGAGATTAACCCCCCACCCCACCACCAACTGAATGTGAAAACAATTACGGAAATTACATTTGAGATAAATTACATTTACCGTATTTTTACTAAAGACTTCAAAAAACCAAAAACCTACCAAAATAAGTTTCAAAATAACAAAAACCAGACTTAAATACTATAATTTAATTGAACTGTGATTTGATGTATTACTACTTCCTTTGGGTTTTAATATGACTTTATACTCTTCTGTTTTAATGCTAACTTTCTATTGTTGATATTTGATTTTCATATGTTGATATATGATGCTGTGAACATTGCTTTGACATTATTCCAAAATGAAAGGTGCTCCTCCTTTGAAATCTTGGCAAATTAAAGGCAGAGAATTTTTAAAAGGAAAAGCAATAATTCAGAACAAAGATAATCTCTTCCTTACACTGCCTACAAAATAAATACCATAATAAAAGTGAACATTCTGAGTGTCCGCCTTTAAATCCCTGTCCTCTTGCCTTATGAGTTCTTATCCAAGTGTATTAGATGTCAGAAGAGCCACTTCTCTGACAGGAAGTGAAAACACAGACCCAGAGGGAGAACCGTGAAACAGGAGGGAGAAGAAGCAGAGACCAGCGGAACTTGATGGGAGGCCCAGAGTGAAGGAATGCAGTGTGGAAGCTGCAATAATGACACAACGGAAGAAGGAGAATTAAGGGGGGGGGCGTTGAATCACCCAAAACTCGTAGATTAACTAGGCTAGCTGAAAAACGTGGGAAGGGGAGAAAGAAAGTGGGGGCTTCCTTGTTGGGGACGGAAGAGGAGGGGCCCAGTTTCGGCAACTGGATCATCGAGTGAGGACTGAAGGAATTGAGCTCTGCCAGAGCGTTTGTAATTGACCAATAAATCTGGAATAATTAACTGCTGGAGTCGGGGGGGACGGGACGGGGACACCAACCTGACATGAGATAGCCTGCTGAGATGCACCAGGGAAAACAAAGGAAAGACAGGTGGAGGGGTAAAAGATCCACTGTTTTAGTCTCAGTAGCCCAGGGCCATATTAAATATGTCTTCGTCTATAATGTGCAGTTGTGCTTGTTGGCTTGCTTAGAAAATGTGCATCATGGGTCATTCCAAGTCATTTCAATGAGGTCATGTCACCCTCTGTCTCGGATGTTGATGAAATTTGGTGTACATCCATCCCTTATGGTTGAAATAAACCCCCTTAATTCCCCCCCTCTATTTTTTCCTGAAATACTCATCATTTTATTGAGCTCCGTGTAAAATTTCAAAGAGATCTGATTATTGGTTATGGAGAGAAAAAATAAAATGTACACAAGGGTATCTTATGCTGAGGGTCTCAAGAGGGACAGACAACGCAGATTTAACAAAACTTCAAAGTGCTATAAAAGTAAAACCGTTTGAGATAGGGGAAAAAAATTTAAGGGATTTCTTTCAACTATAAGGGAACTATAAGGGATTAATTTCAACTATCAGGGAAGGGTGTACACCAAATTTCATCAAAATCTGAGATGGTGGGTGACATTTGATGTGGAATGACCCTCACATCAAGTGCCAGAGCTAATAACTGAGAGTAGTCACAGGTGGGTGGGATGTGTTAGACTTTTATGTATATCAGTGTTTCTAGCTTTTATTTTGTTTTAGATTTATATTAGTTTTATTTTTTCTGCTACATTGTACGTCTCCTTGAATCTCCATTTTGTAAAACAATATCTATTTGTCTAATATCAATGACAGAGAGAGAAATTCAATTTTATCAGCATTTTAATGTGAAACTATCTAATTTGCCATTCTCAAATCAATATGTGAACTGGAACACAGCTAACTTCACACATCTCCAAATATATGAATACAAGAAAGCATATATTAGGCAAAAGTGTGTCTAAAAATTGACATATTAGTGAAAATAACACAGAGAATGCATAATCTTAGAGGAAATTGTTTGCAGAATCCTTTATAATTGTCAAAATTACATACAAAGGTGTGTTTATTAGAATAAATTTGCACTAAAATGTGGACAAATGTTTATAAAGATTTTTTTTTAAATTGCAAACCAGTAGAGATATGTGGGGAACTGAATTTAAAATGGGAAAAATGAGAAACTGGGAGAATTGAAATTGATGGGAGATTCATCCATCCCTCGTCACAACAGGCATAAATGTAACCCTTTCTTCCCTTATTACAGTCCTGCTGAAAATCTCTTCTCTGAAGCTGCATTGGGAGTCAATAGAGATTTCCCTCCTTGGTGTCAGTGGAAATCCCTTCAGAGGAGGGATTTTCCTTAGGATCACAGCTGTGAAGGAAAAGGTGATGTCCAGAATTATCAGTACTGCTAGTTGCATTTTTTAAAACCTGTAAGTCGAATGTGAGGGGTCACATTTTGTTCCCTGCTCAGTCAGAAGAGAATAGAGGGGAAAGATCGAGACAGATAAGCAGAACTTTGTGTGCCTTTTGAGTCCAGGGTAATAATGATTTAGGACAGTGGTGCAAGAGAGACAACAAAGGATACTGGGCAACCATGTCTTTCACACACCACCAATGTTCTGCAAATAATTGAACCACGCAAGAGCCCCATAATTGCCCCCCAGTGGAGACAATGTCAGCTCTAAGGAAACTGAGGAAATGGATTGATAGTCATACCACAAATCTAGTCATATTTACTTGTCATGTGTTAATATTTCATTTTCACCACAGCCAAGATTGCAAATGAGGCTTAGCAGGCAGAGTCTGTGACTTGTCTCGGGCAGCCCAGCCATCACAATACATCAAATGCATGGCTTGCGATTAAATGAAACAGAAGGATGTTAGCCTATTGACATTTTAATCTACTAATGGTTTACTTTTAAGAAATAACCAGCAGCAAAACAGCAGAAGGGAAGGGAAATATATGCATGAGGGCTAAGCCTCTCCGCATTACCACAGTCAATTAAAACCCTTTCCAATTGATCCGCAGGCCGTTGGCAGATTACAAGGGCACACGCTGAACTCTTGGTGTCTGATTTGCATTCATTATGGCCATTTGCAAGCTTTACGGCTATCTGGCCCACCTCAAGAAGCGGTTTCCAGCAGAGACAGATGTTTGTTGTAACTAAAAGACTCAAAGAAACCCTTGTCCAGTTGTGTCACTACTTCTTCTCAGCCATCACCAAACATTTGCACCCCATTACTTAATTTTGGAAAGCAGTAACACTGGGGAGACACCTTTAATAAAAAAATATGTTTTTTTTAAAAAAAATTTTTGGAAAGCAATAGTAATTTCATTTAGCAAATCAGAATATTTCCTAGGTATTATTTAGGTATTGCTTTTCCAACACAACACAAAGCCCTGGTTTTGATTTATAAAGCCCTGCCTGGCCTTTCACAGGCTGCATCCCCACTTAAGTTCCATCACAATATTTCAGATGAAAGAGGGTTGATCTGTTTTATCCCTTACATGAATAAAATCCAGTGACTGATTGATATAATGAACTCCCGGGCATATGTTGGTTTCTAATACAGAGGTTAATCTCCACTTAGGAAATACTGCATCTGCTGCCTGTCACATATGAAATGTTGTGTGTATTTCTTATACAAGCACCTGGATGGATGATGAGAAAAACATTTGTGCTGTGTTCAATATGCTTTACAACCTACTCCATCTTAAGGACATAAGGAGAGCCTATTGGATCAGGCCAGTGGCGTATCTAGTCCAGCCTCCTGTTCTCACAGAGGCCAACAAGATGCTTGTGGGAAACCCACAAGCAGAAGCTGCGCAGCTGAGCACTCAGCCCTCCTGCATTTCCCAGCAAGTGGTATTCAGAAGCATGATGGCTTCTGACCGCAGAGGCAGAGCTGAGCCAGCATGGCCAGGAGTCACTTTTTCTCCATGTTGGTTGGCCATCGCTGTGTCCTGTGGGAGCAAGTTCCATCGTTTAGCTCTGCTCTGCGCGAAGAAGAACTTTTTAATCTTCCAACATTCAGCTTCATTTGGTGTCCACGAGTTCTAGTGTTATGAGAGGGAGAAAAGCCTGTCTTGGTCCACTTTCTCCATGCTGGCCGTAATCTTTGAGACTTCATCCATGTCACCTCTTACCTTTTCCCTAAACTGCTCATAGGGCAGATGCTTCGTCCCCTTGATTATTCTGCTTGCCCTTTTCTGAACTCTGTTATATCTTTTTTGAGGTGAGACCATTTCTTGTGTGTTTTGAATCCCCCCCCCAAAATATTTCTATTTTGATGGCAACCTCAGGAGTTGGCTAGAAGTTGTGTTTGGGGATTTGGGCAGAAGGTGGCTGCCATCTACTCACTAGCTCTACATGCCACCCTTTCCCCTTGTATCTTTCCTCTCTCCTGTGTCAGCTTCTTGGACCCCAACTCAATGCATGAGTCAAATTAGTTCAGTTTAAAAGTATCCCTGTGGCTTAAGTTGCATTTGTTGTTGCTTGAAGTTAGAGGAAGATATCTAAATTGTTCTTTGTCGTTGACATTTCAGGGTCTTGCACAGTATTCTGTCCTCTTCTATGGCTATTACAATAACCAGAGAACAATCGGGTGGTTGAAGTTCCGGCTGCCTCTCTCCTACTTTTTGGTGGGAGTTGGGTCCATCGGTTACAGTTTCATGGTTGTCATCCGCACGTAAGTTTCTTCTGATGTTGATGAAATAAAGGATGGGATATATATTCACAGACTGATCTGTATTTCTACTTAGTATTTATTGCAGTCATACCCTGCTTGTCTTCCAAGATGCTCGAGGCAGCAGGCATGATTGTCCTTACCTTGTTTCACAAAACCTTGTGAGGTACCGTAGGTTAGCTTGGGAAATTGTGACCAGTTCAAGGTTGCCCAGTAATCTGCACAGCTGAGTGGAGATTTGAGCAGAGACTCTGCAACCTAGTCCCGTATACTAACCACTGCACCGCTCAGACTCTCTCCTTCTTCTCTCATCCTTGATGCTCTTGGCATTTAGCACTTGCTGAAAAGCTAAATGCATAAAATCAATTCCAGACGAGGTTCCCTTTCCATCCTGCCCCCTCTTAGTACAGATCCCACCAAATCTCTAAAAATTAAAATTAAAATTAATCCATTTCCCATTGTCAGCTTAAGTCCAGTTGCTGTATGACAATCTAAATGGAAGGTTGGGGTGTGGGGAGGGAAAGGATGTTTCTCTTGAATTTGATTGTATTGAATCCCAGGTTCAGCACCTTCAACAGCAGGATTAATGAATGTAGCGTTTGGGGTGTGGGGAGAAGGTGAGCAGGAAATCCTGAACTACTTTACTGTTATTTAACATTTTACAGCAAATGTTTATTTTATTACTCACTTTGGAACACATTACAGTCTGGCAGAGGTGTCCTAAACTAAAATAGCATCACATTTTCTGTACAGTTAAGATGCGTGAAACAAATGTGTAACAAAGGGAGTTTCTTTTTTTGTAAAGTGTTCCATCTAGCATAGTGCTAAGTAACACTCAGAAATTACAATCATTCTTCCTTATCTGGCCTTGCGGGCTGGAGATGGTGGGGAGAAGAGAACAGGAACATATGGTTAGGAATCCAAACATGGAATAAATTGTAAATGGTTGTTCACAAGATTGCAGTGGTTTTTGTGGCCATTGCTACTAACTGTGAAACTTGAAAGCCTCCTCTTTGCTGGTGCTTTCTCTTAGAGAATCCCACACAGAGCTTGGCTCCACCATTGCCTTCCAGTTTCAGGGCCAGCCCAACCTTTGGTGATGCTGAGAGACAGGGAGGGAACTTGCTGTGCGCCATGCAGACTGCCCTCCATTCCCTAAATTAGCCTGCTGCTCTCAGGCCCTTTGATAAGATACCATTCCTTTACCAGTGTTGAACTAAGACTCGAGTGCCTGTCTGGTTAGCTTTTGTATATGGAATAGGGGTAGGGTGCCATCTTGCCCTTTGCCTCAGGAAGCAAATACCTTGGGCTGGCTGGCCCTCTCTTTTCTTTGCACCAGCCTCCTGCTGCATTCAGTGCCCCAGTCTAGGACACCTTCCCTGAATATATCAGCTGTAATGAAGATGCTGCAGGTGCAGGTTTCCGCGTTCACTTCAGGCATGATAAGAAGAAGGGATATAGCAAAGGAGCCCATCTTTTGCATGTGAAGGGTCCCAGGTTCAGACCCTGGCACCCCCTGGCAGGGTGAGGGAAAGGTCAGTCAGTTAGCTGACTGGTAATTCATTAAAGGATGTCACACCCTCCCCACTGTTTAATGCTCAAATCAAGGTGGGCGCAACTCTTCCTTACACACTGACTCAGGGAGTGGGATCGCACTGGCTGGCCGCACACCCTGTCAGTCCCATATTATGTTTCTGTGAAAATGGGCTCTACATGCGTAGGGCTCCTCAATGAGAAGAGCACTCGTGATTGGCCCAGGATTCCCCTTCATGTGAGCGAGCCCCAAATGCATGCACCCCCATTGACACGCATAGGGTCCATCCTCAATGAGGCTGAGCAGTGCAGCAGAACCAGTTGTGCTGCCCTAAATCTGCCTCTGGCAGATTCCTCTTTGTTCCATGGTCTGCATGGCCAGGATACAGCCCACTGTGCAAATGTGAGAATCAGACCAGTTACCCCACTCTCCTTTGTCTCTAACCCAACTCCCACTAGTCTGCAGCTTGGGGAAGCTTCCCCACAAGAGAGTGCTGCCTTTGGACTGAAAAATGTTGCCCACCCCCATTCTAAACTCTTGAAAAAAGCCATTTATTTTAGTCTCTTCACTCCCAGAGTATGCTTGATTAAGGTACAAAAGATTTCACTTCAGAAGTTACCATTTTGTTTTAACCCAGTTAAGAGGGAGCCATTAAAAATATTTCTTTGATACTGTATTTGTGAAAAATCTTCCTACTGAATCCTCTCAGGGAATTATAGCTGAGTAGCTGCCAGCCACCCACTGGGCTTCTCCCCACCACCAAAAAATCCTTGCAGCACAATCCCTGGAGGCAAAACAAAAGGAACACCCTGGGGTGAACATGCAGTGTATGTGTTAAATTTCCATCTGGCCACGAGATAATCTTGATCTATATTTAGGTAACCTTAAGAGCAAATCCTCTTATATTCTTTGGCTTGTTGATGATTTCACAGAAAACAATATGATAAGTGCAAAATCCAACTGTAACTGTGAGCTTTTTGTTTGCTTGGCTCTTTTTCTGGTAGTACCTAGAAAGGCATAACAACTGGGGAGAGAAAAGGGAGAATGAAATTGGTATGACATTTACAGAAATTATCAAAGTACAAATCAGCCATCAATATTCCCATCAGTCCATTTTTTAGCTCTTTGACCGAGATACCTGCTGGTCTTAAGGGTCCCTCAGTCATCCTTTTTATTGTGCATTCTTGATTATTTGTGTTCATGATGCTCTGTGGGCAGTCATATGCTTTCAATTCCATCCGTGGGTGGCCATACAGCTTCATTCTGAGTCAGCACATATCCTGTAACTTCCTGCTAAAATTAACTTTTCATAAATGCTCTCGGGTTTGTTTGGTTTTCTGTCCCACTTTTGTTGTGCTATTGCCCCTCTGGACAGCAGCAGTGTGCTATAGCAACTGGCAACTAATAAGGCAAAATAAACCCACAATGAATGTGCTATTAATTGTGTGAAGAATGTGTTGTAGAATACACCCACAAAAATACACCAATCTGGAGGACCCTAACTGTGGCAATGCATAAAGTCACATTTTGGAGCACCATTTTCTCCTCCACAATTTCAGTGAATTTCAATGATGTCTGAACAGGAACGCCGCTTGGTGTTGCAAACAAACACAGAGAAGGGCCACAGGCCATGCTGTTCGGTCCAGTGAATCCCAGAGGGACCATAGCTCAGTGGAAGAGACTCTGCTTTGCATGCAAAAAGTCCCACAGCCCTTGCGACTCCAGTTAAGTGGATCAGGTAGCAGGTGATGAGAAAGACCTTTGCCAGAGGTGCTCACTCTGATGTAAAACAGATTCCTAAGTTCCTTAATAGAGACGTAGGTCCCACTTTATTCAGTGTGGATCACTCTCCAGAAAATGAGCATTGGATTGCAACTAATAATTATTTAACCTGCAGATTATGCAATTAAAGCTTCTTTTTTTAATGGTGTGACGTATGTTCGTTAAATTGTAAGTTATACTTCCTCAGTTTCTTAAAGGAGCACCTGTATATTGAGATTCTGGCAATATGCAAATTTAATTAAACTTGATTGAGTAAACAATTAGTCAGAAGCAGATGACCAATAATCAACTAAAATGTTTAAATCAGTTGACAGCCCTTATAAAATAAAGCGAGATTTACCCCACCCCACCCTCCTGAGATTTTCTGAGGACTGTTTCACACATTGGTTTGCATCCAGAGCTGAGATCCGCAGAGTCCCAGGGGCACCAGAGGAAGGAGGCGCTGCTCTCAGGGAGTCCTCCTTTCCCTGCAGCCCTCTGAAAGGCCACTCGGGGGGGGGGGGGCTCAGCATTTCCTGAACAGGGGGGAGGTCGCACTGGCAATGGGAGTGGGGGGGTTTCTTCCATTGGAGTGACTTTGCTGAATCTCAGATCCGTCTGTGATGGGGGAGGAGCAACTCTAGGCCCAACCCATTACATTTTTAGCATGTTAAAAAATACCCCCCCCCTTTCAGAATGGCAAAGAATGCCCATGACGATGGTGGTGGAGATGATAACAGTTTTAACTTCAGCTGGAAAATGTTCACGAGCTGGGATTACTTGATTGGCAATCCTGAAACAGCAGATAACAAATTTGCATCAATAACAACTAGCTTTAAGGTAATGTATAAAGTCTGGTCTCAGGTATGAATGTCACTGAGGTTCATATAGTCGTTGCAGACAGAAAGTACCACTTTCAATCCCTGGCATCTCCAGATAGGGCTGGAAATGTCTCCTGCTGTCAGTCAGTGTAGACAATACTGGGGTAGATTGCTGCATCTCTGACCCAGGGAGGGAGGTTGGTTTCCTGAAAAAAGGAGGGGAAAAAGACTGAAAGGCCTTGGAAGAGATCTATGAGGCCTGGTGAATGAGAAGATCCTTGTCAACAGCCTGTAAACAAAGGTGGTTCTTGGATTCTTACTACACAAACTGATTCTGAGGGAAGAGTCCCGGAAAAAGGAGGCCTGGCATATTCCTGCAGCTGTGGAAGCTGACCACTGAACTGGCAAACGCAGACGCCTGAGCTGGTTGGCTTTCAGCCCAGTTTTGTTGTGCCACAAGATAGTTGGTTGCAAGTTTCTTTGCTTACATATCCCATTAAACACCTTGCTGCTGTTAGTCACGCATCAGGGTCAAACAACGTGTTATGCATAATGTGTAAAGTGAGGCACATCTCTTGTTTTTTAAAAATTAATTCTAGCCCTGTGAGACACCAATTGCTATGTGGATTGCAGCAGTCTTGGAGGGGAGATTTATCCCTATCTGTCCCACTCCAGCCATGACTCCCTGTTCCTTGTTTCAGCCAGCCAGCCTCTGAAGGATAAAGGACACGGAGGAAAGCCGTGTCCCTTATGAATGGAGTGAGTGGTCAGGCTTATACTGGCAGAGACGGATCTTCAAATAGTCTGCATTCATGGACAACCTGTTGACCTCCAGATGGTTTGAACAGTTCTGCTGGCTGGGGCTGATGAGAGTTTAGTCCAGGCACCAGGCCGGCGGTGGCTAATTTAGGCGAATGCTATTATACTTCTTGGTATCATGAATACTGATGAATGTTTTTCTTGTTTGTTTGTACCAAATACAGGAAGCAATTGTGGAGGAGCAAGAGAGCCGGAAGGAAGAGAACGTCCACTTGACCCGATTCCTGAGGGTTCTCGCTAATTTCTTTGCCTTTTGCACACTAGCTGGGAGTGGCTACCTCATCTACTTTGTTGTGAGGCGATCCCAACAATTTGCTTTGGAAGGCCTTGAGAACTATGGCTGGTGGGAGAGGAATGAAGTTCGTACCAGCATGTTTTGTTTTCTAAAACAGATGTATGTAGGAAGGCTGGGTTGTCTTTACCAAGCAGGGTGATGTAGGGCAGGGTGAGGGATCCTGGCCCCCTTGTTGAGAGCCACACTCCCTCAGGAGTCATCTGGACTCAGGGCTGCGTGCTAGTGGTGGGCTGGAACAGTGGTTAGGGAGCCTTTTCTCTCTCTATCACTCAGCACCACCACTTTGCTGCTTGAGGTGGAGTACAAGGTGAAAGCTGCTCCCACTTCCACATACAAAAAGTGACCATACTTGCAGTTGAATCTTGTGTCAACACTGGACAGCATATTCTCCTCTGTAAACCAGCAAACCCAACTCTGTCCTCCAATATCTTGCCATCACTTTGCGTCTCACAGCATCTGCTGCTTCAGACGCCTCACTCTGCCTAATGATCGGACTGGCTGTCACCGTCTTTTCTTCCCTTTTCTGCTATCTCTTTTCTCTCTTTCTCTTTGTACAGAAATTGCATTGTGCTTTCTCTCTCCCTCCTTCCCATAATGGATGGCAAAAGCAGTTTATGTGATTGTGAAATATTCAGATTTATGAATAAGGCAACGAAGTACAGGAGGCACCTAAGAGAAACACATGAACATAAAGTATACATAAGAATTATACATAAAAATAAAAACTTGAGCTATGCAATAAATAAAAAACACATAAAAAACAGAATCTTAAATCTTGAGGGAGTTTATGATATGGCATCACATAGGGTTTGCTCTTTCCAAAAACATCCTATTCACTTAATGGGCAAATGCAAGCCCATTTGGATCCTGGCCAGTATTGGATCTACTCACTCTTTAACTGGCAGGACAACATCTGCTAGGATTAAAACTGTTGAGGCTCTTTTGTTCTTCTTACCTTGCAAATAAGAAAGAAGACGAAACGATTTCCGACTATATCACTTTTGGTCTGATAGCTTCCATTCAGTCGGATTTCCTTACAATGTAAGACTTACGTTCTCTTCCTCTTCGCTTCTCCGTTTCCCATTGTTACATGTTTTACTTTATATATTAGTCTGACATCATTCTTATAGTGTAACAGGAAACACAGTCAGCTTGTCTGAGTAGAGGACAAGGGAACTGCAGATTCAGCCTTAAGGAACTACATTACGTAGTTGATGTAGCTTGAAATGCCCTCACAGCTGAACAAGAAGCCTGCCAAAGTCTACAAGGATACTAACAGTCCATAGCTTTCTTAAAGTGGATATGTGATAGCAAATAAAAAAGATTAAGATACATATTGTTTCTTGTATCAAAATGGTCATGAAAGCCTAGGTTGCACATCATAAAATAGCTGACAAGTTTTAAAAAATATTTCCTGTTATTGTAAATCACATTCTTTTGCAATAAATCAGAAAATGAAATAAGACTTGCGGAATGAATTCTATGTTAAGACATAAAGAGCTATACCTGACTAACTCATACTCAGAATTGACTCATTGCAATCAATGGGCTTGAGCTAGTTGACTAACTGAAGTCCATTGATTTCAGTAGGCATACTCTGAGTATGACATAATCAGGTACAGTCTAGTACCGTATATTGTATATAAAAAAAATAAAGCTGCCATTTCATTTGAAGCTGAAGAAACCCATAATGATCTCTTCTCTATCAGACCACACAGAATGGTTTTACAATGATGAGATGACATTGATTTTATTGGTGTAACCAAACAGTTCACGCAGTGAAGTTGAGAGGGAAAATCAGGTTTAAAATATCATTAGCAATGATGTTGAAGGCAAAGTTCTCAGCACATCTAAGGGAGAGAAATCTCCATAGCATTGACCATAATTAGAATCATAGAATCATAGAATCATAGAGTTGGAAGAGACCACAAGGGCCATCAAGTCCAACCCCCTGCCAAGCAGGAAACACCATAATAATTACTAATAATTACTTAGCAGTATTATTTGTTTGCTGGTTTCCAGCAGGAGGTGTTTCAGTTCAAACAACAGAAAGACACGATGGATGCCAGTCAAATATTTAATTCTGCTTGCAGACACACTGAAGCTGTGGCAAATCATTTTGCTTCATAGGGTGGTGCTAGGGTCTGCTTTTGAAAGCATCAGACTCTTTCTTTGTGAGAAAATGTATTCCCAGTTACAAGTCTGAGGAAATCTGTATATCATTGATTGGTTGCATTAGGAATATAAAAGGGCCATAAGATGCCCTAACAGCTGAGCCAAAATATCTACTTAGTTTTGGGATTTCTGTTACCATTACTGAAAAACAGTATGTTTTTCCATGTGGTTTAAAGTGCTGCCCTCCACATTTTGCCCTGGGCAGTAAAAGGCAGCTGTGGAAAAGTCCTGATGGACTTTTGAAGTGCTGCGCTGCCCCAGATGTTGCCTGCATGCACAACTTAGGGAAGTTCATGACTCTTGGGGGCCTGACCACAGAGGGAACCCACGGGGCATAAGGTAGGCAGCTTTAATTCAGGCCTGTACTCATCTGGAACCAAGACAGCTCCAGTTTTCTGTCTCATGTTCACTGACAAGTGGACACCAAGGGAGTGTGCAGCCCCTGGTATAGAAAGGGCCGGTCCCTCAGAAGTATCTTTGTGGGGGGCTCTCTTTAGAGGTCTCAGTTAGAGGAACCAAAAGGCTCCAGTTTGGGATGACCACTCCTGCAGATTCTGGTGGGTTACTTCTCCTCTTAGCTGCTTCTCAGAGGGTCATTATGACATTAGATGCAGTTCCTGCATTTTAGCAAGCAAATGGTATGAGGCACCCACAGCTCGGCCTGCTTCACAGGAGTGATGTTCTAGAAAATATTTTAGTGTCATAAGAATTGGAAGTGACGTCAAAGGTCATCTAGCCCAACTCCCCGCACCTGCCAGTTCAGGGAAATTGACGGCTACAGCTCCCTGAGAGGTGGTTCTCCAGCCTCTGATTAAGGACAGTCCATTGCCTCCTCCTACTAAACAGCTTACACCATCAGGATGCTCTTCCTAAGCTTTAGTTGAAATCCCCATCTTCTAATTTTAGCAGTGTTTTTTATTATTATTAAGGGTATTGTTTGTATTAGGTGTTTTATTGTAAGCTGCCATGGTTTATTTAAAAATTAAACATTGTAAATGCAAAATAGCCCAATAAAAAATAAAATTGCAGCAAATTCAGATAATGCGGCAGGATTTTTCAATTTGTTATGAAATGTATAGCTGACATCCTGAGTTATTCAGCAACTGATCATTTTGAACTCAATAGTAAATTGCAATAAATAACAAAATAGCCCATTCATCTGATTGTTCAGCTAATTATATAAAAACGAAAATATGTTTCCATGAAAGAAAACTTTTATTCTTGCTTTCTGCAGCGAAGATGTTAGATTACCATCATGGCACAAACAATGGGTAGCCAAGCCATGATTTATATGCACTAAACTGTTAATTCTTAATGAAAGTATAATTTTAATAGCAAGCAGTCAAGATTAAACATTCTTTATGGTGCTGTCATGCCACGGAATACTTAACACTAGAGTTTAGATTTGGCTGTAATCTCAGCCTTGTTTACTGAAAATCATAATACCACACAGAAGCTGGGGAAACACAGCTGCTTTCTAGACAATAATTTTGCAGGCTTCACAATCTGGTGCTAAAGGTTACTCTTTGATGACAGTTAATCATTCTCTCAGCTGTATTTTCTTGTTACTAGTTTGTTGCTACTAGGAACTAGAGGTCTGATGAATGGAATGAATAATAATATTAATAATAAATTTTATTTATATCCCGCCCTCCCCAGCCGAAGCCGGGCTCAGGGCGGCTAACAACAATAAAACAGTACAAAAGTTTGCATTTATTAATTTATTAATCACAGCTACACAATTAGATTCTTTTATTTACTTACACTATTTTACTTACACTCTGGGGCACTTACAACAAGAAGACATAAAAATATAATAACTATCAATAAATCAATAAAAAAGCAAATTATATATGTGTGTGGGGGGGCAGCAGGCACACTGTACAACACAGTATTACTAAGAGCAGATCTAAAATTCCATATATCAGTGTGTGCACATCCAAAAAGCCTTGGAAAATAAGAAAAGGTCTTTAGCTGGTGCTGAAAAGAATATAAGTATGTGGACACACATACTGTCCCATTTCCTGTTCTGTGCAGACCAAGGATGCCATGATCTGTCAATTGCAATTCGCTCAGTTTCTCATTCTCCTGTCTTAAATTCAGTTCTATAATCTACTGCAGCATCTGCAGTTTTTTTAATCATCATGAATTTTTTTTTATCATTTTACTGTGAATTTCACTCAATATGTGGTTTTGACTAATGTACAGATTTTTGCAAGCAATTTCTCTTAGTGCATTTTTGTATGTTATTTTCACTAATATATTCATTTTTATGCACATTTTGCTGTGATGTTATGCATCTTTGTAAACATTGTTTGTATGGAGAATTACATCGCAAAAAACCGGGAAATGATGTAAGAAGCTTTTAAATCTACTTTAAAACAAAAACAAGGTTTGGCGATCCACTTTCTTTGTATACTAGGTGTACTAAAGCGATGCCTCTCAGGTTATAGACTGGAACTCCCATCATGTCTGCCCATGGACTCTGCTGGCTGCAGCTGATGGGAGTTGGAGAACTGATGCAAAACATCAGTGCTGAAGGGCCCCATGTTGGCTGCCTATGTACTAAAACTGCTAGTAGTAGAGCACAGGTAAACCTTTTAAACTTGTTTCTCCCCTCCCTCCCCAGGTAAACATGGTCATGTCCCTCTTGGGAATGTTCTGTCCCACTGTATTTGATGTCATCAGTGCTCTGGAAAACTATCACCCTCGAATCGCTCTCCGGTGGCAGCTGGGGCGCATCTTTGCTCTCTTCCTGGGCAACCTGTACACATTTATTATTGCTCTCATGGATGAAATCAATCTTAAGGCAAGTTGGCTAATTTTTACATGTCCTGTTTATTTGCAGCTTTCTAGAAGAAGGTTCCAGTTTGAAGTCTTGAGCTCCAGAAGGTTACAAAGATATACTTCTAGATTCCAGTCCAACTAAATTAGTCACAAATAAGTCCAATGGAAATCAAGAGAACAAGTGAGCTTCCCTTGGAATTAACCATGACTAACATTAGCTGGCTTGGGGACATGGAGTTTGATTCAGAGTATCCCTTCTGTCAGTAAAGGTAAAGGACCCCTGGACAGTTAACTCCAGTCAAAGGCAACTGTGGGGTGCCGTGCTCATCTCTCTTTTTGGGCCGAGGAAGCTGGCATTTGTCAACAGGCAGCTTTCCAGGTCATGTGGCCAGCATGACTAAACCGCTTCTGGTGTAGTTGAAGGGGCCAAAACCCATGGGAGGAAAGGACTGGTGGGTTTTGCTGGTTCACCTGCCCACACTGTCCTGGAGGGTCTCCCACCCTTTTCAGGGAACTGGGAGCAGGAAGGGCAAGGCTCAGTTGGTGAAAATCACCTCCCCGCCTTCCTCTAAAGTATTTAGCTATTTCTGTGTGGCTAAAATGGAAAGGCTACGGGGGGGGGGGGTAGTAGTAGTAACAACAACAACCACCATAGTGCATTTATATAGTGTAGATCAGGGCAGTCCAACATTTCATACCAAGTGGGCCGCAAGAGTGTGTGTGTGTATATTATATATATATATATATATATATATATATATATATATATATATATATATAACACTAGAGGTTTTCAACCTTTCTGAGTTCATGGCTCCCTTGACCAACTACATTCTTTCTGCGGCTCCTTTGTGGGGCTCAGGAGCCCAGTTAGGTCCCCCCTTGCCTGCAGAGCTGGCAGCCCCTCAGCCCTTTTTGAACAGCTTCCCTCAGCCTCCCCTCCTCTTCCTTCTCCTTGGGAGCCCCAAAGAGCGGTGCCTCCCAGAGGCAACATTCGCCTGCGGAAGTTATGGCCAGGGCTGCTGCAATAAACAGCTGTGCAAGCCTTTGGGAGGCAGAGATGCAAGAGGGCTTCAGAGGAAGGAGGGAAGGAAAGAGGGACACCCCTGCAGCATCCCTGACCATCCTTCAGGGCACCCTAGGGTGCCACGGCACACTGGTTGAAAACCACTGTATTACACAATTAATAATGTATGTGCTTCTGTTAACAACACACGAGACCAAAAAAATATTTTGTAAGTGTTTAAGATGTTTCTTCTTGTATGTTGCGTAGGGTTGCCAAAAATGGTCTTACGGGCCAGACCACCTTGGTGTTGATGCTTCAGGCACATTATCTCATTGGTTCTTACAACACCCCTGTAAGGTTGTGGTGAATACTGTTATTTCTGTCATAAGTCAGTCTAAGCAAAAGTGGCTTGCTTAAGGCCACCTACTGGGTTCATTGGAGAAATGATCTCTAACGATTGACACTAATTAGCTACTGAGCCAAAAGCCCTAAACAACTTGGGACCAGGATATCTAGTTGTTTGTCTCCTCCAGTCAAGACCAAGCCAATCTTGAATGCCTTCCAAGGAGATCTAGTTGGTCATTCCAGGACCAGTGAATTGCCCTGGCTGTTCCTGGCAACAGCATGGAAGTGGGTATTCCCAGGAATGCCCTCCCTTGGGTGGTTTGTGAGGCGGAGTCAGCAATGACTTTGAAATGCATCTTAAAGACCTCTGTGTTTACCCAGCCATTCCTGGAATCTGACTCTTAGTTTTTAATTATGTTTTATACACTGTTTCAATATATAGTTGTGTTCCATTTTATTTCACTTTTATGAAATATTATTGTCTGTTGTTATATTTTTATTGTCTTTATGTAAACCACATAGAGATTTTTATTATATTAAGTGGCATAAATTTTTAATAAATAATGATCTAAACATTGGACTCTCTGGTTTCTAGCCAGGTCTGTAGCCACCGCATTCCCCCCTACCCCTCGCTGCAGCCTCTGTGTAATTTGATTTGTGCTATTGAAAAACATCTCCTTTTTCCCAGCTGGAAGAAGAGAAGATTGTGAGGCAGAACATGACAATTTGGCTAACCAACTTGTACAACGGGACCCTCCCTGAAAACGTCACTGGCCCTCCCCCCCACGTGAGCCTTGCGGATGTCCCGAGGGGCCCCTGCTGGGAAACAATGGTTGGTCAGGTAAAGCCATTTTGGAAAAAACAACAACACCCAAAGCTTTTTTAACGATGCTTGCTTGCTGATACTCACAAGAGTATTCATTCTTAATGCATTCTGGCCTCACAGACTTAACTTTCAGCCCGGAATCTTTACAAATGTCAAGAGAAGGAGGAAGGATATTTTGTTGCTTTGATTCCAAGTCCTGGCCCCAAGAAATAGGCGTGGATGAACCCATATTTCTGGGATCATCAGCCTCCTCCTAGTCTGGGGTGGGGTGGAAATCGCAGCTCACTCTAATAGAGGGGATCTATGGTTCGAAATTTGGGGTCTGCAACGAGACTGCTCTGGTGTTTTGGCAGTGTTACTAAATCACTGAGTCATGAAAGTCTTCCTGACTTGAATTACAATCCTCCTCGTCCAGCCAAATCCCTGATCTCTACCTTAGCTGTGATTGAAGTAGTGTCAGGGGGCAGCAACACAAACCACAAACTTAAGGGAAACCCAGTATATGGAGACATGCCCTCCTGTGGATGGATTATTTGGTTTGGCCAGAGGAGGCCTAGTCTATAATTCCGTCTCAACCTTTACTGCATGGTCTTAAACAAGTCATGATATCACAGCTGGGCTATCTCCCAGGATGCATCAAAATCTTTTTACCATGAAATATACAATATGAATATATGAGAAACAAAACCCTGACCTCTTTCCTAGTTGTTTAGAGCAGATTGAGAATGAATGACTGGGAACATCCACTTAAGTCTTCACAATGGTGAAAGGGATTCCATTTAATAGTGTGCCTGAGCTAGGTAGCATATTTGGATATATTCACACAGTAAAATTAGCCAAGGATGTGCATTTTTCCTTCTGTATCAGAATTTGGTATTTTATATTTTTCAATTTTTAAAATTATTATTGTACAGTGGTACCTCAGGTTAAGTACATAATTCGTTCCGGAGGTCCGTACTTAACCTGAAACTGTTCTTAACCTGAAGCACCACTTTAGCTAATGGGGCCTCCTGCTGCTGCTGTGCCGCCGGAGCCCGATTTCTGTTCTCATGCTGAAGCAAAGTTCTTAACCTGAAGCACTATTTCTGGGTTAGCGGAGTCTGTAACCTGAAGCGTATGTAACCTGAGATACCACTGTATTGTTATTCTTACTGTACCCCACCCTGGGATTATTTTTTTGCAAAGTGTGGGTAGTAATTTTTAAAAAAATAAACAATCACAAGCAAACAGGCGATATTCCCATATTGTGTATGCACCATACATTTAAAGCATGTTCCAAGGAATACTGGGAACTGTGGTTCGTCAAGGGTGCTGGGAATTGTAGCTCTGTGAGAGTGTAAGCTACAGTTCCCAGGATTCAATGGGGGGGGGAGAGAAATATGATGTAAATGTGCATTAAAATGTATGGTGTGTAATCAGTCTCTCTCTACACATGGATTGCACTTTCTTCCCTAAGCAACCAAGAGCTTTGTGGCACCGTTAAAGTGCACAAGCCTGTTGTTTTTGCTGCATCAGACTAACATAGCTGGCCCCCTGGAAATTCTTTTCTGCACATGACTATTCATTTAATAAATTATTTCCCCTCTGGAAAAAGTGGGCAAAGGACCCGGGGAATGCTCTGAATACTGTATTTCTGAAATTTTACAGAGGGGCAAAAGGTGTCTGGGAGGCAATGGGCAAGATGATTCAAGATGAGTCTGCTGACATAACACTTTAGGACAGCATCCTGCTCCCCATTTAGCATGCGTGCACAATGTAAGAGTCCTCTAAGTTTCTTGTAAAGTATTCCAATGGCCCATTTCAAACAGCAGGAGTGAATGGCAGGAGGATAAGCAGCGTAGCTTCCTTGGCGTTTGCCAAACGCTCTCAATAAAGAAACAATCCGACCCTTAGCTTCTAAAAAAGAAAACCTTGTTTCTGCAGGAATTTGTGCGGCTGACGGTCTCTGACACTGTGACGACCTACATCACAATTTTAATTGGTGATTTCCTAAAAGCTGTCTTTGTCAGGTTTTTCAATTACTGCTGGTGCTGGGACTTGGAATATGGCTTTGTGAGTATTTGACTTCTTGCTCCTCCTTTAAAAAATGAATTCTTTCTGAAATAATAACAATAATATAATGTAAATGTTTCAGTACTTGACACTGTACTATGCTGTATTATACTATACTAGCAGTCCTACACGATACTGTTGAATTTATGGAGAATATATGGGAAATGCCTGGTTGAACAAACTACCATAAACTATCATTAGAAACGTAATGCTGATAATGCCTTGTCAATCTTATCTTTGCCTGAAGAGCTGCATCTACAGAGTCCACTCCCAAGAAAGATTTTGCATTTATTTTTCATAAGGAAAAGGAACTCGGGGATGCCATGGTGAATGAGACTGAGGTTCACCAAGTCCAGGATTCTGTGGTGGCAACAGCAAACATCTTGGATATGTCTGAAATCTAAACAGAATGACACAGACAAAATATTCTATAGTAGGGCAGTACCTCTATTAGTCCAACCAAAATGTCACAAGATAGGCAACAAGCCATGGCCAGGTCTTCAAAATGCAAGTATCCACCTAGTTCTCTTTAGGCATCCAGTCTCAGCAGAAAATGGCCCAAAGTGAGGATGGGGCAGAGGCAGGCAAGCCCAGCCCCCTCATCCTCATGTGCGCAGGCTCCACTTCAGATCTCGCTGATAATATTCCATAAGAAAGAAGGCAGCACCTTCTTTGTATATCATTTGTGTATTGCCTGCTATTTGTACTGGGCCAGCAGCAAGGCATTTGTTCTTTAATGGTGCCAAATGAGCCAAGTATGATTGATTGATTGTCTTATTTGAGATTTAATGACTGTGACTTGTCCAATTTTCTAACCTCGCCATTAAGGGAGCGCTTTGTATCAGGAGATTCTGATGGGCTTTGTGCTGGTTTGCCAACACAGAGCATCTGAGGCCAGCCAGACGTTTTAGGTTTATAATGTAGACAATCACTTTTTTGGCTGGGCTCTTGTGTTTTCAACAGCTGTGTGGCAAGCAGGGATTCAGCCTATGGAGTTTCCCCCCAGCACCTCATCAGTCAGGAAAACGTCCATTGGTTAATTTAAATATTTATATATATATATTTTCTGCTTAAAGTGCACCTGTTAAAGACATAGAAGTCGCGGCCAGCAAAAAGCTTATAACTATATTAAGGAGTGCTCACACTTCTTTAATTTTAACTTTTTAAAGGGAGGAATTCAGTGCAGTGCTAAGCAGCTCACTCCACCAGAGCCAGCATTTCTGCTTTCCTCTCCCTGGTGCACTTCCAGGGGCTCTTCTGACACCCCCCAAACCAACTGGGGGTGCATTAGGGGAAGGAGGGAGGGGAGAAAGCCCCATAGCGCTAGGGGAAGTTTTCTGCTGGCAGGACTACAGTGGCACCTTGGTTTACGAACTTAATCTGTTCCGGAAGTCTATTCTTAAACCAAAGCGTACTTAAACCAATGCGTGCTTTCCCACAGAAAGTAATGCAAAATGGATTAATCCGTTCCAGACGGTGAAAAGCAACCCCTAAAACAGCAATTTCACATGAATTTTACTATCTAACAAGACTATTTCTGGGTTAGGGTTAGAGTTAATTTTAGGACTGGGTTAGGGTAAGGATTAGAATTAGGGTTAGTTCAGGGTCAGTGTTGTTTTATGTTTTCTTGTGATTTTGATTCATTGCTGGGGAGCGCCTGGCTGCCTTCAGGTGGTGCAGGGGTTCTAAGATGCAGCTTCCGGGCTGCCTCCACCCTCCCCGACCCCAGCAACTATGCAGCCTGGCTGCGTGCAAGCAGGGGCGGGCCGGAGATATCTCAGCTGTGAAGGGAGGCTTCACGCTGCCTATGGGAGCAGCCCCATCTCACTCCTACTTGCGTGCAAGCAGGAGGGGGCAGGGACCCCTCAGCTGGAAGGGAGGCTGAGTGACAGAAGGCTGTGCCAACAAAACAGAAGTGTACCCCTGAACGCCCGTTCGTATGCCAAAACCCCCCACAAAACCCCCAATGCAACCCAGAACACTCATTTCCGGGTTTGAAGTGGTCATAATCCAAAATGTTCATTAACTAGGCTGTTCGTAACCTGAGGCACCACTGTACTTAGTTGAGTCCAGACCATAACTTGGGTGCTGCGCCCCACTTTCTGCCCCCATAACAATGCCCCACATTGTGAATACAGATAAAATCTCTTTAAAAAAAAAAAAAATTATTGATTTCCCAACCATTTGAACACAATAAAGCAGAAAAAACAAAAAAGGAAAAGAAAAAGCAAAGAAAAAAAGAGAAAAAACATAAGATTAACAAAACAAGACGCAAACCATTTAAAACACAAAAACAATTTCAATATCTTAACTTTCATTCCCTTATTTCCACGACCTCCTCACGCCTCCCTTTCTGTATTCCACTTCTATTAAATGTTTCAGCAATTCCTTTCCATCTTCCTCTGTTTTCTATCCTATAATTATCTTAACATATTCTAATCTTATTTTTCCCTTTAATACTCTATTTCTATTTAAACTTAATTCCTTATAACATTTCTACTAAAGCCATATAACTTCATTCCAACATTTTTCTAACATTCATTATTTGTGAATACAGATAAAATCTCAACCTAAATTAGAGGCATGTATGTAATTTGTTATTTGTGGATCTTTTGGACTACAGCTTCCATCAGCCCCAGGCAGCAGAGCCAATGGTGAGAGGTCATGGGAGTTGTAGTCCAATAGGGCACCTGGAAGGCACCTGGTTGGGGAAGGCTAGAGAAACTGTTTCCATATGCTACATATTTTGATTCAGTGAAACAAAGCATACATAACAAAGTTCAGTTTTTATTTTTGTACAGTTTAGTGTGGGGTTCAGAGGCAGAAGGGGGAGAACAGTTCTGTGTCTGATCTTGAACTTTCTGACAACATCTATGACCTGAAACGGAAAGAAACACTGGTTATTACTTGTTTTGTACTTTAAAAAAAACCTAAAACTCATTTTATTGTTTAAAAATCAACATGTTAGATTCTATTACATCTATTATAGTGCCATGCAGGCCTAGAACTCTATATTAAAAACTCCACAGTCAGGTGTCATTTAAATATTATTTTGCATCTGTGTTTCAGATTATATTATTGCCCCGGTTCTGGAGATTTGTTCATTTGCTTGAGGAAAAACTGTTCCTAATGCAAAATGATCAATATGCAATCTTCGCACATTGTTTTAAAGCTTTGTTGCAACTCTAAGAGAATTCATTATGCTTTCCCTTCAGCCTTCATATTCAGAATTTGATATTAGTGGAAATGTGTTGGGCCTGATCTTCAATCAAGGCATGATCTGGTAAGTGTGTCTTGGTGGAATACTGCACGAGAGATCTTGTAGAAGTGGCTGTACTTATGGTTAAGGTTTGCCAATGTGACTGAATTCTTCTGCTTTGCTTGTCAAATCTCTGATATAAATGTGGAAAATCACACTTGTCACCTCTGGTCTTGATTCTCCACTTCATTGTACCAGCTTTACTGTGGTGTGACTTCACTGAAATCATGCCTGGACACTGTGAAATAAGCTGTTATAAATTGAGAGTAACAAATGGTGACTCAATCATGAGTCCTTCTCTGAAGACATAGTCATGTTGGATGCCACCTTTCAGGTGTGACAAATTCAGCTATTGTTGTTGTCAGACTTTTGGAATATACAGGGCATATACAGGGCAATCATTATTAGTTTCTTATTTGGTGTTGCTTCCTTGCTCCTACATTTGGCTCCTCCAATGTGACAAAAACACAGGAGGCTATAAATATCGTGGCAAATCATGAATGTGGGAGTTGGTGTTTACCTTTCAAGAAAGATCCATGCCTTCACACTCCACCATTGGCAAGCACTGCTGTGAATCCCCCTGAGCTCAATGCTATACGATAGACATGTTTCTGCGTTTATGCTGTAATAAATTCAGTTTGACCCTTCAGTTACAGCAGTCAGTTATTAATTTAGGAATAAACTATTCAATTATGAATAAAATAAACAATTATAAAGAAGCAGGAACATAGCTTGAGAGTGGTTGGTTGGCATCCCTGTCTTGGGACACAATGGAAGAATGTGCCTTTGGAGGTAAAGTCAAACTATTGGAAGGTTGCAGCACCTGTTGTGGCTGTAGAGACATGGGAGAGATATGCTTGAGAGAGTTCCTCCTAGATCCATCCATGTCACTGGAGGTGTAGAAGTTTGTAGTGGCCAGGAGGGCTCTCTTCCAGTTTCCACTGGTACACCACCTACAACCAATCCTGGAAAGGATGCGATAGTGCAGGTCTTGGCAGCCTCTAGACTGGACTACTGCAGTGTGCTCTGTGTGTGCTGCCCTTAAGGTTGATTTTGAAATTGCAGCTAATGCAGAATTCTGTGCCCCAACGTTTGCCCAGAATAGCTCCACATCAGCATATTACACATGTGGTAGTTTTGACCTTCCAGCTATGATATTGAACTATTACATTAAGGAGGAAAATAGTGAAATACCAGAAATTATTTTTTCAAATATATTACTCACCCCATTTCATTCAAATATTAATTTGGGGACAGGTGGGGGTGTGTGCTCTAACATCAGATTTCATATGCATTCCCAGAAACAGATTACATCAGTTTTCAATGCAAACTGAAATTTGCATAAAATGTTAGGAAAAAATCTGATGGTTACCTCAAAATTAAGGTCATACATTTTCATAATGTTTCTTCTCTTTTGTTTGGTATAATTCCATTTTAGCTCTACTAGATCCCAATTCAGTTTAATCCATTCTATACCAGGCAGAAGAGAAAACAAGAGCAGAGAAAAACTACATGAGCTCCCTATAGTTTAATCTCATGCTTTTGCAAATACCAGTAAGCACTACCTGTAGGGATCGCTAAACAATCACACTGTGACAAAATGAAATACACTTTGATTCAGGAAACAATGCGAACAATCTGGCAACTGTAATAAATGATAATAATAGATCAATCCAACCAGGTTGGGGGAATAGAGTAGCAGAGGAGGATGAACTGTGTGGAGGGTGGTGTGTGTGCATGCATGCATTTTCCCAGGGGGGCTTGTCATGTTTATTATTGTGTACCTGTGATAAGATAAGAACCATATTAACTTAATCTTTATAAACATGGCTGTTTTGAAAGCACCTATCTCCAAATACAAACCAATATGGACTAGCAGAGTGTTGGGAGGGGCAAATCCAAGGGTTTGTGGCTGGGAAAGCAAAGGGATATAAAAGCTAAAGAGTTACTGCCATAGAACCCCCTTTGTAGATTTTTATGAGAAAATGGCTTATTGAATGTTCATAGGATGGGCTCTTTTTATGCACCATGTCTGCCGGCGATCAACGTCATCCGCCTCCATACATCCATGTACCTGCAGTGCTGGGCTGTGATGTGCTGCAATGTTCCCCATGAGAGAGTCTTCAAAGCCTCACGATCAAACAACTTCTACATGGCCATGCTGCTGTTTATTCTCTTCCTCTCCACGCTGCCAGTTGTCTACACAGTTGTTTCCGTCCCTCCATCTTTTGACTGTGGTCCATTCAGGTTTACTGCATTTTATATCCATTTCTTCAAAGTCAGATGTAGGATTACTGAACAAATAACTATAACATTGGATGCACTTTCATGAAAGATAGGTGTGACAAAGACTGTATACATACTATACCTTTAAAACCCATTTGAAGCCCATTTTCCCCTTCAAAGAATTCTGGGCACTGTAGTTTGTTCATTATTGCTGGAAATTTGAACTCTACGGCAAGTATACTACAGTGCCCAGAATTCTTAGAGGGGGGAAATGGGCTTCAAATGTGCTCTAAAGGTATATTGTGTATGCCAACAGATAACAGGGTCACTTATATTTAAAAATTAATAATTACAGTCCAATGCAGGGCCTTTATGTTAGCCTGAGTAAACATTTTCCCCTCAGCTTTTGTCAAGGACAGATATTTAAACATTCTCAGAAACATTGCAGATGTTCTTTGAATGTGCCAGACTCTGCAGAACATATTCTTTTCTACTATGAACTTAATAAGATATACTTCTGAGTAACTATGTAAAAGATGCTGCTGCGCAGGGTACTGGACAAGGCAGTGTCTCAGTTGCACTTCAGATTTGCATTCTGCATGTAGCATTTATTATGTTGAATGGGGAAAAAAGTCAGGAACAAATATATATAAGTGGGATACAATAACTGTGGGGGAAAATAATGTAGGAGGGGAAAGCACAGGTCAAATTGAACTAGATGTTAATGTGGGATTGTTCCTGATTTTTAAATTTCTACGTCTCTGAAGGGCCTATTACTCAACGCCTTGTTTCAATTTCCAGAAGTCATAGAAAATATTTTGCTTTCCAAAACAAATCATATCCCCATAGATCTATGGCATTTTTAAAAAGAGAATATGACCTGTTGCTTTATTTGAATGAACGGTGTTTGTGAATTTAGCTGGGTCACATTGTCCTACACTGACTTCCCATCCCCTTTGCATTTCCAGAACAAGCTATTTGTCTTTACCTTTTAAATCTCTTTGGAGTTTTGTTATTATTTGCCCAGATCCTCTAAGTGTCCCTATTTCCAGGGACAGTTCTGGATTTACAGAATCTGTCCCGGTTTCTGATTTGATCCCGGACTGTCCCGTTTTTCCTTAGGATGTCCCTATTTTTGTCAGACAAATATTGGAGGTTATGGAGTTATGTGACCCCTGAGTCATCTGAAGGAAGTTCTGTGTAGGAAAGTTTATGCCCAGAGTGGCTGGGGCAACCCAGTCAGCTGGGTGGGCTATAAATAGTAAAATGATGGTGGTGGTGGTGGAATAGGATGTCCCTACTTTCATTGGAGAAATGTTGCAGTGCAGGATATGCCACTTCTCTGCTACTCTCTGTGTCTTTCTGCTTCCTTCCACAACTGTGCATATTCTCCTGCACTGCCTGGCACAGGTCTGTTTGGCCCGAGAGACTGTTTTTCTCAGATCATACCCACCTGCCCCACATCTGATGTGATATGTGACATTAAATGTGGGGCAGATAAGGACATGGCTACAAAGAAACAATTGACAACTTCAAGTGAGTTCCTGATTGTTTCTTTGGAAGCTGGGCTGGCAGATAGCAAACTCTACTGGGATTGCCTAGATGAGGGATATTTATGTTGGAAAGATAAGGATTAAAGTAGGGACAAATATGGATTGTGGCAAAGATTGTGTGCGCACTGCTTCTCAAACCAGCAGTGGGAGTGCACTGGATGCAGAGTAAACTGGAGCATGTCCACAACCTTCAGGTCCTGGCCTGCTGGCTAGATCTAGTATCCCAGTGCTGGCCTAGACTGCTTCCCAAAATACTTAGAACGCTACCTCCCTTTCCTTTCCCTTCCAGTTAGAGGCAGTGCTTCCCTCTTTGCCGCTTGAGGTGAAACAGGAAGTACAACCCTGCCCTGCCACCGCCATCCCACCAAAACATCCCTCACCTGGGTTGCACAGCAGTGCCATGTGGCTGTGGGTCTTGGCAATATCTCACAAGTTTGTGCTTTTCTTACTCAGCAAAGGGCCACTGGTGTAAACAACAATACCGGTAATTATTACTGAGCTGTGTGGAAACCCAGGTCCTTTGCTCTCAGACTCAAGATAAGGCCCGGATTCATTAACATGCTCCTTTGTTTCAAAATCTGGAAAAGACCTCAAGAAAGTCAATAGCTACAAAACAGGGGAGGCTGAGGATTGCTAGTTTTCATTTGTAATTATGGAAAGCCATGTGTGACATCTAGAGGTGGATCTGTATATGTGCAGCCCCAGAACTTGTGCAAGGATATAACGACCCTACTGTCTCATTAACTGCTTCCACTCTTGCACTATTTTGTAAAAAGCGCACATGAAACAACACATGGCACTTTCATGGACAGCCCCATAACAAATGAATGTGTAATACCCTCCAGGGCTCTTTTAATGCAGGAGGGTCAGCAGTATGAAATTCTTCTCCAGATGTTCTCAGGATTCACCTGAGTTGCTTGCAAATGTGGGTGCCCCTGCTTGAATGTCAGTGAGCAGGAGGGAAGTGAACAAGGCCCCGCTCTTCTCCCTCCTGTGACCTGCTGCTTAGTCACTTGCCCTGGGCTGTAGGAAGGAAGATGCGCCTGGCGCTCCCTCAGCCCTGTGGAGAAACCACTGCTATGTGTACCACTTGATTAGAGAGAATGCCTTGACTTTTGGTGTAAGCTCATGCACGCCTAATTCCAACATACAGAAAATTAACGTATCAGTGAAAAGGCTAGGCTACGATCTTCCTCTGTGAAATCTAATTTTCCTCATGGGGGGTTGAAATATACTTGGAGTCCTGTAGTGATTTCATGCTCTTTATTGCTGCTTGTAAAACAGTGATTGAATTGCCCCCCCTCCACAAACCTCAGGCTTTTATATACATTATTTACACAATGAGTCCCGTCTGACTGGCTGATTCTGCTTCCCTCCTGGAGCCTGATTGGTCTTTTCCTGCCAGCCAATCAGTTGTTGCATTCTAGGATCCTACTTGCCTATTGTTCTAGGATCCAAGCTTAGTACATAACAGGGGTATTTGGGGATGGAGGAGCCCACCACCCTTTCTGAAAAGACGAATAGGCATTCAGTCGTGTGAACTGCCACATTTGCACTACGTATACATTTAAAGCACTGTTATACCATTTTTATAGTCATTGCTCCCCCCCCCAAAAAAAACAATCCTAGGAAATGTAATTTGTTAAGGGTGCTGAGAGTTGTTAGGAGACCCCTCCAAAAGCTAAAATTCCTTGAGTGGTTTAATATATCTGGTAGCAATAAAGACTGATTGGGTTATATTCTGGCATTACTATGGTTGTGAATTATTCGTGGTTTTTTGTAATTGCTTCAGCTACACAAATAAATAATATTTGTATTTGTTATTAGTATTACTTTAACAAAAACACTATTTACATTCCCACCCTTTATCTCTGTGTGTCTTTGCACTAACAGCGGGAAAACCAGAATGTTTGAGGTCATTGGAGAAACTCTGGAGCATGATTTCCCTTCCTGGTTTCGGAAGGTTTTCAGACTTCTCTCAAACCCTGGTGTGATCCTGCCCTTCATACTACTGATGGTGTATGTACAGCACACATTTATATGCTTAAAAATAAATACATCCCCATTTTTTTAGACATACGTAGAATGCATTCACTGCCAATTGGAGGCAGGAGGGCTAAAGGGATGGAGGGGGGGAAGGTGGACTTCTCTTTTAATGGCCCCTGAATTTAAAGCTGGCTCTATTCTTAGGCAGATTGAGATAATTGCCTTGAGGAGCAGAAGCTGGCAGGGGGCACAGCAACACCCCCCCTTTCTTCCTGATCCCACCAGCTGTTCCCTTCCTCAGTTTTGTGTGCCTCAGGCCTGTCATACGCTCCCTAAACTTGCTTGTTACGCTCAGGTGTGGTGGAAGATGCTATTCCACTGCCAGTGTTAGAAGTACAATTCATCTTTCAGGCCAGTTGGCTCCTGCCAATGGAAGGAGCGGGTGAGGGGATGCCATATTGTCTTTGGCCTCAGGCAAGACCTTCTCTTAGGCCATCCCTGCCAGAATTCTGAGATTATTGTTGACGGCAGCTTCACCTCAGAGTTCCTTTAAAGCAGCTAAACGGGGGTGGGGGGCAAGGATGAAATAGCAACTAAAGGATGTGGTTGTGTAAAAGTAGTACTTGACACAGCATTGCAAGGACTCCAGAAACATCAAACCATAGTTCTTGTCTAGGGTGCAATTCACTTGCATCAGCTTCTGGTAAGGAAGATGGTTGTTATAGCACTCTGCTTAAAATAGAGATGCATGAATCTGTCAATTTTGGATTATCTCAAGTGAAAGAAATTTATTCTTATATATTGCATTTTGTACATTATTTTCATTAATATATGCAGTTTTATTAACACTTTCCTCTAATATCCACATTGTCATTAGAGAACTATTTCAAGATATTCAGAGAAGTGTGAATTTCAAAAGCTAGCCTCTTTACCCTGGACTTTGGCACATGAGATATTTATTTTAAGATCCACCCTATTCCCTTGACAGTAATTAGTTTTAGCTTATTTTATTATTATATTTGTTGTAAACCACCCTGGGGCCTTATGGTGAAGTGCAGATAAGAAATAAAATAAATAACAGAAAAATAACTGTTTTGTTTCAAAATGCAAACTGAATGAAATTTCTCCCTATTTCTACTTTAAAAATGGTTTTTAATGGTTGTAATAATTATGTGACATAGCATATGTGGTTTCCCCCCATTTAGCCTGAGTATCTACTACCTCAACGCTATATCAAAAGGGTACCAAGATATGAATCTCGAGCTCAAGAAGAAATTGCAAAATGTAAGGATGCTGCAAAAGATTGTTGATAGGGTTTTTTGTTTGTTTGTTTCTCATTAGATGGTGATTATTCGTGAGACTAATTCTGGGATGTTCACTTTTGTTCTTCACATTAGCAAGCTGAGGAAAACAAAAGGAGGAACAAACTAAAGGCCCAGCAAGCCCGGGGGGAGGCTGAAGAAAACCCTTTTGAGACAGCGCCCAAACCAAGCAATCCGAAAGAGGGTCAAGGTGAGGAACGGTTTGAAAGCCATTACAGGAAGCTGCCTCCTCAGCTGTCAGTGATGCACAGAGCATCATTTCCTGCCAGGGATTCTGGGACTTGTAGTTTACAAACTGCAGGAGATTTACAGAGAAAATGATATTGACTTCGATATTAAGAGAAGTGAATGGAAGGGAATTCACAAAAGAAAACTTTCTTTTTTCCTTCTCTGCACTGCAGCCATCTGTGCCCCTTGAAAAGCCTTTGCAGATGGCTGTTCTGTAGGATGTGGGATGGGTAGGAGGATTGTTGAAAACCAGGTGAAGATCAGCTTAGTTTTGGACAACCCTCCAGAAACTCAGCTTTGTCCCATTGTTCACATACCCTCTAACATTTTGAGGCAAAAAACCGGGGTGCCGTCTTCTGGGGCTACCTTCCTGCATGAGTCACATGACTCATGCGAGATTGCAGCCCTCAAAAGTGCTTTTTGGGGGTGGGGTGAGATCATGACACCTAAAATGTCTGCTGTGCTCTTGTGTGAAAAAACAGGATTTCCCAGTTTTATCGGGACAGTTGGGGGGTGTTCAGGATATTTTCCCAAGTCTCCAGATAGGTCTTTTGGGGAGCTTTGGCTGGGGGGATGGACAGATAGAGGGGGTGTAGAATGGGGCTGTGGGGCTAAGCAGAAGCAAAGGAAAACCAATGTGATTAGACTTCCACAGAATGGCTTTCCACCATTCTGGAATCTATGTGCATAGAAGTCCATTCTTAAGAGGCTTCCCTTTACAGATGTACTTGCCTAATGTGGGCAGGGGGCCACAAGACCTTGGTGGGTGGGATTAGCAGTCTCTCAACCAAAAAACGTATGTGACATCCTTTCATGTTATGCATGAATGAAGGATCCTAATGCAGTCTTTTCCAGTCCTGCATCCTACAGATATTTTGGACTCCTATTATTCCTGAATCTTGGCAATCTAGCTGGGACCGATGGAAGTTGCAGTTCCCTATCAGGATGAGGAGAACTGCACGAAGTCCAATGTCTTATGCCTTACATACTGTACCAAGACCTCCTAGCTGGTTTCAAACTAGTTTTGCAATTGCCTTCCCTCAGCTCAGTCAGAACATTAAAGATTGTTTTGTTTGAAGCAGAGACCTGATAAGAAACTACTGATACTCTTGTCACTCCTTTGCAGCCTAACCTTTTTGGCAAATGTTTGTGAAGGGTGCTATAACGTAGGTAGGCTGAAACAATAAGTAGCTTCATTTCTTTGTTTCTGTTACACAGTTTTTAGTCTGCTATCCGTATTGGAACCCCTCCCAAGACCACAGGCCTAGAGTGTGCTCAGTTCCAACCTTTGACCACTAGGTGCCAACCACAGAAGCATGTCTTACATGTGCCATGTTTCAGTCCAGAATTTGCATTCTGGCTTTGGGTTCAAAAAATAAGTCCTGTTTTCCCCCCAACAATGTTTTCAGATAAAGAAAAAGGAGCAAATGAGACCAAGAAAAAGCCAGGTGAACAGAAGGAAGACAAACCAGGTATTGCAAATGGAAGCCAACCTCCCTGTGGCAGAGGACGAGGTGGCCCTGCGCCTCCCCCACAGATAGCAGTGACCCGGCCAGCGGCTCCAAGGTAAGGTTACCAGATGTCCCCGTTTCCCGGGGACAGTCCCTGGATTTTCAACTCAGTCCTCATACAAAATCCATTGAGTGTCCCCGGATTCATTGAAAAGTGTCCCCGGATTCATTGAAAAAAATCTGGTAACTTTATTCCAAGGGTCAGTGGCATGAATGGATACACTCCCAGAAACCCACACTTTGCAGGCATGTCGCCAAGAATCAGTGGCGTAGTGTGGGGGGTGCAGGGGGGGCCAGCCGCACCGGGCGCAACATCGGGGGGGGGCGCGCTCGCACTCGCAGCTCTCTGCCCCTACCTGGCTCACTCACTCTCTCTCACTGCAGTGCTGGCTGTGCGAATCCAATCCGAGCCGCTGGGTCGCCGCCCACTGTGGAGGGGGTGGGTGCCAGGCGTGCGGTGCGGAGAGAGAGCGAGGGACTATCTGGGGGAGGGACAGTGCAGCGGCCGCCCAGCGCAGCGCTGAGCGCGGGAGAGAACCACACCAGACCAGACCAGGCAGCAGCAAGAAGAAGCTGGCAGCGACGGCAGGTTAGGGGTTAGGGGGCGCAAATTACTTGCCTTGCCCCGGGTGCTGACAACCCACGCTACGCCGCTGCCAAGAATGCCAGGACCACCTCCATCGTTCCAATTTTAGTATATGTGCTGCCAAAGCGAACACGCCAGGACCACCTCCAGATTATAAAACACACTTGGAGGTACAATCCTGGAAGGAAAACAAACATTTAAAACAATGTACACCAATAAATTTAAAATTTATAAATGCAATAAGCGTATAGACACTTAAAACTTTAAGATAAGCTACCGCAGAGAGATGACCCAGAGTCACCCATGGAACCGAGTTTGGGGATTATCTTAACGACCTAGTTTGGGTCGGGGGATGGTCTGCGCCTACAGATCTGTACGCAGAATCTGGCGACCGTCCGGGTCATCTTATGATCTATGCCTAACAGGAAAAGGTCAAATTTTTGCTTTTCTGTGAGGTCAGCGAGCCTCACCAGTAGGGGATCAATGGTCTCCCTACGTGCCTCTTCATAAAAGGGACATCTAAAGAACAAGTGTTCTGGGCTTCCCCCGATGAACAGGCACAAAGTCTCTGAGCATATGAGGACCACCTCCAAATTACTGATAAGCAAAGTGTTCCAACTCATTAAACAACATTAGACTCCACGTACTTGTAGTAAAGGGAAGTACAGTGGTGCCTCGCAAGACGAAATTAATCCGTTCCGCGAGTCTCTTCGTCTTGCGGTTTTTTCGTCTTGCGAAGCACGGCTATTAGCGGCTTAGCGGCTATTAGCGGCTTAGCGGCTATTAACGGCTTAGCGGCTTAGAGGCTTTAAGAAAAAGGAAACAAACTCGCAAGAACTCGCAAGACGTTTCATCTTGCGAAGCAAGCCCATAGGGAAATTCGTCTTGCGGAACGACACAAAAAACGCAAAACCCTTTCGTCTAGCGAGTTTTTCGTCTTGCGAGGCATTCGTCTTGCGGGGCACCACTGTATCCAATAAGATTTTTCACCCTCACAGAAAGATGCAGGGGTTATCAGAGGTGATGTGGCTGGGACCTAGCTTCATGAGCCACGGTGGCCAGGATTCAAGTCCAGGAGAGAATGGGGGCCCGTGTCACTGACTGGCTGGCAGTAGCAGGTCAAGCCAGGTGCAAATACACATTAGCACAGAGCTAGAAGTCTGAAAGTCAAGTGGCTAGGTAACTTATGCCAATAGAATGTAAAGAAAATGAAGTCAGTGTGCTGTTGCTTTGAAAATATTTCTGTAGAAGAGCTAGCATTGTCTAAAACCACAAACAAACCTGAATACTTTAGTGACTTTCAAGTCTACATAGGGTGTCCAAAATTTGCTTTGAAATATATGTGAATCAACTCTACATATTAAAAAAAAATTAAAGCCTTCCCTCATGGCTTGAGTTCAAAGGTTGTGTTGCATATGTGAAAAGCTCTCCTCATTTGGGGTTGAATTCTTCCTACTGTTCCAGAGAGTCTCCCCCTTCCTCAGGAATGGGTTGGGGGAGTGAAGGAAAGGAAGAGGCACAAAAGCCTTTTGGGGGGAAGCTGTTAGAATCCAAGCCAATGTTGCTTTGAAGTGAGTTGTAGAGAAGGAATGCTGACTTCTAATTTGAGTGCTTGTAGATGGCAATGCATTTTACCCAACGCCTTGGTTAAAATGCAATGGGAAGTTCTCCTGCACAAGCTCATGTGAAGGTATTGGAGCACTTTAGAACCGTGGACCTTATGCAGGGGAACATACTGGTGAATTAAGTTTCCAAGTTTCGTTAACTTAATTGGGATGTAATTTGGAGAATATTACAAACTGTACTCTCTGTAAATATGAAAGACTGCAGTATGTTTTCTTTTTAAAAAATACAAAGATATTTTTGTGTGTACTTCAAGGGTTTTTAATTTTATAAATTCTTATCTAGATCGTAAGTTTTAGAGATGAAAAGGAGTGGGTAGAAAAAGTTCCCTTGATACCAGTGTGACCACTGGTCCTGCTAGCTAGGAACGATGGGAGTTGTAGTCCAAAAACAGTTGGAGGAAACACTGCTTTGTACAAAAATGACTTGTTATGAACAGCCCACTAGTTTTTTTTTTTTATGTGCCTTCACTTCTGTATGTAATGAAACCACAGAACCACCAGAGGGCAGACCTCAATTTGGCTTGGCTAAGCTCACTGCTCCATTTTTATTCGGTGATACCTTGTTGACATAGTCGAACCAAGGTGCACATAGCTTAGATGGCTTAACAAACACCACCACCCTGACAAATTCTTGGAGGATATGTAACTTTTATTTAGGTCAGGAAACAATACTTCAGACAAGATGGCAGTTTACTAACTATTCTTTGCCTGAGACAACAGAGGCTAGCTGATATAAGATCCACAGGCTTCAGGTTGCCCTGATCGCTGCCCCACCTTCTAGGGAGATGACAAGTTTCCTCTTGCTAGAAGCCCTCGGAGAGTTGGTCTGGCAGTAATCGATTGTAACAATGTGCTTGCACAAAATACAGATGCCAACTATTATGAACGATAGATGGAGCTTCTATGCTTAGGCATTCTGTTTATTTTATTATTTATTTATTTATTGAATTTATATACCCAGAGGTATCAGGATGGTTCACAGAATAAAATCAAAATATAAAGCCACAAAATACATAATCAAAATAAAAACAACCACCCAATAACCCCCCTAAAAAAGAACCCCACATTTTAAAAGGACATACTGTTATGTTTTATATGCCTGTTCATAGAATCATAGAGTTGGAAGAGACCACAAGGGCCATCGAGTCCAACCCCCTGCCAAGCAGGAAACACCATCAGAGCACTCCTGACATATGGTTGTCAAGCCTCTGCTTAAAGACCCCCAAAGAAGGAGACTCCACCACACCCCTTGGCAGCAAATTCCACTGTCGAACAGCTCTTACTGTCAGGAAGTTCTTCCTAATGTTTAGGTGGAATCTTCTGTCTTGTAGTTTGGATCCATTGCTCCGTGTCCACTTCTCTGGAGCAGCAGAAAACAACCTTTCTCCGTTCAGTTACATCTTGGATCTTAGCCCCGGGGAGACAGCACACTTCCCGAGACATCTTGTCAGGCCCACAGATCACTGCTTCTGTTCCCCTCAGTAGGGAATCCCCTATCACCACTACACGCCTCCTCTTAGGTCTGGTCGGGGTTCTTCCGTGAGCTGTCCGTTCCAAGGTCACCTGCACATTCCCTGAGGACTGACTTTGCTGCTCGTCTTCATATACCTGATTGACTGTAATGAGGGAGATCCTCAAATGGAGTCTGCTCTTCGTCTTCCATGCTAGGGGAGAGGACCTCAAAGCGATTGTGTATTTCTAAACAATCAGAGCGAACCCTGGGCCTCCTACTTCTTTGAGTCACGTTTCTCCATATATCTGGCTCCTGTGTTGGTGAACTAGCCTCCCTGTTGTCTTTGTCCATGGAGTTTGATGGCCAAAATCACATTCTTGATGGCAGAAAGTGAGGAGGAATTAAAGAACCTTTTCATGAGGGTGAAAGAGGAGAGTGCAAAATATGGTCTGAAGCTCAACATCAAAAAAACGAAGATCATGGCCAGTGGGCCCATCACCTCCTGGCAAATAGAAGGGGAAGAAATGGAGGCATTTTACTTTCTTGGGCTCCATGATCACTGCAGATGGTGACAGCAGCCACAAAATTAAAAGACGCCTGCTTCTTGGGAGAAAAGCAATGACAAACCTAGACAGCGTCTTAAAAAGCAGAGACATCACTTTGCCAACAAAGGTCCGTATAGTTAAAGCTATGGTTTTCCCAGTAGTGATGTATGGAAGTGAGACCTGGACCATAAAGAAGGCTGATCGCCAAAGAATTGATGCTTTTGAATTATGGTGCTGGAGGAGACTCTTGAGAGTCCCATGGACTGCAAGAAGATCAAACCTCTCCATTCTTAAGGAAATCAGCCCTGAGTGCTTCACTGGCGGGACAGATTGTGAAGCTGAGGCTCCAATACTTTGGCCACCTCATGAGAAAAGAACACTCCCTGGAAAAGACCCTGATGTTGGGAAAGATGGAGGGCACAAGGAGAAGGGGACGACAGAGGACAAGATGGTTGGACAGTGTTCTTGAAGAAACCAACATGAGTTTGACCAAACTGTGGGAGGCAGTGGAAGACAGGAGTGCCTGGTGTGCTCTGGTCCAGGGGGTCACAAAGAGTCGGACAAGACTAAATGACTAAACAACAACAGCTGTTATGTTTAGATGTGCACCATGTTTATATGCAGGGCTTTTTCAGCTGGAACTTGCTGGAACTCAGTTCCAGCCCTTCTCAGATGGACACAATTGCCATTCTAAGAGAATGAGAGATGTGTTCATGGTGAGTTCCGGCACCTCTTTTTCTAGAAAAATAGCACTGCTTAGATGGGGCTGGTTGGAGTCCAGCAACATTTGGAGGGCCACAGGTTCCCCATAGCTGCTATACCAGAAGCATCATCTTTACATCTTGTATATGAGGTTCCAGAGATGTCATATTGTCCACTTTTGGACTAGGTGGACCTGATCTAGAAATGTGGATCAAGCATTGTTGAGCACCTGCAGCCCAAACCATTGCAGCAGGACGCATTTGCCATTCTGTGGATTCTCCTGGTCCAGCAGTTTCTCCCCTGTTGATGTCTGTTCACCTCTGAGCATGCAAGAAATGACAAGAGTAGGGAAATGGAGCTCTTCTGCTGCACAGTTGTGCCGTTTTGGTCCAGAGGGAGATGGCAAGCAGGTGGGCAGTGGCGCCTTGGAGAGGAGGGCATCCCCCACATGACAGCATGCAGGATTTTTGCAGCATCCACGTGACATAATCCTCATCAGAACACCATCCCATTATATCCAGATTTACCATTCCTGCTGTGATTTATTCCCCCCCCCCAAAAAATCTGGATTAAATAGGAAAATGATGTGGATGGTGTTGAGTGGACATTGCACAAAACTTGCATGCAGGAGCAGCATTGATTCCATTGCTGCATGCTCTGCCTTAGTGAGATGTGTTGAGGCAGACTAGCACCAATCCTGCATTGCCCCGTGCCTGGTGCTGGAGCGTCATCAAGGGGACAGGGCTTATTGTACATGCTGCTGCAGACCACTTGGTTCATTCAGACTGAAGGCACGAAGAGGGCTTAAGTCATTCCCATTACAGATTTACCTGCAACAAGGACCCAGTTGCGTTGAGACGTTACACACCTGTGAAAACGAATCTGCTGCCCTGAGCAACTTTAGCTGCTCATCATGTAGAATGTTTTATTAAGAACAGTTTATCTTGCCTCTTCTGCTGTGATCAGCTGGTTAGTTGTGAAGCATTTGATCTGACACTGAGTCCCTGCATGGTCAATATATCTGGGCATTTCACAATAGCAACTGATTCCCCCTCAAGCTGTAATGAAGAAAAATTCAACAGATGTTTTCTATTTATTTGCACAATGCCTTCCTTAAACTATGGGGATTTTTAGCTTTAAATATTTAGCTTGTTTCTGGATTCATCCTGTTCATGGGCTCTTGTCTCTGCAAAGATTTGTGTTTTGGCTTCCCGTTTGTTATACATTTCCCTGGTGTCTGGTCTAGGGCTGTTATTAAATGTTTCACCTTCAAAATAAATAATTTATTTTATGAACATCCAAAGGTGACTGTTTTAGGAAGAATAGCTTCATATGTTTAAAAAGCAGACAGTCGGTGTGAATCTCCCCAGTTCTCCAACTCTGAGATAACTTTGCAACTCCAAGCGATTTTGAGGAGTATATAAAACCAAGGTTTAGGACAATATACTGAGTCCTTTGGCATATATATATATAATAATAATAATAAATTTAAGCAGTTTTCATGAAATTATATAGAATATTCAGTAAAATAGTGATAAAAACAGACTTTAAATATAGTGGACATAATAAAATTTTCAAAAATATAGATAAAAATCAAGATCTTTCTTAAAAAAACCTGAATGTAATAAGATTGCATGTCAGGTTAGTCTTGCCTAAACAAAAAAGTGTTTTGCAGTTATGAATATGTTTAATAACTTATTCAACTCCCTGCATTCCAGATAAGCCTCAGAAATCCATTGCGCGAATCTCTACTTGCCAATTTTTCCTCCTCAGTGCTTTTGTTAAAGGTGCAGGATCTCTCTCCTTTGCATCCAGTCCCTCTGTTTCTGGCTCACTGTTTCCAGCACCTGCTGAGGTTGACATCCCAGCTGGAGTTGGGGCAGTACCACAGCCTCCTTGGCCTTAACTGCACATCCTCTCTGGTGTCACTGACTGCTAACCTGTCCCCTCTAAGGAAGCAAAGCAGTGACAAGAGCAAGGAGCCTCTGCTCACCTTTCACTTTCTTGAGTTACTGTAGAGTTAGGCCCCATGTGAGATGGTAAACAAATGGGCATTGGCAACAGGAGGGAGGAGGAGGAGGTCATCTTGCCCCTCCACAAAACCTGGTCTGGTTGGTGCATGGTATTTTGAGCTACATTCAACCATGGCTAGCAGCTGGTGAGGTGGTGCAGGTGGAACACCACTGCTCTTTAGCTGGGGTGGTGCATGGTGGCTCAGCGGTCACACACAGCACCGGGCCATGCCTTGCCCTCCCCTCTCCCTCTTGGTAAGGGCCAGCAACCCAGTGCGTTGGGAAGCTGGGACACCTACATCCTCTCACTTGGGCTGCTATGCTGTGTGTGAACCCTGCCCAGCCGCTCTGCTATGATCTGAATGCAAAAAATCAGTTCATGGCTAGCATTGGACTCCATCAAAATAAAAGCCTGAGAAGGCAGCAGTTTTTGAAATATCTACTAAATGGTCAGCTTATTTCCAGCTCACAATGACAATAGGAAGCTGAATTGGATCATAAGCTCAGTATTGTCTACTACAGTAACTGGCAAAGGCTCTCCACGATTTCAGGCAGGGCTCTCTGCTAGCCCTCATGGGTGCAGCTGGGGGGGGGGGTAGGGGGCAACTGCCCCCCAAATCAATAAAAAGCAATAAAAATACTTAACTAACTGAGGTTCTGCTGCCTCTAACAGAAGCCTGTCCCCACTCTAAGAGATGCCAAGGGTTAAACCTGGGATCTTTTGTAGGAAGAAATAAAGGTTGATCCAGTTTCTCTCAATGCTCCCCTGGTCTGCCAAAAGCAACTTTCTTAATCCATTCCTGGGCTGAAGCAAAGAAGCACCAGTCAGCTACCAGCAGGTGTGTTTGGGGGGTGTCTAGGGGTGAAGCCTTGATTAAAAACACCAGTTTCCTTTGTGAAATTTCTTGCCATGATTTGAGAAAATGACCTGTCACTGATCATTAAGGTTGAAAGTTGATGGACCTGAGCTTCCAATTGTGCTTAGGCTGCATTTTCTTGGGTGCTGCCCAAGCACAGAAGCACTTGGCAAGAAGCGGGAGCACCTTGGGTTCCTTCTGCCAATGCCCACTTGCCGTGGTTTGCTTTGCGTGACTCACAGCTGCTTGAGTTTTATCAGGCTCTCGCTTCATGGTTCTGTGGTTGTTTTGGTCAGGGTGTTTCCATCCAATGCTTATCCCTAGCTGTCAAGCAGCACTTTTCCGGTCATGGCTTAATATTCCGTGACATAAAACTACACACCTAGGACTGCTTTCCTGGGAGCAAACCCACTGAATTCAATGCCACTTGCTTGGGAGCAAATGCCTATAGGTTCGCAATGTAACACATTGTAATTCCTTTGTACTCCCCAGCCCTAGAGGATTTAAAGTCCACTTCTTCCTGGGCATTTCCACATCTGCCTGCTCCACCCCCTCTCCCAACAAGATGCCGGTGCTGCTTTTAAGCACTTCACCATAGACAGAAATTAAATTGGCGTAGCTTTCCTCTTTGCTACCTGGCCATGTTGAGAAAAGCTGCAAGGAAAAAAAATCATTCCCCTGTCTTTCCCCCCAAAGGCTGGCTGCATCTACCCCTTGAGAAATTATCACATCACTAGCAATTACTTGAAATTAAGACTGGTTGAAAGTTCTCACAGGAATTCTTTGGGTGATTTTATTTTAAAAGCTGTTTTTGTGTGTTTTCCAGATCCTGGGTCATCACAGCCCCAGCAGCCAGCAGTTGCCACTTTTCCTTTCATTTTCTTTCCCATGAGCCCCTGGGGTGAATGTCAGAAGCATTGCCCTCACTCTCCTTGGCTTCATGGAGTCCTAGTATCCACTGTACTGGATACTGGATCCACTGGACTCATGGGAAACATGAACTTCCACTGGCAGTTCCAGAACCATGTTTTCCCAGTGGTATTGTCTGCTGCTGTTTTTACTCCCTTTAATTCCCACTTCAGTGCCCCCTTTCCCTCTGCCCATTTTTGCAGAATGAGAATTTGGGTGGATAAATTGATGGAGGGGTGGGATACATTTCACGAAAAGCCTAGTAGGTAAGTTTACAAGTAAGAACAAGAAGAAGTTGAACATGGCCTCTGGACCCCAAAAGAGCAACTGAATGTTGGAGTGTGACCCCTCCAGCAACCCCATCTAAAGTATGTTCTACAACTACTCTAAGATCACTAGAAACCAAACCAACACTACATTCACATCATAATAATGAGCATCAGTCATTGGTTTGTTTACCTTCATTTAATCCAAAAGTGATACAGGACACTGATTCAAGACTTCCCCTGCCTCTCTGGGATCAGAAGATAGAAATCAGAGAGGAACATGACCAAGTCATTTTGTTATCCTGCAAAGGAGGGTGCAACAAAAATGCTGATTCTTCAAGCAAAAATAAGACACACAGTGCATGGAAAGGATTCAGATATAGCCCATGCAGCTGTGTGAATAAAGAGATCCAGTGGACAATTCCGAAAGACTGGGCAGAGAATACAAAATCCAATAAACCTTTATAACATTCTCTATACATGATTAGCTCCTGATTGTCACATGTGTGAAGCTTTCCTGCAATATAATTGGATAACAGAACATGTGGACAACTCATGTATACATTTTCAGAGTCATGGCACTTCTGAATTATGGCACCCAGGTATCAGAGACATGTACTGCACATGCAGTTACTGAGGATGTGAGCATAGGTGCATGCAGTGGTGTGCTGTGCTGTCTTGACATCTGCCCCAGGTTATGGCATTCACCTGGGTCCCAGGTCATGATACCCAGGTATCAATTTCCTATAGATGTTAAACAGCATAGGAGGCAAGTTGCATCCTTGTGGTAGCATCCTTGAGGCAACCTTACCAAAAACTGCAGCAATCTCATACCACCATCTCCTCAGCCCATCTTCCCTGGAAGGACTGAAGTTAGAACAAAATGGTCCCACCAAGCCACACTCCAGCTAGGACATTGCCAATGAAGAGAATTGCTCCCCTTCTCCACCTCCTGATGAAGATCATCCATGACAGTTCCTGTTCAAGAACTAGACAGGCAACCAGATTGGAAAGCACCTAAAAAACTAATTTCATCCAATAACCTCAGAAGTTGGGTGACACACTACATACTTAAGCAACTTGCCCGCATACTGCAAATGTGCAATGTTCAGATCAGGCAGGTCAAGTGCTAGTCTGTTTAAGACTTTCAGGAGTGTCAGAACCACACCTTCCCTTAATATTTGTAATATCTGCTCCTCAGTGCCCTAGTTGCTTTCCAGCAGTCCAATAAGAGCAAGTAGCATCAATAATGTGCTTGGAAGTTTTCCTCTCTCCAAATATCTTGTTTACATCTTCAGATTATGCAATCCGAAGAGTGGACAAAGAGAGCCCGCCCCATGGGCACACCACAATGCTCTTGAATTTGAGAACCCTGGATTCCACCCCCTTTCTATATTTTTCTGAAATGGCCAAGATTATCGAAATGCTGATAAACTGAAAAAACTGCTCTGGTGTTCATGAGCTTTTGTGCAGTCCTTTTTCAAAGTGTAGTTTGGGCTCAGAGATGTGGAATGTGATTTTTGGCTAAATGGGTTGTTTGTCCCTTTCCACATCTTATGATGGATCCTGCTGAGTTGCTGCTTTTCTTCCTTCAAGCATATCTCAAATGTTTTGAGCAAACACTAACATGTTCAGTCTTAGGCTGGCCTAAATTGACAAAAGGTGTATCTCTTTGCTTTGGCAGGGCCCATGGGCAAATTCAGCACATCAGATTAATAATATAGAACAGGGCTTGGTTTCAATAGAGGAGAAAAGAATGTAGGCTGAATTGCCCTTTGGATGGAAATGAGGAATCTGTATTTGTTTGTAGGTATTAATTCCTATTGCTAAATTAGCTCTTTCAACACCTGAAATACTTCCTGATCCCCACCCCCTTTGTGCTCCCAATCTACATCATTGCCCAATGCATCAGAGGTTGTTATCTAGTATACAAAGCCCTTAACAACTTGGGATCAGTTTACCTATGAGACTGCCTTAACTCACATGTGCCCACTTGACTGCTTTGATTGGCAGAATTGGCACTATTACAGGTGGCACTATTACATAAGACCTGTTTTGCATTTGCAAGAACTCAGATGTGAACAGGTCCCAAGCTGTTAGGGCTTTAGATACTAACAGTAGCACCCAGCGGAAGGGGGGGTGGGGGGTGGTTTGCCCCGGGTGTCATCCTGAGGGTGTGTGTGTGACAAAATCCCCCTGGACGCAATCACTGCCTCGCCAGATCGCCCCGCCCCTGGGTGCACAGCATGTGCGCCACTCCGGGTGCCCGCGCGGCTGGTTCCGCCACTGGTAGCACCTTGAACTTGGCTGGTAGCAGGGTCTGCTGCCAGCAATCATGCTGCACATAGGGCACTGAAGTAAAATCCATGAAGTGATGGTGAATTTAAGATTCTTGGGGGGGGGGGGAGGGAATGAGAAACAGAGATAAACTGACATCAACAGAGATAGGGCCTTCTCCATGGTGATGCTCTGGCCCCAGTTTTCTTTTCACAGGCAGGTTTGTCTGGTGCTGAGCTTGCTATATCTTCAGTGCCAAATGAAAACCTTTATTGTTTCTCAGGTCATTTAGTTTGCATTCCTATATTCACTTTTATGGGAGTGAGTCCCATTGAATTCAGCCAGGCTTAGTACAGAGTAGAACATTTGCTATGTTTTAATTATTTATTTATGGCATTGGGTAATTGGGACAGATTAGAGATTCTGTTGGTTTACTGCCTGCCTTGCTGTCCAGCAGATTCCCTGCCTGAGCTGGAGGACCTGGTCTTGGCGGCGATGTTTAGGACTCCCAGACTGTTGGTTCTTGGGAACATCAATATCCATGCCAAGGTCAGGACTTCATGGCTGCCATGACAACGGGGCTGTCCCAACATGTCATTGGTCCGACACATATGGCTGGTCACACTCTGGATTTTGTCTTTTTGACTGGGCCAGAAGAGAGTGATCTGTAAGTGGGGGGTATTGACACCAGCCCCTTGTCATGGTCAGACCACTTCCTGTTGAGCTTTAGGCTTTCAACACCCTTTCCCCTCTGCAGAGGTGGGGGACCTATTAGTATGAATGATGGATGCAAGTGGTTTCCAGTCGACTCTGGGAGTTTCCCCCACTGATATGGCAGGCACTTCCGTTGAAGCCCTGCTTGATCAGTGGAACAGCTGTTGACACAATCACCCCGAGTCCCCTCTCCTGCTTCACGGAGTCCGTCTGACTACGTGGTATCCTCTCAAACTTAAGTGAAGAATCAAGCTGAGATACAGCTTGAATGCAAGTGGAGGAAAACTCCAGACGAATGGCACTGGCAGTGAAGGCAGCAAAAAAAGCACACTTTGCTACCTCCATGGCATCCTCCCTATGCCACCTGGCAGAGCTTTTCCGGGTAGTGCAGGGACTTTTGCGGACTGGCTGAAAGAGGTGGTAGGACTGAGGGTAGCTTGCTCTGACTTGCTTGCCAAGCATTTGGAGGGTAAAATCACCTTGTCTCTGCTGTAGTAGCATTTGAATCTCAAGAGACGTCCCGAGCACGGTGTCCAGTTCTGTGTCGTTAGATGAATTTCAGTTGCTGTGATTTGATGATGTGGACAAGGCACTTGAATTGAAATGAAATGAAATGAAGTTTATTACGGTCCCAGACCAGATTCACATACCGTACTAAACAAACATGAAACACAATAGAATTAAGTTAGAATTTGCAATAGAATATAAAAATAAACAATATGAATATGACAGCCATTAGGAATGTGGTTTAGGTCTTAGTCTCTAAAATATTATCTAGGGTTTGCACCGGAGGCCTTAGTCTTTGTAATGCACAGCTTGTTCCCTGAGTTTTATGGCAGCCACACAAAATTTGGCCACCCTTAGCATGATCTCTGGATCCTTATAATCCATCAGGGATTTTAAGCATTAAGGTTCAGACCCACTTGGAATTTTCTGTATAACAGGGGTGATGAAGACCAAGCGTATATCCTCTTAAAAACAACATCGTAGCAAGACATGAGAGACACTTGGATTGCTTTGGGAAACTATCTGCATTCTGGACCCTTGCCCCTCTTGGCTGATAAAATCCAGCAGGGAAGAGACCGCTTTCTGAGATGGGCAGGTGGTCAGTGCTTCTTTATGGGGGGGGGTCCTGTTTGTTTGATGGATGCAGTGAAAAGACCACTGCTTAAGAAACAATCCCTAGATTCTGAGAGCTACCAGCCAGTTGCCAACCTCCTTTTTTTTTTTTACGTAAGGTTCTTGAGTGAGTGGTCACTGACCAGATCCAAGAGTTATTGGAGACTGATTTTTTAGATCCATTTCAGTTGGGGTTTTGGCCTGACTTTGGCACAAAAACTGCCTTGGTCACCTTATATGATGACCTCTGTTGGGAGGGGGGGGCAATGTGTCCCTGTTAATCCTCCTTGACTTCTCAGCAGCTTTCAATGCCTTTGATCACGATGTCCTCCTGGAAAGGTTATTAGAGTTGGAGGTGGGTGGCATGGCTATGCAGTGGTTCTGGTCCTACCTGGATGGTCATCTTCAGTGGGTAATGCTTGGGGTGTTTTTCGGCACCATGGGGCCTTCAGTGTGGGGTCTCTCCGGGTTCAATTCTATCCTCCATGAAGCCACTGAGTGAAGTCATCCAGAGTTTTAGAGTGTGGTTTCAGCTTTATGCGGAGAACACACAGCTCTAATTTTCCTTTACATCTATAGATTTGGCAGTGGATGTGCTGGACCAATGTCTTGTCCCAGTAATGGACTGGATGGGAGCCAACAAACTGAAGCTCAGTCCAGATAAGACTGAGGCCCTGTTAGTGGGTGGTTCCCTAGATCAGATGGATGGAAGATTGCCTGCTGCTGATGGTGTTACTATCTCTGAAGGAGCAGATACGTAGCTTAGGGGTACTTCTGGAATTTCTGCTATTGCTTGAGACTCAGGTGGCCTCAATGGCAGAGAGTGCCTTCCATCAGCTTTTTGCCTAACTTCTGTGGCCTATGCTCTGGTAACCTCCAGGTTGGATCACTGCAAGGTGTTGTGTGTGGGGCTGCCTCTGAAGACAGTTAGAAAACTTCAGCTGGTGCAAAATTTGACAGCCAGGTTGCTCATCAAAATGAGATGGTTTGAGCATTCTGTATATCCCTGATGTTGGCCCGACTGCACTGGCTGCCAATTAGTTTCCAGTCCCAATTGAAAGTGCTGATGCTGACCTATAAAATGCCTTAAGGACCACCTTTCCCCATTCAAACCGACCCAGACCCTGCACTTGTCATTTGAGGCTCTTCTTTATGTCCCCCATCCCAGAGAGGTCCAGCGGTTACAACACAAGAACAAGTCTTTTCTGTGGTGGCTCCTCATCTGTGGGTGCTGGTGCCATCTTTACATGTCTTTAAGTGCCAGGCGAAAACATTCCTCTTTACCTTCAGCCATTAAATAATCTATGGCCTGTTAAATGTGGGGCAGTATTTTTATGATTATTTTATTATTATGCTGTGTATTATGTGTTTATTATTATGCTGCATAAATTATGTTCTTAATGTTGTACACCACTCTGGGATCTTTGGATAAATGTATATAAATGGAATATATAAAATATATTTGTAGCTGGGGCAGTAAGAACAGCTGTAAGAGCTGTTCGACAGTGGAATTTGCTGCCAAGGAGTGTGGTGGAGTCTCCTTCTTTGGAGGTCTTTAAGCAGAGGCTTGACAACCATATGTCAGGAGTGCTCTGATGGTGTTTCCTGCTTGGCAGGGGGTTGGACTCAATGGCCCTTGTGGTCTCTTCCAACTCTATGATTCTATGATTCAGTATAGGTCTTATTACCAACTGAATTACCGTATTTTTTGCACCATAACACTCACTTTTTTCCTCCTAGAAAGTAAGGGGAAATGTCTGTGCGTGTTATGGAGCGAATGCCTGCGGGTGACGGGGGGGATCTGCTGCAGTCGTGAGCAGAGGATCCATGGTTCCCCTTCCTTCCTCCCTCCGTGGTTACAAAGCATGGATCCACATGGATCCTCAAGATTTTTGCATTTCATTTAGAATATTTTTTTTCTTCTTTTCCTCCTCTAAAAACTATGTGCGTGTTATGGACTGGTGCGTGTTATAGAGCGAAAAATACGGTAGTTTAGTTTCCAAAACTCTGCATGTAAAAATTCTCAATGTCTTAATGATAAAGCATAACGTCTTATGGTGTAATGCCTTACATACCTCTGCCAAATAAGTCTCATTGTGTTTGATGGGTGTTACTCCCAGGGAATTGTACATAGATTGTGTGTGTAGGATACAGCTTTAGTTTGTAATGGAAACAGACAACTGAATGAATAACAGTAGAAAAGGATAGATTTTTAAAAGTTTACATCCAAAATGCCTCTGCACAGTAGTTATTATGAACAGAATCAAAGTTACAACACGTACCAGAAGATTGCTAATGATTTTTGCTCTTGATTACAAAGTCTCTATTAGATAGCCATATTTAAATACTTTTGCCAAGCTCTTAACAAAGAAAGAGGTGACAGCTTATGATTCTATAACAGCACACTAAAGCAAATTGTGTAAATATGATATGTTCACAATTTTATTTCCCATAGCACTACAGATATATTCAAATATATTCAAATACGGGGGGAAATTAAAATTGATTTTTCATCAAAATTCAAAACTTGTTAATTAGATTCAGACATTAAGATTTCCCTTTCTTAGTTAAGCAGATTTAAGATTTTCTAAATGACTGTTAATTGCTAAACACATTTGTTTTTACAGATAGAAAGAAAACCCAAATTACATGAAAACATCTGCTACAAAATGTTCTGCTCTATAGCTGGCCTTGCAAGTCTGATTAGCATCTGATGTGGTCAAGTCCTCCTGTTCCCTGCAGTGACATTATGAATTCTTCTGTGGAATCTTGATGGTGACTGTCTTGACTTCTGTATACTCATGAAGGCCATATTCTCCACTTAAAGAGAGAGAGAGACCATCAGAATAGCAACAGTATTTAATATATCTGTGATCTAGCATGTTCAATGTCCAAGAGCTGCAAATATCATCTGACAGTGTATTCTGATCAGATGTTACAGGAAGCTTGGATAGCCAGAGATGTCAGTCTCTGTTACAGCCTTTTTTTTATGATGACAGACAGAGCCTGGGAAGCTTTGGCTTGGCAACTGAGTGGCTAGGAGTGGAATTTGAACACTACGGTCAATGAGCTACTTTTGAAAGTTAAACCATGTGCCTCCTTCAGCTTACACTGGTTGGTTGAGGGGGTTTCAAATGAGAACTTGGCAGTGTCAATTGGTTGACTGATAAGGGGGTGTTTCAATCGAGTCTGACAGAAGGCATTTCCTGTTTATGGAAGTGAAAGGACCAACATTCTGGTACAATTTCTATTCATTTCCATGAAGCTTCAAGAGAGTCTGACAAAGGGCGTATTTCTAGAGACTGTGTCCAAATTCTCTTAGACACAACAGCATCCAGCCATTGACTCTACAGAAATTATTGCCTTCCTCTGAGGCCTAATGCATGATCTGGGCTAGATAACATTTCAGAATAGAAATCAGCTTCTTTGCCAAAAAAGGCTATTTGCTCACCAAGAAGGCACAAAGGCTTGCATTCTGTATGGATCTGTGCTATCAAATACCATTTTATGACATCTTTAAATGGAAGTTTGGGGTAGCTTCAGGCAATATTCTAGTGGCATTTGTTTTCCTGCTAGAATGGACTGTTTTGTAAAACTGAAATGAATTGTACATTCACATTTTTTCATTTCAGTTTTACAAAACAGTCCATTCTAGCAGGAAAACAAATGCCACTACAATACCCAACAGGGCAAACTGCTGGATAGAAAATGTAATTAGCAATGTTGAAGAATTCCAATGAAAACAGAAGCAAAAGCTACTGATGTTCACTTATTCACGCCATGCCCAGAATAGAAATCAATCCAGCAAATACTGATCAGTCTTTGCTGTTGTTTCTCAGTCCCAAAAATCTATATAATTGATTATGGTTCCCACCCCCACCCCCATTTAAAATTGTGTTGAAATGAATAGTGTGGAAGTAATTGCATCATTCATTATGTTAAATTGATAAATAATTGTGTAAACTATATTAAATAGTGAACAGTGAGATGAATAACTTGGCATTTGGTGGAAAAGAAACCACTGCAAAACAGAAACAGCACAGGTTATTTCCTTCCTAACTGTAACTGATATGGACAGCACATCATAGGATGAGTTAATACAACCCACAGTTTCTACACAGTGATGTTCCTTTCCCATCTTCCCTGACTGGTTACTCGTTCTTATAAGCCAAAGCAGCGGAAATGCCAGGAGAGCAAAGACAGACTTCCTGGAAATAAGAATGTTGTAGTGGTGACATTTTGTGCTAAAATACGAACTTGCTCAGATAAAATCTCTGAAATTTGTATCTGAAACAAATCCCCACTGACTTTACTTACAGCTCTCGGCCATTTCCTGACATTTTGAATCCTCCGAAAGGAACCTGAGCAGCCACTGCACTATAGCAGTTCACCCTGAAGAAAAAGAGAAGATGGAGCAACTTAGTCATGGGCAGGAATTCTGCTAGGTCATAAGAGCTAGCTGAGTTTCTTTACAGAATCTTGCACTATGTGCATACTTTAAAAATCAGGATAAACATGAATTTCTCTCATGTCACAAAAATACAAATATGCCTTCAGAACTGCTGCAGGCTCTTCTGTATGTCTGCTACCTAACAGTAGAAATTGTCGAATTATTCAACCCAATTCATAGAAAATACAGAAATACAGTACTGTCAACATGTGGAGGAGCATGTTGTTCAGTGATTAGTATGGATAGTGAGCTTTCAGACTTAAATCCCTGCTCTGATAAGGATTCCTTGGGTTGTTTGCCTCTAAATTTTTGCAGTGTGTCAGCTTGAGCTGGTTTACCAGCTACACACTTTCCTGAAGAAGAATGGCCTTGTCACAATGATGCATGCCTTAGTCTACTACTCTAATGGACTGTAGGTGGGGATGCCTTTGAAAAATATTCAGAAAATGCAATGGTCTTGGTGATTCACCAGCTTAATTGGTTCCCAGGCAGTTCCTGCACAAAAATGAAAATGTTGGTATTATCCTTTGAAGCACTAAATGGTCTGCGTCATCAGACCCTAAAGAACACCTGCTCCCATTTGTGCCTACCTGTTTGCTGAGATCTTCCTCAAAGGCCCAACCTCATGTGCTCCCACCATTTGCAGCATGGCAGATGGTGATGTGAGTTAGCAGTGGCACAGAAGCTGTAGAACTGCATCCCTTGAGAAATGTTTTTCAAAATTGTGCCTAACTCATGATGCCATCCTATGGGCAGGGTTGTATTTTGTGTTGGCTGCACATGCCTGTTATTGGAGCAGGATCCATCAGCTGATAAGCAGAGGTTAAACCTTGCTCAGTTTCACAGGAGTCCATGCAAACCCCTTCTTGATTCAGAACGGCATTTACACGGAAACTGCTGCTAAAGCTAAGCCGTTTGCCTGGAATCTCTTGCTAAAATGGAGGAAATAACCAACTTTGGGACCTCAAAGCACCTTGCATCTGATGTCATTGGGATGTCAGATGATTGACAGGTGGGTGGCATGTGATGCCAATTCTGATAAGGGTATGACCCCTGAAGCAAAAAATATTCTTTGTTAAAACTACAGTCTAAAGATGTAGGAAGAGGTAGCAGACTTAATAGGTTCATGTCTCAAAGATGCTATTCAGGTTTGAGGTTACACAGCTTTTCTCTCTTCAGGTACTCTGTGTGCCTTCAGATCACAAATACCCATTAAATTGTGCTGTAAGTCTTCTATGTAAGGTTAATTTGGGTAAAATAACAACACCAAGGGTACTTACCAGACTGTTCCAGCCTGAAGAGCAGCTGCAAATGTCAGAGCTTTGTTAATGTCTTTGGTAAACACTCCAGCTGCTAGACCATAATGAGTATTGTTTGCTCTTTTTATAACTTCATCAACAGTCTTGAACTTCATGATTTGCTGAACTGGCCCAAAAATCTGTTTGAAATCAAAAGAAGCAATCAACAATTAGCATGGCAAAAATCAATAGATACTTTCTTGCAAAGTATACTTTCCCTATTACATAGGTCTTAAAGTATTATTCTCATTAGTGATCAAATCAGTGCTCTTTGACACAGTGGTTACTTTATAAGTTTAGACCCACATTTTCCCTATGAAACTTACCAACCTGCCTGCTCCTTCCCTATCACATTAATCTTCATAACTCCATTAAATGGAACACAGAGATTCTCTATAGCATGGTTCATGGAGATTTCAGATTCAAATAAATGTAGGATCTCCTATTATAGCTATTGCCTTCAGAGGAGAACCAGAAAGATGTTCAGCAGTTTGGAAAACAAGTCCTCCAAAGAAATATTAAATATTGGGCTGAGTGTGTTTAACCCAGAGAGAAGACTAAGAGAGGAAATGATAGCATTCTTCAAACATCCAAAGGTCTGTCACACTGAAGAAGTTTAACACCGGTTCTCTGCTGCCTGAGGATGCAGGGCAAGATGATTTGCTGTATAATTCTGTCTACCCAGAACTATTGAATTCAGTGGGGCTGACTCCCAGGTAAATGGGATTAGGATTGTCTACTCAGAAGCAAAATGTGGATTTGCAGCTGTAGGATGTAAAGGCAACCACAAAGCACCCACCCCATCACAATGATCACACTGGACCTTCCCTTCATTAAGCATGGGTTGTTTCAATCCTTAAGGTAAAGGGACCCCTGACCATTAGGTCCAGTCGCGGACAACTCTGGGGTTGTGCGCTGATCTTGCTCTATAGGCCATAGGAGCCAGCATACAGCTTCCGGGTAATGTGGCCAGCATGACTAAGCCGCTTCTGGCGAACCAGAGCAGCGCACGGAAACGCCGTTTACCTTCCCGCTGGAGCAGTACCTATTTATCTACTTGCACTTTGACGTGCTTTTGAACTGCTAGGTTGGCAGGAGCAGGGACCGAGCAACAGGAGCTCACCCCATCGCGGGGATTCGAACCGCCGACCTTCTGATCAGCAAGCCCTAGGCTCTGTGGTTTAACCCACAGCGCCACCCGCATCCCTAGTTTCAATCCTTAGAAAGTGTAAAATAGCCAAGGGTGAAAACACACACATACATTTAAACAGGGGAAGGTCCGGGAGGACTTCGTGAAGATGCCCCTCGATTAAAGGGGAGATAGCTTAATCTAGCTAATAGATTTGCCTAACAGTGAAAACAGTTTGAAAATGAAACCAATTGCCTTGTGTGTGCATGTGTGCTTTCCTTTACTGGAGATTTTCAAGCTGAGGCCAGACAGCCATCTGTTGGGGGAGCTCCAGCTCTCAGTTTCCTGCAATTCTACAATTCTGTGGTTCTGTGAAATAACCGACCATGCTCTCTCTGATACTATGATTTACACAGTGGAGAAAGAAACCTGCAAACCTGAAACTTCTTTCACAATGCCTGCATATAGAAGGAGGAGTGGGGTGGGAAAGGAATAGTTGAACTGGGGATGGAGAATTCTATTTATACTTTATGTCACTTTCACACATTTTCACACTCTAATAAGTCTGCTCCATTTCTTCATTAGTCTGGGTCATTTTTTGGGAGGGGGGACTTCACATTTATACTTGGATTTTAAAGCATCTTGTCTAAACACATCCTTGTGATGAGTGTGCAAGTAAATTGTTATTAAACTCCTTATTGTGTGCTTCTATTTAAAAATTAAGAACACATTTGTGTTTTCATCTCATAAATGTTTATTGGAGATTTGCTTATCTACAAGTTTCTGCATAAGTAAGAAAACAAAGTTTAAAAAATATTTTCATTCATTTTGTTTGTTCGAACTATTGTTACAAGAACACATTTCCACTAGACTCACCATTTTATATAAATATTGAACCATTTGTGACCCTCATCATTTTCATCCCGATGAAAAAGTACAATATTTTTGTTTTTAGAGTTTGTGTGGAGAGAAATTCCCACATGAACTTTTTGTTTATTCACTGAATTCAAGAAAAGGCAGCTTTTTTCCTAAATCAGAATGTAAGGCGTGCCAGGCTGGCTCAAACCTTTCCTGGGAAAGAGGTCAGTGTGGTGCAAACCAGGATCAGAGAGACCTGGGTTCAACTCTCCACTCCGCCACAGAAGTGATATTGGGCCTGTCACTATCTCAGCCTCAACTAGGGTTGCCATATTTCAAGAATACAAAACTTGCCGCCCACAAAAGGCAAAGAGTTATACTCAAACACACACTTTCTGGTTATGTTGGCAAAACCCCAGGCATTTGCAGATTTTTTGAAATCCCCCCCCCATGCTAATTTTGCTAGGCATATGGTACCCCTTGCCTAAACTATCTCACAGGATTGTTATGAGGACTGACTGGAGTTGTTTGCGTGAAGGGTGGCTAGAAATACACACACACATGCAGACGCAGAGAGAGAGCAGCCAGAAGCAACAATAAAGATCACAAGGCACCCTCAATATCTCCGGAGGTTATATTTCTAGTTTTCACATCTGAGGGCATTGAGACAGGCAACTGCTTTTAAAGAAAGGTGATAGTCTGGAAGAAAGCTCACTTCTCACACTTTCTATTGTCACACTTTGATCACTGGTCAACCAGGTTTTGAAGTCCTTTGAAACAATACAAAACATGCAAAGCTTGCTTAGCAGAGGTAACACTGGGATCCATGCACACACTATGGGCAATTCTTCTTCTGCATAAGGTAGTTGAGCTTATGCATCAAAGGCAGTTGATGCATAAGTTCTTCAGGTTAAGACACCTTCTGGTCTGGTTCCTTTGTAAGGTGCTTACTATGACTTCCAAAATCTATACTTTCTCTCTCAGTCATAGTTTTATAAACTGCCACATTTATCAATGTCTTTGGTAAAGACAATACAGCTGGAAACCAGCCTCCCACCAACCAGGCACTCTCAGGATGTTTGGGACTACAACTCCTATCAGCTTCAGTGTTGGCTGCAGCAGATAGGAGCTGAAGTCCAACTACACAGAGGGTGCTAGGCTGGTGAAGGTTGTGTTAAACCAGGCCTCGTTTTTCTCTGCCCTCAGACCCTCTGCATAAAACCTTTATTTGCACAGAAGCTGAAACCACAGGACAATCCCATGCAAGTTTACTCAGAAGTGAGTCCGACTGTGCTCATCTGGTGCTTAGTACTAGTACTGCAGGATTGCAGTCATGCAGCACCATCCTATACTCAGTAAAAGGTGCTGAGCTCGTGACATGCAAATACTGGCTGGTATTCAAGTAAGTTGTACTCAGAGACAACTCTTCAAAATGAATGAATGTGACTATGTTAGGCCCATTAATTTCAGTGGGTCTGCTCTGAGTAAAATTTAGCTGAATGCCAGCTACTCACTTTAATTTTATTTCAATTGTTACAACAATTTTTGGAGCCAACGGAGCCATTTCCATATATTGCCAGAATATATTTAAACAATAAATGTCACTGTTTGTACAAATCAGTATACAGTACTCCAGGTCTAACTGTTTTTCTTTTCAAAAGCACAAATCCACAACCATCTTAGAATTTGCTTGCAGGAAAAATTAGGAGGATGGCCTCACCAGGATTGTCAAGCCCTGACTTGCATTTCCTTGCTGCTTGACTTCAGTTTCCCTCTTTGTTTCAGGACATGAGTTATGGACATGAGCAGCTAGTCACATATAGCCACTGGATGTGCCTTCTCCATCGCCTCAAAAGATGCATTTTGCCAGTTCAGTGAGACTCAGATGAGCATCATTATGGGGAATATGCATCCCGATGTGTGTCAGCAATAGATGCAGGAGGAGGGGTATGCCTGTGTCAGATCCATGGCTTTTTGCAGTGGGAGGGGGCTTGGCCAAGGCTGTCTCAGTGGGGGCCCTCATTTCAGAGGAGGCCACTTCTCCCCCTCCCCGCTGTTGATGCTGCCAATTTGATTTTCTCTCCTAATCTACATCAGATGCAGACCCTCCAAATGTCCCTATTTTCCAAGGATGTCCCTGATTTAGATTTGCCATCCCAGTTTCTGATTTGATCCCGGAATGTCCTGCTTTTCCTTAGGACGTCCCTATTTTCATGTTGGAGGGTATGACATCACCTCCCAGAGGGAAGGAATAAGAGATGTGGAAGCTACTGCTCTTTGTCATGGCTCCTCTGACCTCTTCCTTGCTGAGGCTAATGGGCACTACAGTAAGGAGCAGCAGCAGCAGCAGCAGCAGGGACAGGAGTCTCCAGAGACAAGGTGTGGGCCTCTTATTGGGGCATGGGCCTTGGCAGAGAATGCTGGGAGGAAGAGTTTCACAACTGTAGCTGCCCTTCAGCTTCTTTGGAAATCTGGATGTATTTGATGATTGCCAAAAACATCTGAAAGTATTAATTCCTGCTGACCTGTTCTATTTAGTTGACCCAAATTAACGCACATAGCTGTAAAAACATAGTTTTACACAGCCTAGATTGGGGCTGGGTGGGAAAGGAGTGAAAACTAATCTTCTACATGCTTGATTTTTAAAAGGCACATCTTGCATGACAATTGAAACATAGAATGTAGTCCAACATGCAGAATGTTCTGAATCTGCTTACCTCCTCTTTAGCAATGCGCATCTCATCTGTAACATTTGAGAAAACTGTAGGCTGGATGAAGTAGCCTTTGTCTCCCCAGGGGCCTCCTCCACATTCCAGTTTGGCTCCTTCTTTCTTCCCACTCTCAATTAGTGCGAGGATTCTATCATACTGCTCCTTATCAATCTAAATAAGAAATATTGCACTGATAAGTCACTCTCCCAGATATTTCTTTGGCCTTAAGATTAACAAAGCAGAAACAAAAACTCTTTACCAGCAAGAGATGGAGCAACAAGTTGCCTCTGAGTGGTTGGATCCCTGCCACCTTTCCCCATGAAGTTCAGTAATTAGGACTTTAAGCACAAAAGAATTTTTCTTTTTTAAAGCAGCACTGCTTACACAGTCTTGGCACTCCTGTGAACCACGGACTTTCATAAACTCTCTCTGCTCAGTTTTACATTCAAGTATTTAACTTCTCCTTTTGCCTTATCCAATTTCTGTTAAAAAATATTTTTGGATGGCATTTTCAAACCAATGACTTTTCAGAAGTGAATTCAGAACTGATTTCAAGACTGCAATTACATGCAGTAGTTAGCAAAAGCTAGTCAGTAAAACCGATTATAAGCCGATTAGAGAGGAAACCCTACTGCTTAATTTGTACTATATCTTCATTTCCGGCATTTTCTGCACCAAAGGAAAAGTAGAATTATGGACTTGGGATTTTTAGTGCAGAGTCTTAGATCCTTGACATATCCCACATGAGGGTTAAAGAAGATCTCCAGGCATAGGACGGTATATAAATTCAATAAATAATAATAATAATAATAATAATAATAATAATGGATGTTTCCAAATGTAGGTGTTGGGTTTGGGCTGTGTTTCAGAACACCTAAGAACTGATTCCAATGTCATGGCTATGAGATGGAGATGGATGAAAATCTTTGAAATAAGGCTAGTGTAGAATGCTTGAAAACCACCCACAACACTGATGACCCAGATTGTGGGGAGAGTCTTTGCAACCCTTCTTGTGACTGGATACCTTCATGAGAATGCAAACACCATATTGTACTTATAATTGGCAGCAGGAGCAGCCACACACTTCTGCCCCGACCCAGTGTTGCATCCCTGTTTCCGTAACACCCCCAGACTGTGTGTTTAGTGTAGATGTTTGTAAAGGGAACATGTCACACGAGCAGTTGCTCATGCTTAGGGGTTCCATGTGATTTTGAACTGTGTAGAAATACAAAAGGTTTTCTTGCCAGAAAGCACATTGAACATTCAGCTGTAGGCTGGAGACAATGATGATGGGACTCTGCTCCTTCAGCTAACACATGTGTATGGCTTGAACAGGGCTAACGTTTGCACTATATTTACAGCAGTTTCGCATCCTATAGATTCAGATGGGATAGGCCAAGGTTTTGTACATCAACACTTCCTGCTGCCCAAAGCCTCAAAGTCATATTGCCCACTTAAGCATTTGAATGCTAAATGCAGTTTATGAAATTTAGTCCCACTCTCCAAAGATCTGTGAAAGTTTCTTAATAAATAGTTCCATGTTAATCTGAAGCTCCTAGTTTCACCACAAGCAGTAGGCTAGTATTATTTGTATTAAATATGTCTGTTTTGTAGGAAGAGGACTGTCCATCCATGAGCAAAATCAGAGTCAGAAATGCATTTTAAAATAAATACCCAGATGTCTAATAAACAAGGCAAGCCTCATTCCTAATGACAGATGCCAAAGTATTTGAACCTGTTTGCCAAAGTGTCATACATTGGGGTGATGTTCAGGGCCCCCCCTGCAGGGTTGGACTGACTGAAGGGCATGGCAGAATTGTTGGTTAAAAAGGAGGTTGAAATCAGTTCCTTAAAGGCAGCCCGGACAGGTGTGCAGGGGAAAACAGGGAGAGGAAGCTTGCCTTGACCAGAAATCAAGAGAGTCAGGGAATGGTTAAAGTGGGAGTCAAGAAAGCACACAGCTTTGATTTGATGCACAAAGTTTGTAGACAGGAAAGACAACTTATATAGGGTCAGAAAAGGGCAGGAGCCAATGCAGTGAAGAAGGGGTCGCAAAGATCCTGTAAAGCTACTTTGGCTCAGAAGGGTTTGTGGTTTTCTGCAGACTTGCAGTGGCATAAGAAGAAATACTCCATGCCATCTCCCAGGATGCCTGCATTTTGAGTCCACCTGTGGCTGACAACACTGACCCAGGTGATAACCCTGACACAAAACACCGTTCCTTACCTGAGGACCTTGATTTACTCCCGGAGCCAGTGGGTTTCCAAGTACATTTTTCTTAGCCCTCTCAACACTCCTACGTACAAACTCATCATATATTGGCTCTTCCACAAAAATTCTAGACCCAGCTATGCAGCATTGTCCCTGATGGTAAAACAGGCCAATGTGTGCAAATTCCACAGCACTGTCCACTGCGAAGAAAGAGACACAGAAGAGGCCAACATTGAGCATCTCAGTCAATACTGTAAATCAAAAACAGCAGTCCTTGCAACGTAATCTAACAATCTGGGTTTTCACTTGCTTAGACACCTCCCCAAACTAACATTAAAAAGCTTTGCAACACAGTGGAAGGGGACAGCTTTGAAGACAAGAAATCTAAGAGAAGCATGTCACTCACAATCAGCATCTGCAAATATGATATTGGGACTTTTCCCGCCAAGTTCCAAAGTGACTCTTTTCAGGTTGCTCTTCCCAGCAGCTTCTTTGATCATCTTGCCAACCTAAAAGAGAAGACACAACTTGAAACTGTTGTGTGTAACCCCATATTTAGACTGTGGTCATTGCTTTGCAAGAGGTTCAGGCTGACCTCTCTTGTCAATTTGAGAGTGGAAAACAGACCTCCGGCTCAGTGGTTGGGCACATGTGGTGCATGCAAAATGCACCTCTAGTTAAAAATACAGTAACTGTGATATGCAGAGTGGAGAACTTTTCTCTGTCTAGGAGACGCTACTAGTCAGGCAATACCAGGCCCAATGGACAAACAGCCTGACCTGGAACAATGCAGATTCCTATGATTAACAGTGCTCTACTAATGGGATGTATTACAAAATATCTGTGTTCTGCAAGCTTTGGTGGACTTCTCACACAATATATCAATAATCCTTGGGGTTCAAATGATGGCTCCTGGAAAGTCAATGGGAGTCCTGCCACCCAGACTGGCCAGGCTGTGTGGAGTGTGTGAAGTGAAGGGGTTGGGTGGCCTATGAGGTCAGCTATACACCTTTCTCTCACCAGCCCAAAGTGTGTGTAAGTGAAGGGGGGAGTGAGTTCCCGGGGAAGAAGCCTGGATTGTGAAACCACTCCGAGAAGGTTAGCTCTGTGAGGGGAAAAGTGGCCTCCTAACAACTCTCAGCACCCTTAACAAACCAACAGTTCCCAGAACCCATGACTGTTTAAAGTGGTATGATATTGCTTTAAATGTGCAGTGCAGATGGGGCACAGCCAATTCTATAGCAGCTTCAGTCTAAGAATATTAATTAACTACATCAAGGAAAGTGTCCGGAGTGGAGCTTAACAGTTGCTTATATCAACTTTTGGGGACTAAAATGTGGCCAAAGTGTACAGATGCATTTTTGTCAAATACCCCACACAGTGAAAAATGTCTTGGTCCCCCTCCACACTATTCTTCATTAAAAGTAGTCCTTTCTAAAATATGAAGCATGCTCACAATGAGGGAGATAAGCTACCTATTTTTGTAGAATGCAACTTTCTGTATAAAAAAGAGAGATGAAATAAAAATAAAAATGTGTATTTTTATTTTTAAACTGAAATTTGAGGGGGGAAACAAAAGACTATGCCAAAATCCAAACTACACCCTCTCCTCAGCTTTAAAGAATCAATTTTATATCCAAAAATTCTTTTGCTTGAAGAGATATTCTTTCAGTTCAAACACTATGTAGATGTGTTTGAGGTAGAGTATAACAAGCAACAAATCATTTCTGCGACATTGTTTAGGAAGCTCACAGTCAAAAAAGGTTAACATAATTACACAGCCTAGGCATTAAATCACTTGTCAGAGTCTGTGTGGGTGCGTGGAGGACTTTTGTGGTGTCATTTAATCACAGGGTTAGGCAAATACCTCGGTAGAGCCGGTGAAGGCCACTTTATCTATGTCCATGTGACTGGAAATGGCTGCGCCGGCCGTGGGTCCATACCCTGGCACAATATTCACTACTCCAGGTGGAAATCCTGCCTGAATATCAGAGGAGAAAGAACACAGTTGTACCTCTCAGCCATACAGTTACTGCACCTGTGTTATTTACGATATTTCATCCCATCCGTTCTCAAAGAAACTCAAAGAAAGAGGGCATACTTCTCTCTCCCCCAACCCCCAACCTTCACAAAAACTTGTGGTAAAATGCATGCAACACTATTGTGGTGAGTGAAAAGCTAATACAGTGGTACCTCAGGTTACATACACTTCAGGTTACAGACGCTTCAGGTTACAGGCTCCGCTAACCCAGAAGTAGTACCTTGGGTTAAGAACTTTGCTTCAGGATGAGAACAGAAATCGCGTGGCGGCAGTGTGGCGGCAGCGGGAGACCCCATTAGCTAAAGTGGGGCTTCAGGTTAAGAACAGTTTCAGGTTAAGAACGGACCTCTGGAATGAATCAAGTACTTAACCCGAGGTAGCACTGTACTTGCAGAAGACGCCACCTCCCTTCCAGCATGAGAAGAAGCTCTGTCGTTGCTCCGGCTAAGGTGGCCGACTAATTAGAGGTTTTAGGCTTGTTGTGTTATACCAACAAAAGCAGTTGAAGTTCCTTCTTGAGATGCATTATCTTTTCTTCCTAGAAGGCTAATAGCTCTCTTTTGCAACACAACCCTGTGGGGTGGGGACTGGGGCAAAGTCAAATAGCAAGTTTTGTGGCTGAGCAGGGATTTGATTCTGGGTCTCCCCACTCTTAACTCCAGCCCTCTAGCCATGACCTCATGCTGGCTGTTTAGCATGGATGTGCTTTATTTCACATTCCCCTGTGACTCTAAAAGTATGCATGAAACATTCACTTCAGTATCCTTATTGTTAGGTGGCAAACTGTTCCTGATGGGAACACAGTGCAATCAAAGCCTGATTAATTAGTCAAAGGTCTGATTCACACATAACAGTTGTGGCAAAAGTGCCTCTTCCATGCAGCCAGATCCCTAAGTGTCCTAGTAAAGATCCATATCTAGGAACCACAAGGGCTGGCAATTATTACCTCCATTTGCATCACTGGGAAGGAGAGGCCACCTTGGAAGCAACCATTTCCTGCGCACCAGATTTCCTGTTTGAACTGAAGTTACAAGCTGTGGGTGTCGCGAGGGCCAGAGCCATGCCAAAGTGGATTCTGTGCTGCTGCAATTAATTTTAGCAAATGCATTGGGCTTGAAAGAGGCTCTGTTGTGAAGAAAAAATATTTGACAGATTGCCTTATAAAGCAACCTGTTGCCTTCTCAGCATATAGTCTGTGATGAAAAGGGCATATTTATTTTAAAATGTGAGGCTTTTTTCTGGCCTAGAACATGCCACTAGTACCTGATAGTCTTTGTTTTCATGCCACTGAATACAGCCCAAACGAAAAATCGGTTGTACTAGTATTGTCTTTTAAGCTGAGTGAGTGCATAGGTTTTAAACTATGTGGTTTGACTGGCTTGTGAATCAGAGGTCCTGTGATCTGTCATGTCCTGGTCCGGGTGCTCTCCAAGTCTTACATACACACACATGCACAGCTGCATACTGTAGAAGGATTTTGTTCCCTTGCTTCTTGGAGAGTTGACCACGAATGGGCTGGGGACTTAAAAAGTACAATAAGCTTTGAAGGGGGCTCAAGTTCAAAGGTAGTTGGTGAACCTTCTGCTAGCATCAAGTCAGAACTTTTCTGGAACTTTCCAGATCATGGATCATTGACTCACAAACAAGTTAAACTGGAGGCACTCAATATTATTCATAGAATAGAATCATAGAATCATAGAGTTGGAAGAGACCACAAGGGCCATCGAGTCCAACCCCCTGCCAAGCAGGAAACACCATCAGAGCACTCCTGACATATGGTTGTCAAGCCTCTGCTTAAAGACCTCCAAAGAAGGAGACTCCACCACACTCCTTGGCAGCAAATTCCACTGTCGAACAGCTCTTACTGTCAGGAAGTTCTTCCTAATGTTTAGGTGGAATCTTCTTTCTTGTAGTTTGGATCCATTGCTCCGTGTCCGCTTCTCTGGAGCAGCAGAAAACAACCTTTCTCCCTCCTCTATGTGACATCCTTTTATATATTTGAACATGGCTATCATATCACCCCTTAACCTCCTCTTCTCCAGGCTAAACATGCCCAGCTCTCTTAGCCGTTCCTCATAAGGCATCGTTTCCAGGCCTTTGACCATTTTGGTTGCCCTCCTCTGGACACGTTCCAGTTTGTCAGTGTCCTTCAACAGGTTTAGTTTAACATTCAACAGGTTTAGTTTAAACCCTGGGACTGTGTGTAAGGATCTGAAGCCTAGACCACTAATCCAAGACTGGCATTAGAAAATAACTAGAACCATGATCTCAGACTCTGTCCTATCAGCAGCCAGTGAGGTAAGAGGACAGAAAACACTCCAGGCCTCTCTTCCTTTCCATGGTTATTCCGTTTTGGTGGCTGCAAAACTAAACCTATTCAGCTGGAAGAAAATTCTCTGTCTACTACAGAATCACTTCCTTTCCCCTTCCCCTTCATCTTGCCCCACCCTGGAAGGCTGCATTGTTTTATGTTCAGGCTTCATTCAGCAGAAGGGCTCCATCTGTTTAAAAATCGGTTAATATCCATAACATGATCGTTACCCTTAAAATTAGAATGTTGGTCCTTAATGTTGGTCATTTATTGACAATCTATGACTTTTGAGCAGACTCTCATTGCTTTATGAAAAGTGGAGAAGAGAAATGCTAGTGAATACCAAAAAATAAAATAAATGTGAATTCCAAATGGTGGTTTTCAGTGTGAGTCACCTGTTGCAGGCAGAGTTACTTGTTAACCCATAACCATTTAATTGCAAGTGGCATTTCACTGTTTGCTCACTTTTGCTGAGTCACTGTTGCCGTGGCAAGAACAAGATATGCTGAATCACTTTTGTTAGTTCTTTGGTTGGTTACTTATTAGCAACACTTGCCATGACCACAATTATCTTCAGTTTATTTTCCTTTTGTACAAAAGGGGACAGGGAAAAGATTTTAGTTGCAAACCTAACCTCACTTTTGTACAAACCTAACCTCACTTTTGCACAAAAGGGAACAGGGAAAAGATTTTAGTTGCAAACCTAACCTCCTACATGAGTAAGCTCCATTGACCTCAACAGGACTTGCCTTTGAGTAAGCATGGTAAAGACAACAACCTTAGCCTTAGCTCCTCCAGTTACCTCTCCATGCTGGGAGTATTCTTAGCTTATTTTTCTGCTCAGGAACCACATAAGATTATTCTTCACTCCAGGTTGCATAGCAAATACCATTGTGCTGAAGAATCCAACAGAATGCTTAAAAATGATTGTACCTGTTACTTTCATACACCAGTTCAAACTATGTTTTCTAGAAACTTAGGGCTTATCCACACTTCCTCTTGTTTCACGGCTTTCCTGCAGGGAAAACCGCTCCTTAGTGCTCAATCGGTGCAAACAGCAATTCACGTTTTCTCTGGATTGACATTTGCTCCAATTTAGCACCAAAGAGCCAGTTTTCCATGGGAGAGTTGTTGGGCAAGGGGGAAACTTCTCTGATCTGTGCCTAGGAGGCATGGGCCAAGTGGAAAACTGCTCAGATGTGTGCTTTCCAGGCATGGGACAAGATGAGTCCTTAATGCAGCCTGATTTCTACATGCAGCAGAATGGAGTGGGAGAGTGTACCAAGGTTAGAAAGTGGGCTGTTGAACTTTGGATTGCAGGTGGCATATCCAGTTGTTCAATGCTTCTGCACTAAAACAAAAACTATTCCTTCCCTGCAAGAAGAAAACCAGCAGATCTATGTATCCCTACGTTACCATCTCATTTGGCTGCATTGGTACATCTAGCCTACATCCTACTGATCTGAAGGAGAGTTGCTTCTAAGCAAAGACATTTTGCATTACAGCCCTATAAGGTGTGCATTTATCCTGGGCACACCAAACATGATGCTTGTCAGTTTTGTGCTTGGTAGGGTAAATATTTCAGTCACAAAGTTAAATTAATATATCAAATTACAGACAAGAGTTTCATTACTGAGATACTTGCATGAAAAACCACCTCCCCCGCCCCCACCCTCCAGACCAACATTCTGCTTTTCTGAGCTCTTGTTTGCTTTTGCTTCCAGAAGGCCCTGATGATTGCCAAGATGTTCAGTTTGCTAAGCTGCTAATGATTTGTTTTCTGAGCAATTTAGACTGGAAAGCTATGTGAGGCTTCATGCCCTTGACTTGCTTCAGTGGTTTGCAGTGCATTACAATTCCCCAAGACAAGGTTAGACATGCTGCAAGCTGCACTGACACAAAACAGAACAGCCCTCACTGTTCAGAAGCACTGTGAAGGTAAGGGCTCACTCACATTCACATTTGGGAACATGCACATGGCAGCTTTGCTATGGCAACTCACCTCTTTAATTAAAGACCCCATGTGAAGAGCCGTTAGTGGAGTTTGCTCTGCCGGCTTGACGACCACGGTGTTTCCGCAACAAAGAGCAGGGGCAATCTTCCAGACAAACATAACCAGTGGGAAGTTCCACTGAAAAGGCAGCACAAGAACAGATGACCAACAAATCACAGCATCACATTCTCCTATCCTTCATATTCTCTTCACATCCTTTATGCTCCCTAATGCTCTGTGGGTCTTGTGCATTTTCAGATTCAATAAGCGATGAAAAGTCAATATTGGCTTGAGGATTTGGTTAAAGTGAGCCCAAGTGGACCCTTTGTCTTTTCAGTGTGCTGGCTCGGGGCTTATCTCATGGACTGACCCTGATGACAGAACCACTGCGGCCTGTGAGATCTGCACAGAAGGCTCCCCATTCTCTGTGTGGCAGTGGCCTAGGATGACACTATCTTTGCATCCCTGAGAATACCTCCTGGGCTTTGGTTATGACATCTGCTAAGCAGACCCACCCTTCCAGTTCATGGAAGATAAACTCATTCTTTCCAAACCCTGAAACAACTTCTGAACTGGAAGTGTGTTAATTGAACTGATAAACAGCTCCCTCCCCGATTCCCTTTGTGAAATGGACCTCTTGCAGGAACTGAAGCAGGACATTGCAGGTTGCTTTGATGGTCACAACAAAACAGCTCCTTTTGGGGTCCCAATCATATTACAGCACAGTTAGTTGCTGAGCTGCAATCAGTGTGTAAGGTCTTTATGATTGCGAGCGGCCTGTCTATCTAACCAAGAGAAGGCAGCATCCAGGATGTGACAATGACACATGCGCTCTGCTCATCAACACATGGGAAACTTAGATAACATCCACACCATGGCTCTGCCCCTCCCAAAAAATGATGGGAAGTACTGTTTGTTAAGAGTGCCAGAATTGTAGCTTTGTGAAAGGGAAACTACAGTTCCCAGAATGCTTTGGGTTTCTGGGGATAAACTGCAGTTCTCAAGATTCTTTGCAGACCTTCTTGTTTGCAATTTGGCTGATGTCCACAGTTTTCAGACTGATTGCTCACAAAACATTAAGGGATGTTTAATGATTTCTATTTTACCCTCCATCATTCTGAAATTTGGCAGAATTCAGAAGGAGCAACCATGCTTTGAAATTTAATCAAATTCAGCTCCCCACAAAAAAAGTTAGAGAAGGATTATTTTTTGGAGAAAGCATATTTCAGAGAACAAAAGCCCCTGGACCTATTTGTTAGCAATTTAGTAGGCAGGCTTTATCTACTCTGAAGGGGCTGTCGTACCTGGAAGTTTTATCCACGTCTGCAGAAGTGGGGGGAAAGTTATGCTATTTTTAAAAGAATCAACATAATGCCACTTAAAAGTTCAGCATAATGCTACTTAAATAAAAGACACACGGTTGCTTCCAAAATGCCCTTCTGTGAATGGAAGGAGTCATTTTGTTTGTAGACAAACATTTGATTTAGTAGAGGCTTCTACTAAGGTAAGTAACAGTAGCTTTTTTTGGCAATTCTTCCTCTCCACTATGCCCTTAAAATCTGCTCCAGAGGGTTGGGGACCTTCAAAAAGGGCATGGAAGGTGGTCTATTCTGCAGGGAGGAGGGGAAATAGACAACATCACCCCACCTTTTCCATTAGCAGAAGCCTCTGCTAGACAAACAGAAAGACTTCTGCTTTTGCAAGGTCAATGTTGGATGCAACCCATTTTCTCCATTATATCAATGGATCTAACTTACAGGAATAATTTGTCCACATACTCCAACAGGCTCATGTCTTGTAAATGTGAAATAGTTTCCATCTAAGTAAGATAAGAACACATGGGTAAGATGCAAGCATAGCTAAGGAAAAGAAAATGTCTCACATTATTCAGCATTGTTCCATACTATTATAATATGATACTATCAAAAGAAAAGGTAAACATATCTAGATTCGACCAAACACATAAGGTTGGAGGGCAGAATGAATGCTCCAATTCTATAAGCAATCATGTAGAAGAGAGATCTTTCAGCTCTTGTATTTTGCCATAGCTGCAGAGTTTCCTCCCACTTTGATAATTTTAACAACACAAACATAACAAAATTGCCATGGCAGGGAGTTAAAGTTGCTGCTCACAAGGAAAAAACAGATAGATGGGGAAAGGAGGAGAACAAACTAACCAATTGGCAGCTAGTCAGGAGGGCAGTGAAGCATTTAAATTAGCCCAGATGTCCAATTAACCAGCTGTAATATCTGAATCAAGTGGGATGGATGGAATCAATGGTGACATTTCCTGTTAGCAGGACCACCGTGCAGCAGAAATCCTAATATAAGGATCATATACAAACATGATATAAGAATTGGCTACTCCTAAACATCACCTAGGGATGGAAGAAGGGTGATGACTAAGACCTGCTGACCTCTTTTAAAAAATTATTTCTGTCAGGACTCTGCCATTTGCTGCAGCTGTAGGAACTTCACTAAAAAGCATTATGGAGCTAAGTAATACAAAATATGTCAATAATGTTTTTTTGGTGGTGATGGTGGTTTTTTTTTAAAAAAGAGGCAATATTGGCTGATAAAACTTTACCCACCACAGCTCTGCACTTATATAACAGATTTTTAAGGTTACACTTTTCTCAGATGACACATTCATGTAGCTGAAAAATGTTCCTGAACATCTCATCCAAATCAGCTCTCTGCTCAGAAACTTTTTCTCAGAATGACTCACCCATTGGGATGGTCCGTCCTTGGATTTTGTCCGACCAGCCTGCACAGTAGCGCAAAGTGTTAATGCAGCCGCCTAAGTCCATTAAGTAGGAGGTGGGGAAAAGCTTACCCCCATTAAGGCTCTCCATTGTCTAGAACAAAATAGGTTGAGTAATTAATCATTATAAATAAGTAAAACAATAAGGTGGCCTATAACCATTGAGTGCTCTAAGCATTGTGCAGTGGGGGGGGGGGGGTTAGGAATGCTGGCTGGGGCTAATGGGAGCTGGAATCCAAGAACATCCAGAGGGCTACTGTTCTGCAACTCTGGCTTGTAGGTCTGGCATCTTGTTGAAACTAAGGTGGGCATTGAAGATAGCACTGGTAGGATCGCCCTCCGTGTGGCCTGTAGACACTAATCTAGTGTATACATCAAAGTCCTAATGTAGCACACTAACCTTACGTTCAAAAATACAAATAAATGACACAGCAATTGGTCGTTGTATAAGGCATGGGCATGTCTTGCACAATAAGTGCTTGCAGAAAAATGAATCTTTAACTCATGACAGACCAGCTCTTGGCAACACCCACTGGGCTTCTTTTTTAAGTGGCTGATCCAGAATGGCTGCTTTGTGCCTTGTGATCAAACACTGCAGGATGAAGTAAACATTAGGGTCTGCCAATCTTTCATTACACAATTCTGACAAAGGATGTTACCAGAAAGATTTCTAGAGTAAAATTTGCCTCTTTGTAGAACAAAAAAGGATTGCATGTTGAATGAAGTCCCAACTGAGTTGTTTATGACTTTATTTAGGCTGAACACTTAGGCTGTACAAATCCCATTGACTTCAGTGAGATTTAATAGCTTAACGGTGCAGAGAATTTGCAGTCATAAACTTTTAATGTGCTCTCTTCCAAAAGGTTTACAGCAGCTGGGAAAAACAAGTATATCAAATATACAAAAAACCACACACACATGCCACAAAAAGAAGCATTGTTCATCTCTGTCCAAAAATTATCTTTTGGCATTGAATGATAGGTAAATTATAACCATTTATAAGCCCAAATGTGGTTAGATGTTGTTTTAGTTCTGTCCCCTTCCTCTGAGCCTCAATTTTTAGTCTGATCCTGGAATCATTTGGTTGGTGGCCTCATCCTGAATCAAAACATCACCTATTCACAATGGCTTTTCATTTTGAACCCCTTGGGGGATATGCAGGATTATGAATCCAGTGGATCCAAAGCCATCATTACTCTGCCTATTTCAAGGCTTTATCCCTAGTTCTTGCTGGTAGGAGAACCACTATTGGTTGCTTCCTGGCCTGCTAGGCTCAGTGGGGGAATCTATAGCATTTGAGCCAGGTGGGGGGCCAACATGGCCTTATCCTGACCCCTCCAGCAGCACAGATCAGTGGGCTTAGGAGTGTACTGTAAGGCTGTAATCCTATACACAATTACCCAGGAGTAAGTCCCATTAAACTTAATGGGGCATATTTCTGAGTAGACATGCGTAAAAATACACTGTAAGAATAGACAAACTACCCAAAAATATTGAAAGGATTTTAATGTGTAGTGTTTGAAGTGCAGAACTAATTCAAAACAAGAAGATGGGGCTGCTTGAAAGAATTGTGATTAGTAAGGTATGTCTTTATGGAAAAATAAACATATTTTAGCCTAACAGTAGATTTGTTGTTCTTGGCTAAGGAAATAGCAGAAAAGAAATGATTAAACCCAAGGTTAGTTTCCACTGCCGGCAAATACATCCACTTTATCTGAGATAAGCCCGTGAGCTTGTTCCATTTCTGCAATTTCCCCCTTCTTTGGGAGATGATAATCTCTTTCCCTCAGGTTACAGGGCCAAATATTTTTTTCAATTATTATGTAATATTTAGACAATAAATATGTTAGTAGTGATTATTCACATTAAATATAACAGGTTAAAATTTTAAGAATGGAATTGAACATTCTATGTTTGATTATCAGACACCAGAGAAGAGCAACTGGAGATGCTTTTGAGATCTCTGAGGCTGCAGTGCTGGCACAGCACCACACTAATGAAGAACTCTGGCAGGATATAGCAAAACAAAGCAATTCTTGACACAGCAACACTGGTATCAAACAAAAAATTAACATACTTATATATATGCCATAGTTCCAGATTTTCAAGGGAGGGAGGGGCTGCAGTTCTCCAGATGCTGTTGGACTAAATCTTCCATCAGCTCCAGGCAGCATGTTGGTAGTTGTGAACCATCTAGATGTTATTCAACTACTACTCCCATCACCCCTAGTCGTTGGCCACATTTGTTGCAGTTCAGCAATGTCCAGAGGGCCTAAGGTTGTCCACACTTGTTGTAGACTGTAGTCAAACAACATTTGGAGAACCACAGTTCCCCACCCATGGTCTAGATGGGTATAGAAGTCAAGAGTCCGTTGGAAGCACACTGACTGATTTGGCAGTGGAGGAAATGTGTGTCTGCTCACCCATCCCAACTTTTGCTTTCAAAGTGACTACAGGAGCTCTAATTGACAGGTTCCTTTTATTCTTCTTCTACAGCAGCAGACATGACCTTTAAATGGCATTAGCCAACTTTGTCAGTTTTGCTAAATACAGAAAGGAAGACAGTAGTCTAAATCCAATGTCAAGCAGAACACAACAACAAGCCGTTGTTTCTGAGGATGGGATTGTTTGTGGTTAGATATCACTATGCCGTTTGATCAGCTGAGGTATCTTAGAATGAATGTTCATCCCTACCAACTTTCCCCGACTTTCTAAAACAGATTTTAGAATTTGTCTTTCACAACATTGAAGCAAATACTCAATTGTGTTCAGAATAAGCCAGTCTCCAAATATTTCAATTGTTTAAAATGTGGTCCATGTTTTAGACTTACAGCTAAGAGGAGACGATCCCTTTCAATTAAATCAGCTAGTTTGTTCAATAGCCTTCCTCTTTCTGAAGCATCCATGGTTCGCCAGCAGGACCCAAGTTCAAAAGCTTTTCTTGCTGCTTTAACAGCTTTGTCGACATCTGCCTGTACAGAAAATCCATTTAAATGCAGTAAGTATTAAGCATATGATGCTCAATTTATTTTGACTGAACCGTACCAGTGGTACATGAATTTTAGTGAAATCTGAGTAGTGCATCTCCAGCTTTACATATGCCACTGCCAGTGCAACACTGGGAATACCACATCCTTGTTGCTCCATCCTGCCGCCTTCTTCCTCGAAAAACCATGGAAGTAATATAGGTGCTAAAAACTGTGACCCAGTGCTGACATGCAGACATTATTTACTAGAGGTGTGTAGTAGCAGGTGTGAGGCAGAGGATGCTTCCCCTTCCCTCAGCCAGTGTGATGCCAATAAACCCCCTGAGCTGGATCAGGGCCCCCACAAAGCCTTCTCTCACTCTGCTGTTTATATCCTTTTCTGAACTTATATCTGTTTTTTCTTTATCTCTGTGTTTCTCTAGGTCCATGAGCTAGAGGCGAGGCTATGCTAAATGTTGCCTGCAGAACACTTAAGAATTCTGGGACTTTTTGTTGTTGCTGTGAGTAGCGGAGGATTTTAGTTCAAAGTTAAATGCTTGATTTAAGTTTTTTAAACGCGTCTTGTGTTGAGCAAACAAACTCCTGGAAAGGCATAACTATGAGTCCATTTGAGGGAGGGGGGCAACTGTGCCTCCTAATCCCCCATTTCTAGCCGCAGCAGAATTTTCCATTCTCACCTACAGACCTTCCTTTTTGCTGGTGGGGAGGGAGGTCCACGCACAGCATTCTATGACCCCTCAGCCACAGGGAGTACATCCCTATCACTGCAACCCTATACACACTTTCCTGGGAGTAAGTGCCATAAAACTCATTGAGATTTGGTTCTGAGGAGACATGCATAATATTAGACAGTAAATGTACTTTACATCCCATGGACCATTTTTGAAATAGATGCAATCATGCTTTAAGCCATTTAGTCTTAGAGAGCGCAGACTAAATGAACAATCTAATTGAAAGGATACTGTTTCCCATTCCCATGTGTGTCTTTGATTTGTAATCCCCTTTTGATTTTCCAAGGTTTTTTTTTAAAGTAATGCACAATTCTTTGTTAGTGCTATTGAACATCCAGATTAAAGTCTTAAAATCTTTTGGCTCACTGCCTAAGTACTAAGCTCTGAAGTTTACAATTACTTGTATAATTAGCTGATTTTTTTTAATAATTTGCTGGATTCAGGGCCTACTTAATTGTCAATCTACATTAGGATTTTTTTTGTGGGTGGGGGAGAGAAAGCTCAAACAAATCAATAAACGGTTTGTAAACCTTTTTTTTTAAAAACCTTATGAGAGCCCCAAATGTTGAGTAAATCACTGGCACAGTTTAATTCAAGATTGTTCAAGCAGCGGACCCACCTGATTTGTAACAATCTTTATCTGGGGAAAGAAGCTGGTGATAAAAGGAAGTGAAAGTTTATCCATATTTCTTCTTTAGATCTTGCTCTAGGATCAAGGTGGGGGTAGTTTGGATGATATTATAGGCACTAGCCAATCAGCACTGCATGTAACTAGCATCTCCTACACACATTAAGAATCAGGATTTATTTTTAAAAAGAGCTTTTTAAAAAGCTCACTTGGATTGGACACAATAATCAGGAGTCCAAACAGTCCTCTCTGTTTTAGGGTTGCCATATTTCAAACAATGAAAATCTGGACAATTGTTGAGCTTTTTTGGCACATTCACATAAAAAAAATCGCCAAAAATGACACTGCCAACATGGGTTTCCATACATGCCGGATATGTCCGGCAAATTCCGGACGTGCGGCAACCCTACGTCTGTTCAAAACATGTTGCATTTGTCTTCTTAGAGCCCTTCTTCGGTTCTCTGTTGTTTTAAGGATGGTGCTCAGCTCAGTCATCCCGTTAGCAGGCAGCCCATCCTGGGTCAGGTTAGTTCCATTCTTAGGACTTTTTGCAATTGAGCCAGAATGCCCTTACTTACCTCGGCTACGTTCACATCAGGAGCTTAAAATGCAGCAAGGTCACCCCCTCCACACACTCCCCAGCTGAATTTGAAATCACATTTTTACACTGCTGTACACACTAGAGAGGGGGTAGTGATGGCTTCATCCTATGCTTATCACCTGATTTATTTTCCCAACCCTGCAGCCCCTCAAACTCTTATTCAATGAAGCTGTCACCTGCACCTGCGTAATGGATGTTTCAAATGTACACACCTCAGTTTAGCTGTGGCTTAGGTTTCCAAATGGGATGGAAGCTGGTTTAAGAGAAACCACATCAAAGAATAATATTTATCAAGAAATGTAGTTTATGGCAAGTGTCATGTGTGCTTGGGTTTAAACACCAGTGATGGGAGGGCACTGGAGTCAGAGTCAGTGGTAATGTGCACACAGCCCCAGAATGTGGCTTTGATTCTCCAGTCCTTGGACGATTGCCACACCATGTGACAGATTTCATAGGATTGTAGAGTTGGAAGGGACCACAAAGGTCATCTAGTCCAACCCCTTGCAGTGCAGGAGACTTTTTGCCCAATGTGGGGCACAAACCCACAACCCTGAGATTAAGAGTCTTGTTCTGCCAAGGGAGCTATCTCTCAATGCCATTATTTCTTCTCCCCTAGATAGTGACCTGCGGCAGAGGTTTACACCCAAATAAAGATAAAGTCCATAGAAAGGAAAGCTTACCTTATCTCCTTCTGAAACATCGCAAATTTTCTCTCCAGTCGCAGGGTTAAGGACTGGGAATTTTTTGCCACTAGCTGAATCATGCCATTCATTGTTTATAAATATCTGCAAGGGAATGGAAGACAGACAGATAAATTGATGACATTATGTGACTCCTTATCCCATTTCCATCCATTGCAGTGTTGCAAAACAATGCATCTGGTAACCAAAACGGCATCCTGGCAACACTATGAGTCACTATGACTTTATTGAAATGTATTAACTGTTTTGATTAATCTGTTGCTGTAGTTTTGTTTTATTTATATGTTGTTGTGTCTGATATCATAATGATTACAATGTTTGGGGTTTCTATAAATGTTATTGTTATTATTTTGAGCCACTTCGAGTTCAACATTTGTTGTTGGAAAAGCGGAATACAAACATTAAATCAAAATAAAATCAATCAATATTTTTATTTTTCCACCCTGCAAAACACACAACTTTCTGAAATGAAAAAACAACACATAACAGTCATGCTCTTGTTTAAAGAAATGTCATAACCAGGAACTATTTAGAGAGAGAGTTCAGAACTATGGCCTCTACACAACTATATCCCCCTGTCACAATTTTTTTAAAAAAATACAAAGAGAGTGCTAATCCCTGATATCTTTTTCTTCCTGGCTCATGTTGAGTTGCACTGAAAATACTGGTAATGCCATTAAAACCAAATGTGTTTGTGTGTGTGTGTGTGTGTGTGTGAGAGAGAGAGAGAGAGAGAGAGAGAGAGAGACTGATTCCTGGTTTCTGAAAACAAAGTGGTTGTGTAAACTGATCCTAAGGCTGATTGGTGGAGATGGCAGACTAAAGAGATGCACAAATTATTTGTTTTACACTGAGGAGATGGAATTAAAAATATTTTTTTCTTGTCAATATTTTTTTAGCTACTCACTTGACTTCTAAAGATCCCCATCCCACCATTCCACTTGCTTGTTAAAACCACCTTCTATTTCCTCAGCCTTCAGGGGACCCTTATGGACCTCCTGACAGCACTCACACCTCCTCACGCAGTTGCAGTTGCCCCCCTGCCATCACCAGGGCAACAGCAGTACTGACTGTCCTCCTCCCCAGCACCCTGGATGCTATCTTAGAGTGGGGCTGCCATTTAAATTTACCAGCTGAGTCAGGCCGGTGAGGGATCTTTCTGAGCAGGTGGGGCCTTTGCCAGGGCCCAGGCAGACTGACTGCTGGCACCGGGCCTGTTTTCTCTCTTGCTCCCACATGGTGCCAATACAGGCAGAACCCACCTGTCATGTACAGCATCCCAGGAGGTGCTTGATATCCTTGTTTCTAGTTCCTCCCTGGGGCAGCAAAAATCAGGAAGTGCTGTCAAGCACCTGGAAGGTCACAACTGCCTGGTTGGATCCCATGCCTTCCTTATACTATTTTTGTTTTACACCGGACGTCCCACTGCCACCATCCAAAGCTGCTCCCCCCCTTCCAGTGTCATTCAAGTCCTTGTCATGAGTGAAGCATGTTGCCTCACTTCCTATTTACCACAGTTATTATTATTTACATTTATATGCTATCATTTCCTCCAAGGAGCTCAAAGTGGTGGTTCTCCCCTCCCTGCTTTATCCTCACAACAGCCCTGTGAGGTAGGTTGGCTTGAGAGACAGTGACTGGCCCAGGGTGCTTCAAGGCTGAAAGAGGATTAAAATTCTGGTCTCCCAGGGAGTGGTCCAACACTCTCTTATTCCACACTGGCTCTCAGCTTTGCAGTAGGATTTGCACAGGATGTATTGTGTTGCAAATTACTGAAATACTATTCACGAAGTTTCATAATTCATCCTTTCATTCATTTCCGTGGAGCAGTCAGGAGTCCTTGATGGTGCAGTGTTCCTGAATTAATGTCAGAAGTGGATGGTGCGTCTCTTTAGGCAGCTCCTACGTGAGGCCCCAGGAACCAAGGGCTCATCTTCTGCCTGCACCCATCTAGCCAGTGCCCCCTCTCCACTGTCCCCATATCTACATGTAGGTGGACAACCTGTGAATGTCAAACCCAATGAGTGTTGGCTCTTTTCAATGGTGTGCAGAATAGCTGGGGGGGGGGAGGTGGTACTCTCCTGCTCCCATATGCATGGGCTGGATTGAGGAGAGGGGTCACCTGACGCACCTGGACTTTCCTTCTCTATCTCCTGTTCCTTTCCCAATCCTCCCTTTGCCTCCTAGGCTGCAGATGCACCATGAAAACAAAGTCGAGTGCCAGTATTAGTAATAATATTATCTTAAACATATCCTGGTTCTGAGCAACCCAGAGATCATACTCATTTACTCAGCAGCACATGTAAGATAGCTAAAAGTATCCATTTTCAAATAGCTGGAAAGCATTTTGCCTATGCAGTTCTAACCTTTAAGCAAGCAGGAAGCGGATGATGGCCTAAATCCTTTCCAGGGAAACCGATAGCCAAAGCCCAGATGTAGATTAAAAAAACATAAGGGCAGAACCATGATCTGTTACGATGAAAACTAAATTAGGCACAAGAAGATAGCAAGCAGAGTGTCAAATAATGAAAACCCACGCTTGGCAACAAGGTGCGCTCCCAAAATGAGAGAGTGCGTGAAACGTAAATATTAATATAACAGTGCCATGTGATGCAAGGGTAAGTCAAATTCGTATCTGTTTATGAAAAAAGACAATTGTGAAACATACCTTTTTTGGAAGTTCTTACTGCTACGTTTAGGCCACTGACTCAAAGGCTTTTTATATCAGGTACAGCATGTTATTTCCTCTTCTCATCACCTCCAAATGACAGCTTGACTGCAGCACAGCCAACATGGGCAAAACTAGAGGACATGCTAGCTATGTGCCCTTAACTGCAGGGTTTTTTAAATACAGTGGTACCTCGGGTTAAGTACTTAATTTGTTCCGGAGGTCCGTTCTTAACCTGAAACTGTTCTTAACCTGAAGCACCACTTTAGCTAATGGGGCCTCCCACTGCTGCGTGATTTCTGTTCTGAAGCAAAGTTCTTAACCCGAGGTACTATTTCTGGGTTAGCGGAGTCTGTAACCTGAAGCATATGTAACCTGAAGCGTCTGTAACCCGAGGTACCACTGTAATAGGAAAAAATAATAGGAGATGGGACAGGCAGTGTGGGGGCCTCTGCCTGAGAGCCTGGAGGATAAACAACACTGAGCAAAATAGGCAAACAGTCTGACCTGGTAACTGTAGAGCATAAGAAGCGCCCGACTGGAGCAAGTCAAAGGCCCATCTAGTCCAGCATGCTGTTCTCAAAGCAGCTGAGCAGAAGTCTAAGGGCAGCCCCCAAGCAAGGCCTGAGCGCAACAGGGCTCTTTCCACTTGTGATTTCCTGCAACTGATATACAGAGGCTTCCTGCTTCTGTCGGTGGATGCAGAAATAGCCACCATGGCTGGCAGCCATTATTAGTATGATCCTCCATCCAGACAACTTCCTATGATCCTAAGAACTGTGGCTTCCCTCATGAGTTTGCAGGGGGATGACAGGGAGGTAGGGAACTCCTAGGCTGTTGAAGTGCAGGGAATGGGTCACACTAGCACACTCATCACTTTTCTTTCTAATAAGCCTTCCATGGAAGCTGAGCTCCCTTGTGCTAAGGCAGAATGCATGCCATTGTGAATGACATATCATAATTGACAGGCAGAAGAAATGAACAAATAAGCAAGCAGGATCATCATCAACAGCTGTTCTGGGCCTGTCTGAACTGGTCCTCTTTGCAAGAACAAGTATTCAAAAGCACAACATGGATGAGGTGTCCTCTATGGTGTTTATTTTGCTAATTGTGGGTTTAGTTTCCTCAAAGGTCTCTCTTGTACAAGTCTGTGACTCACTGAGTTTGGATTTGGGTAAAATGAAAACATGTTCAGAAGACTTTGTGTGCCTAACATTATTCAAGTATGCAAAATGTTTGTGTGTCTTTCTATCCATCTATAATAGGCGGCTTACATTTGTCTTCTCCAAAGTCCCTTTCTCCTCTGCCCTTTTTGATGGCTGGGATGCCATACAAGCAAAGGTGCCACAGCTCCACTGATTGCCATTGGCTTAGTTGATCCAATGTCACGGAAGGAGGCCTTGTCCAGGAAGCGTACCCCTAGGAAGGTGGCCTTGGGAGATCCTTGAATGCAAAGTTCAAGGTCCATGCTGAGCAGCTTCTGGTAAATGAAGCCAAGCAAGTCTTTCCCAGACCAAGCACAGCCAGCTGATGCTCCCATGATATGGAAATGGCTTACAGAAGCAGAACAGTTGTATTTGACCCTCAGTGGCTTTACCAGATTTGAACTGTGTAGAAAAAGGTTGCCAATAATTTAACTCATAAAGAAAACAAAGAGTTTAATGTCAGAGTTCTTTCAGACTTAACACCACGGGCATACAAATGACCACCTTTCACAGCATATTGGTTTAAGAGTCTTATATTTTTCTTTCTGCTTAGTAAATAATACATTTATGTTGCCTTTCAGCTTAGCTTCCCAAAGGCAACAAAAAAGTATTTTTTCAGTCGCTCTACATAACTACAAATTAGTACTGTGCAATGCAACCCACAGCAAAAGCAAGTTCCACTGAATTCATTGAGATTTACTCCCAGTTAAGCCTTTATAACATTGCAGCATAAATTATTTTTAATTGTTTTTAGAAAGCTAGGTTGAAAGTGTAACAGAAAAATTCAAAGGACAACATTATTAGTTGAATAATCATTATTTAACTCCGGAGCATAATCAAGTAAAATATTTACTAGTGTATGTATATCAAAGGCCATTTCCTGAATTCCTTACTAACCCAAAACACACATGAGTCTTATTAAGGGCTTTTACTGGCTTTTAGTATGAGTTTGGGGCATGGAGAGACATCAGGAATAAACCCTGATTTTGGAAAATGAACTGAATCTAGATTCTAGACGAAGTTAGTTGTGCTTAGTGCCCATTGAAATCAGTGTGAAAAGTCTGTTTGTTTTAACATAAATCCCGCCTCCATGCTTGCAAGTGAGAATACATGGAATTAAATGGATTTCAGCCCAATTCTTATGCCCAAACTGCTGTGGCACATGACAGATAGAGCTATCCATGCTGACTTTAGGTATGTGATGATGTAGCCAGGCAATTGTTTCATTGTACTTGCCATCAACCCTGGCAAATCAATCATAGCTGACAAATAAGGCTCCTCTTTTTCATGCCTGCCTGGGGCTATAGCATGGGGTTTGTCACTAGTATACAGGATGCCACTAATATATGGGTAGTGTAGCCTGGACCTGCAGTTCTGGCTATGGCCCAGAGTCTGTTCAGTACTCTTGCTTGCTTCTTCCCTGGTTGTCCTGATCCCCAGGCCCAAAGGCGGGCCCGTGTGATGCCCAAAATGACAGAATGATCAGCTCCAGCGCTCTATCAGAAGAAGGTGCAAACTGTCAAAAGTCGGCAAAGCCTTGCTGTCTTGACAGAGAATGAAGACCAAGACAGCAGGTGTTTGCCCGTTCATCCCACAAATGTAACAGCCAGGCCAGCAGTGTTTTGTATGGCTGCTGGTGAAATTTCGTAACCATCACCATGAGCACACCAGGTGTAAACACTATTCACTTGCATTGGTGGGGCTGGGGCAGCAGCAGCCCCCGAGGCTGTTTCACTTTAGACTTCACCAAAGGATGTGAGGCCTCATCCTTCCCTCACTTTCACTACCTGAAGGCAATTCCCCTTCCCCATCGTCAGTTGAGGTGCTATCCTCAGCTTCAGGATCCCACCCTGATGATGACCAACCTGGTGGAGCAATAGCTTTTACCTCAGGGTGCTGCAGCCATCCACTTTTGCGTACATATCAACAAGCAAAGGTGAGCAACTGCTTTTCCTGCCTCTCTAACTTTCCAGCTGAATCCCTTACAGCGTCACAGGCGGTGGCTTGCATATATCTTTCCAGAGAAACATCAGTCTCTCTAGCCTTCACCCACCCCTGCAAAGCCTTTAACACATCTCCCTGAGTTTTCAACACAGACAGAAACAGCCAGCCTACTGTTGCAGCTGCTTCTCTTTCCTCCAGGCCTCAGTAACATGTTAAACTCAGCCCCTTGAGGGCAGCAGTTATGGATTTACCTAGGCAGATGATCAGTCTTGGGGAGCTCCAAGCCTGTCCAGAATCACCGCCACAGGTCCTCACTGCCCCTCACTCCAGGCAGGGATTCAGAATGGCTGGGGCAAGTTCCACAGGGGAGAATGCACTGAGACACCCAATCTCAGTGATCACAGGCAGGAGGAGGAGCTACGCTAAGACCAGACAATGGAGGAGGCAGGTTTAGTTGTTGTTTGAAGACTACCCCTGCCTCCGGGTCTGGTCTTGACCGGAAGAATATTGGAATCAACAAGGGAGACCCACATGGCCTTAAGCTGCTGCTGTGCAATGTCAGGTCAAAGATTCACAAGACGGCTGTCATGGATGGAGGACTTGATCTGGTAACAGAGACTTGGCTGGATGAAGCAGATGGGCCTGTTCTTGCTGCTGTTTGTCTGCCAGGTTTCTCTTATGCATAGCTACCCGGGTCATATGGGTGGGGAGGGGGCGTTGCAGTGATTTATAGGAAGTCATTAGCTTACACCAGGCGTCCTATTGGGAAGACCCAGTTTTCTGAGTGCATGTTCTGGAAGTTGGACAATAGGGGCAGTAGAGGATTCCTTTTGGTGTACCGAACTCCCCGCTGCACCTAGGATTCCCTGCCCGAGCTGCTTCAGGTCGTGGCGGATGTTCTCCTGGGGACACCTAGTTTGGTTGTCCTAGGGGATTTTAACATCCATGCCAACATGACCTTACAAAGAGCCACTTGGGACTTTGTGGAAAGCATGGCCTCCCTGAATAAGTTTGACCCAACTTATAGTCATGGACATGCCTTACACGTGGTGTTCATCTCCATGGATGTGGATTATTTGACATTAAGTAAAAGTGAAACAAAAGAAGTGCCCTGGTCGGATCACTTCCTGGTGCAACTGGACTTCTCCACAACCATTCCTCTATGCATGGAGGTGGGACAGATTCGGATGGTCTGCCCCCGCCACTTAATGGATCCAAATGGTTTCCAGAGGGTAGGGGATGTTTTATCCCATGTTGATGGCCTTTCAGCTGATTCCCTGGTGGCCCGCTGGAATGCGGAGTTAACCAGAGCTATCGACTGTCTGGCTCCAAAGTGCCCTCTCCGACTGCATGGAACCCAGACAGTGCTGTGGTTTTCCCCAGGGCTGAGGGTGATGAACAATTGCCGAGACGGCTAGAGTGCTGGTGGTGGAAAAATCATTCTGAATCAGACCGGACACGGGTTAGAGCTCAATGTTGAGCCTACCAAGTGGAGATAGCATCTGCAGAAAACAGCAGCAGGAGATTCTTTCAGGTGGCTCACAATCTAACGGAACCACCTTTGCCATCGGGGCCCAACATCTCCTACAATAATTTTGCAAAGTTTTTTGCAGATAAAGTGGCTCAGATTCAGAAAGAGGTAGACTCCACCGTGGGAGCAGGGCCAGGGCGGGAGAGTGCTAGAGCTCTGTCTAGTCAAGCTGCATGGCATCAATTCCAATCTGTTACCTCCGAGGATGTGGACAGGTTGCTTGGACGCATGAAACCAACCACCTGTCTCCTTGATCCTTGCCCATCCTGGCTCATAAAAGTGAGCTGGGAAGAGCTGGGGGTGGTGAATGCTTCCCTCTCTGAGGGAGCCTTCCCAGACCTGCTGAAAGAGATGGTCATTAAACCACTTCTTAAAATAACATCTTTGGACCCAGCCAATATGGCCAACTATTGCCCAGTCTCAAATCTTCCATTCTTGGGCAAGGTGATTGATTGATTGATTGATTGATTGATTGAGTGAGTGAGTGAGTGGTTGCTGAACAACTCCAGGCATGCCTGGAGGATGCGGACTATTTGTGTTGCTTCCAATCAGGATTCAGGTCTTGGTCAGGCTGGTCGATGATCTCCAGTGGGCTAGGGACAAGGGTGAAAGCTGTTTCCTAGTTCGGCTGGATCTCTCAGCAGCCTTTGATACCATCGACCATGACATCCTTCTGGACTGTCTAGAGGAGCTGGGAGCTGAGGGCATTGTTATACAATAGTCCCACTCCTTCCTCCTGGGCAGTGTCCAGAAAGTGGTGTGGGAAGATGAGTGTTCAGGCCCCTGGGCTCTCATTTGTGGGGTGCCTCAGGGTTCTGTCCCCATGCTTTTTAACAACTACATGAAGCCGCTGGGAGAGATCATCAGGGGGTTTGGGCTGAGTGTTCATCAGTATGCAGATGATACACAGCTCTACCTCTCTTTCAGATCGGAACCAGTGAAGGTGGTGAAGGTTCTGTGTGAGTGTCTGGAGGTGGTTGGAGGATGGATGGCGTCTATTGAGGTTGAATCCTGACAAGACAGAAGTACTGTTTTGGGGGGACAGGGGGCGGGCGGGTGTGGAGGACTCCCTGGTCCTGAATGGGGTAAATGTGCCCCTGAAAGACCAGGTGTGCAGCCTGGGAGTCATTTTGGACTCACAGCTGTCCATGGAGGCACAGGTTAATTCTGTGTCCAGGGCAGCTGTCTACCAGCTCCATCTGGTATGCAGACTGAGACCCTACCTGCCCGCAGACTGTCTTGCCAGAGTGGTGCATGCGCTAGTTATCTGCCGCTTGGACTCCTGCAATGCAATCTATGTGGGGCTACCTTTGAAGGTGACCCGGAAACTGCAATTAATCCAGAATGCGGCAGCTAGACTGGTGACAGGGAGCGGCTGCCGAGACCATATAACTCCAGTTCCTGAAAGACCTGTATTGGCTCCCAGTACATTTCTGAGCAAAATTCAAAGTGTTGGTGCTGACCTTTAAAGTCCTAAAGGGCCTTGGTCCTGAAGGAGCGTCTCCACCCCCATCGTTCTTCCCGGACACTGAGGTCCAGCGCCGAGGGCCTTCTGGCAGTTCCCTCACTGCAAGAAGTGAAGTTACAGGGAACCAGGCAGAGGGCATTCTCAGTAGTGGTGCCCACCCTGACACCCTCCCATCAGATGTCAAAGAAATAAACAACTATCTGACTTTTAGAAGACATCTGAAGGCAGCCCTGTTTAGGGAAGTTTTTCATGTTTGATGTTTTATTGTGTTTTTAATATTCTGTTGGAAGCTGCCCAGAGTGGCTGGGGAAACCTGGCCAGGTGGGCAAGGTATAAGTAAATAATAATGATAAGCCCTCTGGCTGCTACCTCTGCAGTGCTATTGCTACATCTCCGCCCATCACACCCTCTGGAATCTGGCTGACTATGCTGCCTGAGCAACGGCTGCTCTAGGAGGGGTTTGTAAAGCAGAATAGATATATGAGAAGTGTTGCATCAATATATAGCCAGTTTGGGACAGGAAACATGGTGGTTCCAAGGGTTTGGGGGGGTGGCACCGCTTATTAATGATTTTTGTCACAATTATAGCAATAGGATTACTTTTTTTGTGTTGTTTTGTGCATTGCTGTGGATTTTGCTTGGAGCTGAGTAGCAAATTCACCGCACATCTTTGTGTAGAACCAAACTGTGAAAATGTTTCTAAAGGCCTGTAAATGCCATCTTGGTAGGCAAGGGAACCCCGGGACTAACTATTATTGGCTGTGAGAATGAGCTCATATATGTTTATCTGCTTGCTTTGATATATGCTCTTTGGCTTGCTTTGGTGCTATGCTTATCTGTGGACTTTGGAGGCTTGGCTCTCGGCTTAGGGAGGGGAGCTATCCATGAGGCTTGGCTGCCTGCCATCCCTGCCTTCGTGAGCCAGGTGGGCCAATGGGGGTTTCTAACCAAACTGACACATGATGTTTTCTGTATAAGCAATGCACAAAATGCTTGCCCGGGGGCAGGCAGTCATGATGAATGTTTGCTGTTTTCGTGTCTATCCTGAGTCTGTAAAGGCAGTAAGGTTTCTGGCACTGCATTGAAGTTTTCACCTTTTCATAACAAAGCACTAGAATGAATCCTTTTGGCAGTTTTGACATCCTTTTCTGGAATCCCTGATCTGTGGATCAGGACAATGGTATACTGCTGTCTGCTCCATCATTTATTTGATCAGAAGCAAAAGCATCCCAAGGAACGGGATCAATGGGCTGCAGGCTGCATATGGATGAGGGACACACTGAAGTGGAACTTTAATGTGCATTAGACTGAGTCGTGGCACACCTGCCCCCTAAAAGGCAGGCTTGGCTATGCCTGACACTTATGGGCTAAGTTTTTCATCCCATGTTCACACTTCAGTATGCCTCTAGAAAGAGAAAATGGATTAGGATTAGCATGCTAAATGTGTGCCCATCTTTCTTTCTTTTTAAATCATTAAAAGCTCATACAGAATCAGTCACACAATTCCAAAAAAAGCTGTGCTATGCGAGCAGATATAGAATTTTGTGGGTATATCAAGTTGCAAAGTCCCAGGTAGGGAGAAGAGAACAGAAGCTACTACAGGTCTTCCCTGGACCGTTTCAGGTCCCATTTCCCTTTAGAGGCACTCAAATTAATTTTGTTCTTTACCTCTGCCAGTCTCAGCTAGTGGCAAATACCGGTAACTTGCTGAAATTAGAAGTTGGGTGCTTCAGGTTCAACACTGGCTATCTATTTATTTGGATCTGGGGAGCCTTGTCAATGCCTGTATTGGTTTCATGATCACTTCTGTCACCATCACAGACAGTAAAATATTAGGCAGTTAGCTGGCATTATGGAAATATCAGATGTGGTGGTTAATCTGGATTTGGACATAGCACATTTTAGAAATTCATATGCTGACTAAGTATTTTATTTTGGACATAATTCAAAGGGAAAGCCTGCATTTTTCACCCTTCCTTCTTTTTTAGAGAAAAGAAGTAAGAACCTTATACCTGCAACATAAACACCCCCCCCCCCACTTTTCTGGAGTGTTTTATCATCCTAAAAAGCTGAACACTGCTGTCAGTTTCTGAAACTTGTTAAATATTGCCAAACTCTCACCACATCTCTACTGCCTTATCAAGGAAATGCAAGCACCGCGATGGGCACAGAGCGGTCGGTGCAGGTGAGGAGGCTGCAGAATTGGGTCCCTCCACAGGGTGTTTCTTCCAAGCATTTACCAAGGGGGAACGATCAGATTTGAGAATAAAGTCACAACTCCAGATCTTTTCCTCATGCTTTCAACATTCCAGAAGAGGCCTCCCAAATTTCTCCTTCTTTTCTTTATGAAATATTTTGCCTTTGGGGCTGTGATCCAGCCAAGCCTGATTTCAGTGCAAGAGAGTTGAGCACATGCTTAAAGGTGAGAAACTGTGGCTTAGGGCTGACAGGTATCTAAGGGAAGGAGGGCGGGAGGGAGCCCACCCTGATGTACCTGCCCTTTTGCCTTGCACAACACTTCTGTGTGTAACTATCAGCATGTGATCCTTCAGCAGCAAGGAGATAAACTTCCGTCACCTGCCAGAGTTTGCACACCCAACTGCTGGGAAAGGCGCAGACTGGCTGGAATGCTCAAACGCCTGCTGTGTCCCGCCTGCCCCCAGCTCACAGCAATCTCTGGCCAATAAAGTGATAAGCAAAGGGCCCTGCGAGTGATTCTCTTAATTGCACAGTTATTTTCCTTTCTCCTTCAGCTGACCTGAAAATCTTCAAAACGTTTGCTGCCAATCTGTACAAAGTTCAAAGATACTTTCTATTTTAGCAATTATACTCTGATGCAAGGAATAGCAACGTGCTGGTGGTAAGATGAGAGAACTACTTTAGGGGTTCGATAAGATAATACCTTTCTGCTTATCTGTTTGTTTGTGCATAAGCATGGAAAGAATTTGCTATGATATCCTTTGCTTCTATGGCAAGCTTGTTTGCAACATGGATTTTTTTAAGGCAGAGGACTTAGCTGGATATATGGAAAAAACAACGAAGAATCTTGTGGTCCCTTAAAGACTAACAACTTTATCACAGCATAAGATTTTGTGGGCTACAGTCCACTTCATCAGAGATATGAAGAAGTATTCTCAGTTTCAGGTACTTGATGGTTAGAGGAGGTAAACTGTCAGATCCAAAGTAAGTATGGGTGGTGGTAATTTACATTGTTCACAGAAAAGCGGGGCTGATAGCACAGACATCCTGGCACTGATAAACCAACTAACTCATGCAGTGTGATAAAAATCCATTCTGCTGATTCAATCCACAAGTTATAGCAGCCGGTGTACCAGATGGAGCTGGTAGAAAGTTTCCCTGGTCACAGAATTGACCCGCGCCTCCATGGTCAGTTGTGAGTCCAAAATGACTCCCAGGCTGTGCACCTGGTCTTTCAGGGGCATAGTTACCCTGTTCAGGGCCAGGGAGTCCCCACACCTGCCTGCCCCCTGTCCCCCAAAAACAGTTGGACTAGGTGATCCTCAGGGTCCCATCCAACTATGATTCTATTCTATTCTATTCTATTCTATTCTATTCTATTCTATTCTATTCTATTCTGTGCAACCCTTGAGATTCATTCACCTGATCAGCTTCCAATGATATGCCATCATCTGCCAAAATGGCACTTCTGAATTCTCTTATAAGACAAACAGGCTTTTCTCTACACAGCACTACTCTAAAATGGCAACATGGCAATATAGAAAAAACAGGAAGAGGCCATTTTAGCTTCCAATGACACTGCAACCAACATAACGTGAATACGGGAACTTCAAAAGAAGACTGCAGTGTTGTTAAGTGCTGTCTTTTCTGGACTGAAACTGCAGAATTGATTTTTTAATAAAAAAATCATTTTTTAAAAAAATCGTTTTACCAAAGCCAGGATGTATGTTGTGTGTGTCTGTATGAAAGGCCCAGTTAATAAGATAATTATCACCAGCATACTTTTCTGCATTTTGTTTTTTGACTTCACTGTTTACAATCCTTTCCCCATCCTGCATTCACATATGCACGCACACACCTGTAACGTAGGATAGCATTTCATACATGTGATCAGGTAGATTGCAGTCCTTTAAAGCTTCTCCCATAACAGATGTTAAAGTGCCACAAGACTCTTTGGGTTGCAGTCAATGCTGCATGTTTGGAGTGGTGTTCTGCTCATGCAGTGTGATTTCCCCTTCACACTCCCAGTATCTGCTCCAAAGGGTCTCGCAGCCCCCTGAGGCAGATTCTGAGGGTGCACAGGAGCTACATGGGAGAGGAGAGAGGGGAGTTTGGTTGTGCAAGTGGAAGTCTGTTGTGGGAGTGGAATGGATACAACCCACTGTTGTTTTTCTTTCAAGAGCTTCTGGAAACTGGATATACAGGTTTATTATGTCCTTGGAATATAGGAAGAACATGAAAACAATCTAGTTTTATTTTGAGAAGCCTTCTGCTTCCTAGTACATTAATGCCTGAATACTAAATATGTTAGCTTGAGTCTAGCTGCAGCCAGGCCCTATGCAATCAATGATTCAAGAGAGTGGATTGGGCTGCACATTTCCTTTTGCTCTCAAGGCAGATAGGAATGTACATCCCCATCCCACATGTGCAGTGCAAATACAGATTTCATGAGGTGTCTCTCACCCAGATTCCCAAACTTCCTACAGAGGAATACTTTTGCTGAACTGCTGAACAACTATATACATAATGTGCTTGGGGGTGTCTTTTCTTGCACAGTATTTCAGATGACATGGTAACATAAGATTTTGCTAGATCAGGCCAAAGGCCTATCTAGTCCAGCATCCTCTTCTCAAAAGGCCCAACCAGATGCCGCTGTAAGCAGAACCTCAGCAACATGTTCAGCTCAAATAAGATTATTGCCGTTCTGTGCAGTACTGGAGGTTGAATCATCCTGCTGCATCCAAGTCCTCCAGCTTAGCTGGCTAAAGACAAGCCCTCAAGCCAGGGACCTTCGTATTTCCCCCAGCCCTTTGCCTTGCATGTCAATGCCTTTTGTAGATTGTAGAAAGTCTACTAGCAAGGATTGTCCATCTCATTATTGCTCTCAAGTGGCTGGCCTGCTTTTATGCACTTCTCTTCCAGGTACGTAGGCGATGCATGTGTGTTGTTCACATTTCAACAATTCTGCTGGATTTCCCCCCAAGAAACTGTGCAACCCTACACACGTCTACTGAGAAGTGAATACCATTGTGCTCAGTGGTGTTTACTCCCAAGTAAATGTGCAGAAGATTGTAGTCTACATATTTTAGTAATGAATTGTAATTATAAATCAATGTTACATTCCCTAATACAGTAACATATTCTGATTTTCCCCTTTGCTGATTTTATCTTTCTTTCTGTAAACCATTAATACTCTGTTATAATCCAGTCCTGGAAACACCGCTGTGGAAGTAATTTCTGCAGAACTTGTTCCTAGGCATCAGTCAAATCCTATACACATCTCCCAAAACAAAAAAGCCCCAATCTCATGCATATTTCCTTCAGAGAAGGTGCCACTGAACCTAGTGAGGCTTGCTTTGAGTAAACATGCATAAGATCCAGCTGTTAGTTTGATGGGGCTTCTCCCAAGTACATATGCCTAGGTCTACAAACAGTACCATGGTTAAGGCTGAAGCCCTAAAATGCTTTGGGCTCACAGAATCATAGCTTCAGACATAATTCACACAGAGCAACAATTGCAACCATTCTGAAACAGGATGGCTGTCAGCAGCCACACTCTGCGGAAACAGGGGAGGACATCAGGGAATAAAGCTGCAGTGAGATCCATAGGTAAAAACCGGCAACAAAGTTATATGCACTGAGATCCACCGCTAAAGTGGGAACTGCACAGACTACAGCAATAAGACACAAGGAGATTGCCTCAGTGGCAGAGCTTGAGGGAAGTTAAGCCACATAAATATAACTAACCTTAGTATACTGAATCTTCAGATCCTTGAGGGGCTCTGGCAAAGCCGGGGCAGTTGTCATGTTTGGACTAGTTCCTGAAACACAGGTGAAAGGAGGTTGTAAGAAAAGTTCAGTGATATTTGCCCTGACTGAGCACTTCAATATAATTGTGCCTTTTTATCTGAACTGGCTATAGTATATTTGCATGCAAGAGTATGATTGGACGAACAACTGCACAGCACAGAGAGGGGGGGGGACTACAGCTAATGTGCAACACCTAGAAAAGCAGGCTGTGTACTTGGGTGCAAAAGTCCATATGAGGTCGTGGCATTCTCTGTGTGTGCAAATAGCAGCCTGCTCCTTTTCACCTGCAAGAATAACATACACTCAGAAACATCAGTATAGATAACCTAAAAAGAGTTCTGAAGATATTTCAGAGCTTTGGAAATTTACACAAATATAAACTGTATGTTGTGTTGTTGTTTTTTTAAAAAAATAGTTCCTGTCTTTCTAGCAGTGACAAGACAGGCAAAAATCCAACAGGTTCAGCTTTTCCTGGCAGGAATTGCTGTGATAATATTGAAAAGAGTGTTTAATTTGAATATGTCAAATCAATGCATTTTTAATAACTCTTGGAAACATTCTAGGAAGCAGGAAACCATGCCGGCTTTTGCAGCAAAACCAACTAAGTGCCTTGCAGCACTTTTAAAACAATCAGATTTTGTGGTTCATCAATAATATCTTCAGGATGTATTATTCTTAGTTAGATGTACAAGCGTGTGCCTTCCAAAGTGCAATGCTAGGACTGCAGTGTCAGAGCCCACAGTGTGCACCTGGCCTGTGAGGGGGTGAAGCATTACCCATGGCTCCAACCTTTAGGTCGTACTGCCATCACCCTGCTTCTAAACTTCCAGGCTAGTGGCTTGCAAACACACAGTCTTCAGGCTCTTATTGTAGGAACTGGGAAATCTCCAATTGGCACTAGAAGAAAGATTCAGACCATCTTCTCCAGGTTTCCTGTTTGCCAAGATCTTGGAGCACATTACTGGAGCTAGGCTGCAAGTTAGGTATGGGCAGCATATTTGGTTTAGTTTAGATTCTCGTGAGACCAGACCTAATTCACAGTTCCTGCTGAAACAAGATATGAACTGAAGCAGGTATACTTTCTGAAATTTTGTGAAACTATTCTTCTAGCAAATAAAAAGCACAAAAATGTGTGCATAGAAAAGTATAAATGTATTATTATTGAAAATAATGCCATATATAATAAAATAAAACATAACATAACATAACATAAAATGCATTGTATAAGAGGAAATTGCTTGCAAAATAGCATACAAAAATGGATATGTATTAGGAAAAAATCAACACTAAAACGCTGATAAATTTTCATTTTTATCATTTATTAAATTCCAAAGATCACAGGGTGGTTCACACAACATAAACATACAAAATGAAAACGCGAAATACATAATAAAACAAAAACAAACCAATTACCCCCACCCCACAAACACATTTAAAAGGCTATACTGTATAATGTGTATTCAGCCCAAGGCCTGGTTATAGAGAAACGTTTTCACTGGGCACCTAAAGATCTGTAATGAAGGCGTCAGGCAAGCCCCCCTGAGGAGAGCATTCCATAAACAGGGAGCCACTGCTGAAAATGCCTGTTCTTATGTTTCCACCCTCTAAGCTGCTCATGGAGGGGTCACACAAAGAAGGTCCTCAGATGGGCCGGTCCTTCAGGTATTGTGGTTCTGAGCCATTTAATACTTTACAGGTCAAAACCAGCACTTTGAATTGGGCCTGGAAACTAATTGGCAGCCCATGCAGTCATTGGCATTATATGCTCAAACCATCTTGCCCTGGTGAGCAACCTGTCTAATGAATTCTTACACCAGCTGAAGTTTCCAAACAGTCTGTAACACTTTGTATAACACTTTGCAGTACAGTGGTACCTCGGGTTGAGTACTTAATTCGTTCCGGAGGTCTGTTCTTAACCTGAAACTGTTCTTAACCTGAAGCACCACTTTAGCTAATGGGGCCTCCCGCTGCCGCTGCGACACCGGAGCACGATTTCTGTTCTCATCCTGAAGCAAAGTTCTTAACCCGAGGTACTATTTCTGGGATAGTGGAGTCTGTAACCTGAAGCGTATGTAACCTGAAGCGTATGTAACCCAAGGTACCACTGTAATATAACCTAGAGGTGACCAGAACATAGACAGCAGAACTTAGGCTAAAGGTAAAGGACCCCTGACCATTAGGTCCAGTCGTGACCGACTCTGGGGTTGCGGCGCTCATTTCGCTTTATTGGCCAAGGGAGCCGGCGTACAGCTTCCGGGTCATGTGGCCAGCATGACTAAGCTGCCTCTGGCGAACCAGAACAGCACACGGAAACGCCGTTTACCTTCCCGCCGGAGCAGTACCTATTTATCTACTTGCACTTTGACATGCTTTTGAACTGCTAGGTTGGCAGGAGCAGGGACCGAGCAACGGGAGCTCACACCGTCACGGGGATTCGAACCGCCGACCTTCTGATCGGCAAGTCCTAGGCTCTGGTTTAACCCACAGCACCACCCGCGTCCCTTAGAACTTAGGCTATCCCTGTCCAAATGGTGGCACAGCTGGGCCACCAACTGAAGCTGATGGAAGGCACTCCATGCCACCAAGGCTGCCTGAGCCTCAAGTGACAGCAAAGGATCCAGGAGTACTCCCAAGCTACATACCCACTCCTTCAGAGGAAGTGTAACCCCATCAAGAGCAGGCAGCCTTCCAGCCATCCGGTCTAGGGAGCCACCCACTAACAGAGCCTCAGTCTTATCTGGATTGAGCTTCAGTTTGTTGGCTCTCATTTAGTCCATTACTGAGGCAAGACAAAGATCCAGCACTTCCACTGGCTCACCTGCAGATGTAAAGGAGAAGTAGAGCTGCATGTTGTCAGCAACCTCCTCCAAACTCTGTTTCCGGTTAAACATCATAGGGGATGAAATTAAACCCTGGGGAACCCCATGCTGAGGATTCCACAGAGCTGAAGAGCATTATTCAAGCATCACCATTCATGTAGGGCCAGAACCACCACAAAGCAGTGCCAGTAGGATGCTATGGTCGATGGTAGGGTGGATCTACACACAGGGGAAACACCCCCACTATAAATAAGTCAGAAGTTAAATCATTATAACAAAAGAAAAAATGTTATGTAAAATTTGCATAGATTTTTTTTCTCTCTCTCTGGTGCCATCTGGTGTTGCATGTTTATAACAAATTCAAAACGCTGTTTTTGGACTAATGCAGCTGAGTCCTTAGATTTTTCTGAATCCATGGGGGGCTTCTTAAGGAGTGGTCTTACTACTGCCTTCTTCAAGCAGGCAGGGACCACCCCCTCTTGTAAAGAGGCATTCAGCACCTCCCTGGCCCAGCCAGCTGTCCACTCTCTGCTAGCTTTTATCAGCCAAGAGAGGTACGGGTCCAGAGTGCAAGTCCTAACTGATCCAAACACATTGTCCATGTCCTCAAAACTTACTAACTGAAATTCATTCAACATAACAGCACTAGACAGTGTTCTGGACACCCCATGAACAAACAACAATCACAAATGGATTGCAGAAATGAATTTGAGATTAGGAAAATGGGAAAGTGAAACCAACAGATTTGACCATTTCTCATTGCGGGGGTGGGGGGATCCAATTCATGGGAGGGAAACTAGGGCAGCAGCAGGCAGGTCATGTATGCAGGAGACCTTCAGAGATGGGTGCTTCGGGCAATTATCACTTTGCCAAGGTAGGAGAGGTGGTGTCCACTGGAGGGATTTTGTGAAAGGACAAGCAGCCTTTGTGCAATGCATTGTGGCATCAGGTTAGTATACATTTGAGAGTTCGTTCCTTAAAGATGCATAAGACTAGGCAGTAAAGTTCTGGCAAACAGTAAAACCTTTCTCCTGACTATACATTGCAGGTAAAAAGGCACCTAGTTCAGTCTCCCCCACCCCTCCCAAAAAAGATCCAAAAATATTTAGGAAGAATGCTGCATTAACTGGATTTCTGCCACTTAAAGGGAGAAAAAAAATTGGGAGTGGGGATAGAGATGGCCACCTTCCTTGTGAAATGCATGCCATGTTGATTGGGCTGCCTTGCCTTTCTGTGCAAAATGTTCTCCCTCCCTCCATGACTGACAATTTTTTGGTATAAACTAGATGCAGGGTGTGGTAATGCTCAGAAACATCAGCAAGGTTTTGAAGTGCTCAGCCTTGCCCTTTAGCCCTGCATATTGCGACACAAGATGACTGGCACAGAGCGCTTCGCCTTATAGCATATCTGGCGTCTCTTAAAGATTTGTATCTAATATATAATGTTTCATACAAAGAGATGGACAAATCCAACCTTGTACTCATCCACGGATGCACCACTATGCTGTGCACATATACTGAAGAACACACGCACACACACCAGCCTCTGCAAGGTTTTATTTTCCCTGTTCCTGCATGTAGTTAGAAAGCAGAATAATATATCCAGTTTATGTGCATTTGAAAAACATTGCTTTCCATGAATTCACTTGCATAAATATTGTGCCGTTGCTGGCTCTGCTGCTTTGCCTTCATCAGCAGCCTAAAATTCATGGTGTGCAGAGCTAACGACAGAGACAGTTCCACTTGCTTAATTTCTCCTACCAGGCTGCTGTGAAAGACAAAGGAACGGGATCAATAAAAATGGCAACCCTGCTGTAAGCTGCAAGTCTTTTCTCATTCAAAAATTGAAAAGTGGATGCAGTCAACTGGAGGTGAAGAAAAATACTCTGCACAAGTCTAGTTGGCACTTTATTTTTATTACTTTATAAGCCCCAGAGCTGCACTGTGAGATTGAAACCAGATTCAAGGTTCACACCCTGCAAATACCTCAGTCAGGAGGACCAAGGTCTGTTCACCTGTTGAGCAAGATGGCTAGCTGCCCAGAACCACACCACCAACCTGTCCTGTCCTGTCCTTCCAGTTTAGCTCAAAGCCCTCTTAGTTTTGCTTGTTCCAGCAAATCCTTGGTAGTGCCAAAGCCACTCCAGAAATAAGCCATGGGGCACGTTACAAAATACATACTTCAACTTTATAAAGGCAAGACAGTTTCTGTCAGAAAAAAGAGTGGCATCGGGTGAAAAGCATTTCATTCTTGGCTACTACCACAATCTGGCTTCAGTCCCTAGAAAGAAATTCAAGCCTGTAACCTTTGAGTGTTGGAGTGATGTAGCTCCCTGGGGCGAGCCTGCCCTGTGCCCCCTAAGCTAGCCTTCTCCCCTCAGGTGTGGTGCTGGTTCTGTCATCAGTGCTGAAGTAAGATTCAGCTGTCAGTCTGGCTGACATCGATGTGAGAAATGGGCAGGAGGCACCATATCAGCCTTTGCCTCAGAGAGCAAAATGTCTTGGGCTGACCCTACCATTCATGCAAGGAACAAAGCAGGACTTTCCTCACACAGTTGGGATGTGGCAATACCCCAAATTGCAAAAGAATACATAAAGTTAAGATTTTAAATGAACATATTGTATTTCTATAACATAGATATGAAAAGATTTAAGAACTTTACAAAGAATATGTATGTGGCCTATGGCCAACAGAACATACAGTAAGCAAATAATTGTAGTTTCACAGCACTGAAAAACAGACACCGTGCAAATGATGACAACAATATATCTCTCTAGTCACACTGACTGCATGTTATCTTCCTATGCTGACTGTACCACAGCACAAAGATATGGTTGTCCAAAACCTTGACATCCTGAAGAAAGACTGTGGTGTAGTCAGCATTTGGAAGATATATCCAGTCAGCATGACTAGATATGACAGAATACATTGTTGTGATAATATGTGCAGTGTCTGCATTTCAGGGTTATGAAGTCACGTGAAACTGTTTGATTAGTACTATGTATAAATGGTTTGGTTAGTATTGTCTCCTTCTCTGAATGCACCCCTTCTGGAGTTAGGGGATGCATGGAGTTTCCAGTTTCATGAGCCACATGCTGCCATATGAGGCCCCCGCCAGCAGCCCCTTCCCGCTCTGCAATTTCCCCCTCAGTTTTCAGGGGTCTCTCCAGGTAAAGGTAAAGGTACCCCTGCCCGTAGGGGCCAGTCTTGACAGACTCTAGGGTTGTGCGCCCATCTCACTCAAGAGGCTGGGGCCAGCGCTGTCCAGAGACACTTCCGGGTCACGTGGCCAGCGGGACAAGCTGCATCTGGCGAGCCAGCGCAGCGCACGGAAACGCCATTTACCTTCCCGCCAGTAAGCGGTCCCTATTTATCTACTTGCACCCGGGGGTGCTTTCGAACTGCTAGGTTGGCAGGCACTGGGACCGAACAACGGGAGCGCACCCCGCCGCGGGGATTTGAACCGCCAACCTTTCGATCGGCAAGCCCTAGGCGCTGAGGCTTTTACCCACAGCGCCACCCGCGTCTCCAGGTAGAGCAGGACAGAAGACCCAGAGCAACACTGGGCTCAGTCCTACTTGCAGTCTTCCTGAAACCACTTTCCATACTTAACTGCTAGACACAGGTTGCTGCAGTTATGGGATTTTTCTGCTTCAGGTGTCAAAATACATTGATTAGCCTTGGATGCTATATACTTTGATTTTTTGAGGGTTGCCATTTCCTGCTTTGTCTCAGGTGGCAAAACAGCTATGAATGCTTATGAATGCTTGTTTTGGCATTTTAAAATTTTCTTAATATATAAAGCATCCAACAATATTACTGACTTTCCACTTACTACAAAGCTTATGGGTTATAATAATTGTGCCAGCAAACAGATCAGATTCCACCAGGACAAGTTTCCAAGCAGACAAGGGATGATTAATAGAAAGTTAGGTATTCTGGAGTGTCACTGGAAGAAATGGAATGCAAAGACTTTATTGTCTGCTGAGTTCCTATCGATCCCAGTGAGACTTTGGCACCCCTTTCTTTGAATTGTTCTTGTTGGACACAATCCAGAGCACGCATGGTGAGTTTTCTGCTAACTTCTGTTATGGGAAAGGCTCTGTGCACAGGTGCACAAACAGTTTTCCTGCTGTGTGCACAGAAAAGGTTTTGCTTGCAGGGGAGAGTTCCTACCAAGGCAAGAGATGTTTTACCTATGAGGCTGTGTGCTGCCATGGCAAATATTTGTCTAGAGTTACAGTGTTTGCACTCAAACTCTGTAGTTTGGGAATGGCACAATGTGTATTGTGGTTCACACCAAGCAAATTACATCTTTAAAAATATGCACCCTCTTGTGCAAGGGGTGAATTTCTTCTTTGCGTGCCCAGGCGGAGACCCCCTGACCCCAAGAGACCACCAGAAGGAATAATGACTCGTGACAATGTGTTATGGAATTAAAAATTGGCCACAACTTTATTAAACCTTTCAGATGTAGGAAGACCTTGGCTTAGGCATTGGGCACGTATCCCTCCCAGCCTGCAGCTGGGGAACGGGGGCTCCTCAGGGTGAATGGGATATGGGAGGGTGCGCTGCAAGACACTTGTGTACGCAGGCAGCCCACCCCATATCCCCGCAACGCAGGGGAGTTCACTGACAACCTTTCAGTGTGTGGCCAGTGACTTCCTATTTACAAACCCCTTGAAGAGGGGACCCTGGAATCGCCACTGCGGGGGGCGGGGTGAGTCACTACTTCATGCCTCCCCCTATATACAGAAGATAGACTAAAGGATTCCACCAAGGCCTCAAACTGCCAAAGTTGTGACGAATTGCTATGGGGAAGGCAAAACCTGCCAATGTAGGGAAATTCCTTCCGGGTTCTTCAACAGCAACCATCAAAAGTCCGTAGCAGCGCCCACTGAACAGGAAGAAAAAATGGTTAACCTGCAAACAAGCAATAGACAAAGGAAGAGTTGGGTAGGTGAAGCTCCGGAGCCAACCGCATGCTTGCTGCCAGCTCCGCCTCCTATTTATGCAACTGGCCACACCTCCCAAAGGTGCTGATAGGTTAACTGGGGTTCGGTGGGAACCCCCAATGACTATGAGAAGGAGGTGGGCCAGCCCAACCAGCTGGTGAGTCCTGTTAAGTTGTGGGTTGACATAGCAGACAACACAGCAATTTCTCCAAAGCAGCTCTTTATTTTGTAAGCTGGAACAGAACTAACTGAGGAGCTCAGTCAGCCTGCTTATATAGAGCTCCAGAACAATGTAACTGTTGCCATTTTCTAAAACTATCCAATCACTGAACGTCACTTTTCGATCCTTCATTTGCATACAAAACTATCCAATCACTGAACGTCACTTTTCGATCCTTCCTTTGCATAACTATCTACAGTATCCCCCTGCTGGCCCAGGGTGAGAGCTTCAGTACATAACAAGTCCTATGTGGCCAGAGGTGCCGCATGTGGTCCTGCAAAGGGCGCCCACAAAGAAAGGTGTGAGCACTCATTATTGCACATTGCATCTTGGAAAAGAATGCATAGTGTCATGGTAAGCAAAGTATGTGGGGCATTTTAAGCAATCACTCATAGTAAGAATTAGTTCTTACAATAAGAATTTGTGCTGAGTCAAAGCATCACCAAGTGAAGACTTTAGAATGAAAGCGGGCACTGGCGGAGGAAGAAGAGTGCGGGGGGAGCGCACCGCCCCCAGCAGCTTGATCCCAGTGGGGTTCCATCGTGGCTGCCCCCCTGCCTGCACTAGGTGCCCCGTCCCTGCAGGTGGCATGCCCCCAGTACACACACCACACCCCGCCCCCACCTGCTCTCCCCCCCCCCAGTGCCAGAGCATGAAGCTCCACTACTGAAAAGGGGTTTGTGGTGTTCAAAATACCCTCATATAAACTTCACATATGCAATTAATTCATGTCTTCTGTGATTGTTTGCAAACTTTACAACCATATAAGAAGCAAAGTTGTGGCACAGTGCAGGGTGGGCAGGATGAGTCACCCAGCTGCTTAGACCTCAAGCTGAATATCCACTCATCTCTTCAGATGTGATGTGGTTTTTGCAGCCTAACATAGCCCCTCTCCCCATCTTCTTTGTCCTGGCTCCCAGTCTCTGGCTCCAACAGCCACTGAGAGATGGCTCTCCTGTCTCTCCTAGCAAATTTGCCCACCTGCAATTTGGCCCAATCATAGCTGGGCTTGGGGGAGTGGCAATGGGGGTGGACCTGAGGCAGACTTCCTGGTGGAGTCTTCACCCAGGTCCACTCCCTGGGTATAAAAACTGGTCTGGGCTTCACCTGAGACCACAGTTGCCTGCAGATCTCCCTCCCTCCCACCCATATTTTCATGGTTTTCACTGTTCTGTTGTGCAATTGTGTGGTATTTGATAGACCTTGCTATGGTTCTTATGGTTGCCGTATGTGGGGTTAGGGAGGAAAATTTCTCATCAGAAGAACTGGCCTGTTTTGAGGGTTTCGCCTACCTCACAGCAATCATCACAACATGAGCGGATATGGCATTGGGTAAATTCCTAGTCTTTGGCAGAGGGGAAATTGTAAAACCTCTGCTTCTACCTCCTTGGTGGTGGGGAACCCCGTTAAAGGGATCCATGGGGAGGTGCTTCTGTCTATACATCCAGGCAAGGGCTGAGGACCATAGCACTCTCCAACGTGGCAAGTCTGTGGGAATTGCACCTATTTGATGTATGTCATAGGTGAACCCCAAATCAGTCTTGAACCCTGATATCCCTCCAGCAGGTAAGCTGGAGGAGATGGTAGCTACCCAGCGCCAAGCCAAAACTCATTTACATCTGCAATCAATAAAGTTGTGGCCGAATTTAAATCCAAGAATGTTATCGGTGGTTCTTGGTTTTTCTGCTATGGCTAGATGGGGTTCACTGCACCCTGGCAGTAATCTCCCTTTCTTTCTGAACTGTGTTGCAGGGATACACAGGCTGCGGTGTACAGAAGGAAGAGACAGAAAGTTGCCCAGTTGTCAAGACACTTCCTCACTTCCACCTCTGGGCTGTGACTTACATGCATTATAGTGCAGGAAGAGAAGAAAGTATCCTTGCTTTTCCTGGTGAATCAGAAAGAGACATTCCCCTTTCTTCCTGTACAGTGTTGTAATTTCTAGCAGAGCACGGCAAGTGACCTCTTGTTGACTAGGCAACAAAAGCACACCCTACCTCATATTTCTAGCATAATGCATGAACTTTATTTATCCTCAAAGTCCCCACTACCAATAATTTATAAAAGGGAGATGCTTTAAAACCCCAAACGAGGTCGCAACAGTAGGACTCATAGGTTAGAGACACACGGTAGAAAAATTTGGTTCAGTTCACATTTAAAGGTAAACCTATAAAAGCATAAAAGCTCAAATATTAGTGTAATAAAATCCAAAACTGCATTATATTGGGGAAAATTGCTTGTGAACAAGTGAATATTAGGTAAAATTGCACACAAAATATGTAAAGGGAAACTATTACTAATTTTTATGAGGACATTTAAAAAATTGCAATCAGATGTGGAAATGTGGAGACTGGAAAAACGAGAAACAGGAATTTGACAGATTGTCCCATCCTCCTCTGTGCTAGTAATAATTCACAATGAAAGATGTTTGAAGGGCTATAATAGATAGTCCATAGTCAAAGCAATATATGCTGAGCTAGACATGCAAAATAAAATAAAATAAAAATAAGCTAGAAAATCTAATGCCACTTCCATTGACTCTTGTCAGGGTTGGTGCCAACTAGTAAATGCAAAACAATATATGGGCAGAATTTTATTTCAAGGCCAAAGGCTGAAAATCACTGATAAGCCTAAACTTATTACAGAGGAAGTTTGTATCATCTGAGCAATGATTTAGCAAAGACTGCATTGTGCTTGTGTACAGTGCTGATCTACTGAATTTTTTCGGAGCTTGGTCAAGATAGGTCAAATAAGGACATGCACATCTTAAAAGCACATGCCTTAAACAAATTGCCTGAAATATATCAACATTTTTTATAAGCCCGCTCACCCCTTTTCGTGCGGTGGCATTGTGGGACGGAGGAGGCTTCAGTGGGGCCCCGACGCGGGATTTCAAACTGTAGTCCCCTCCCTATCAGGAACTGGATCCTACCTGCACCCTGCTTTGGCAAATGGGAATTGGGCTGTGCTGGGCGTGGAGCCAATGGAGCCAACGGTGGACTTCTCTCGGATTCGCCCCTTGCCCATTTAAGCAGCCAGCACCTGGGGTCTCAGCCTGTTTGTTCCTGTGCCGGGTTTCCCTGCCTACCCACCCTCGGTTTAAGCTGATAGTCAATGCCTTTGCTGTGGCTACGGTGGTCACCGTCCTTTAAGGGGCTGGGTAGGAATAGGAATTTGCCCACTGGGCTAATTGGCACTGAACCAGTGGTTTTGCCTACCTCATAGCAATCATCACAGCTGGTTGAGCATTGGGGCAATCCTTTGTTTTGGATGGACGGGAGGTTGTAGTCTCCGCCTGCCCCTCCAAAAGCTGGCGTATCCCGTTAAAGGGATATGGGGGGAGTGGCCATGTCTGTGTGCCCTGGCAGGGCCAGGGCCGAAGGCACTCCCCCAGACGGTGGTCCCTGCAGGGGTCATCCTATTGGATGTAAGTCTAGGAACCCCCACCTGGATTGACAACGCGTCACTTTCGGTGAGCAGACCAGAAGTATTTAGATTGCCCCATGCCCAAGCCAAACCTCTTTCATCTGTATTCTATAAAGTTGTGGCCTGTTTTGACCCCAAACCCAGTCTTATTGGTCTCTTATTATACTGGTTGGGGTATGGGAAGTCTGATGCCTGGTCCGGCAATGGTCCAGGGGCTGGATCCAGATGAGGAAAGTGCCATTGAACTTTCCATAGGCATGATTGGCCACTGTGAGAACAGGATGCCTTTGCCTAGATGGCCTTTTGTTCTGATCTAGAAGAATAAGTTGAATGAACAGATTTATGTTCACACACTAGATTGTCACTTTCTTTTCCCCTGCATGCCCCCCAAATTTACTTTAGAGCCCCCCGCCCAACCCTCAGGGGTAGATGTTGAGTGTGTGCAGGGGGCTCTAGGGAGAATGAAAAGAAGGTGAAGTTCCACAGTGTGAGCAGACCTCCATTTTTTTCACACATGGGCAGCATTGCATACAACCACATATATTTAATAAAAAGCACACTGAAGTTGTTGTAAGACATGCAATCAGATGAGTTCCATAAGAGATTCAAAGGATCTTTTGATGAAAGGAGGATGCACAACAAAATAGCAAATGTGGTTTGGTGTAAATATGTGTTAAGTGGGGCAAAAATAAACAAATCCTAATTTCACATATTTAATGATGGCAGTGATTGACCAGGAAAGAGAGCTTGGGATTGTGGTAGGTTAGCAGCTCAGTGAAAACATGGTTAGTGTGTGGCAGTAGTGAGGAAGGTAAATTCCATGCTTGGGATTAGGAAGAAAGAAACTGAAAATAGACCAGGCAGCATCATAATGCATTTTTATACATCTATGCTGTGGCTGCAACTGGCATCTGGTGTTTAGTTATGATCACCACATCTCAAATATGAAACAGTAGAGCTAGAAAAAGAATAAAAAAGCAATCAAAATCATCACGAGTTTGAAGGAGCTTGCCTATAAGAAAAGGTCAAGTGTTGAGTCCTCATAGTTTGGGGGGGGGGAGGGTGAGGGTGAGCTGACATGATACAGATTTATAAAACAACCCACGGTGTGGATACCACTTCCCCCCTTCCTTTCCCGAGAGTCATGCAATGAAGATGGTTGGTAGAAGATTCAGAAGAGAGAAAAGAAGATGTGGTGATGACCACTAGTCTCGATGTCAGGGACTGCACTTAAATTTATGGAGGATCAATATAGGCAACGATTCGCCCCACAGATGCCCTGCAGAAAGACAGAGGCATCTTCCTTCTTAGTGCTTTGCAGTCTCAGTGCCAATCTTATTATAATGTTAGAAAGCGGAATGTGATATTGCAATAAGGAATTGAAATTGCCTGGGGGGGGGGGAGCTTACTTGTTTCTTTTTTTAAAAAGAAGGAAAAATATATTATGGTGGTGGAAGGAAGACAACCCACCCCCCATGTTCTTTTTTTAAAAAAACTTTTCATCTCTTTATTTATTTTAAGCAATTTTTAATTAGTTTCTAAAGAAATACAAATACATTAACCATTAAACATCTACTGGTGTTTGTTTTATCCATTGTCTCTAGACATACAGTGTTGTATTGCTAAAGGAGAAATGGCAGCCTCATACTATGGGACTACATCATGCTCACTATTTGTTAAACTAAAACAAAAAACACCACCACCACCTCCTGCAAGAACTGTTCCAAAGTGGGTCCAAGCAGCAGGTGTCTCATGAAAACTTTACAGCGGAGGTGACAGAAACACTTTCAAATCACGGGGGGCTCAGAAAGGGCCATAGCTCGGTGGTAGAGCAATGCAGAAGGTCCTAGGTCTAATCCCTGGTATCTCCAGAGAGGGCTGGCAAATGACCCTTCTCTGAAAGCCCAGAGTGGGCAATCCTGCGCTCAATGGATCAGTGGTCCATCTTGGTACAAGGCAGTTCCCTTTGTCCTTAGCGCTTTCTGGAGTAGGGCTTTAAAAAAATATCTGCAGGTGTTTGAGAGGTGCTATGAACCCCCTGAAAACCCAGTTACAAGTAAAGTTGGGGCTCTTGTACAGCTGGGGGAATGGAAGGATACAAGTCACAGATAACAAGATCCAGGTAAACTGCACAAACCATTGAAGTGGTAATCCTGTCTATGTACACTTACCTAGGAATATGCTCTGCGGAACAACAGAGTGGTATTCAAAGTTAGTGCTACACAGAGTAGACCCATTGATGTTAATGGACACAAACAGTGGGTTCATTAATTTCAACGAGTCTACTCTGAACACAGCAGAACACATTGTAAATGTGCATAAGATCAGGTGTTAGCGTGTTTTAGATCATAAAAGTATCAAGTACAGGATCAGGTTTAAGGTGCTGGTTTTAACCTTTAAAGCCCTATACGGCCTAGGACCCTCGTACCTACGGGACCGCCTCTCCTGGTATGCCCCACAGGAATGCCCCAGAGGAACCTACGGTCTGCAAATAAAAACGTATTGAAGGTCCCAGGCCTCAGAGAGGTTAGGCTGGCCTCAACTAGAGCCAGGGCTTTTTCGGCTGTGGCTCCGATCTGGTGGAACACTCTGTCACAAGAGACCAGGGGCCTGCGGGACTTGACATCTTTCCGCAAGGCCTGCAAGACAGAGCTGTTCCACCAGGCCTTTGGTCAGGGCCCAGCCTGACTCCCTCCTCTAGCAACCTGCACAGAACTTTGCTTAACGGTTGCCATTAATTTGATTTTAATTAATTTTTATAATGAAATGTTTTAGAATGTTGGATTATTTGATTGTTTGATTATTTGATTGTTGTTAGCCGCCCTGAGCCTGGCTTTGGCTGGGGAGGGCGGGATATAAATAAAATTTATTATTATTATTATTAAGTACAATTTGGGGTGAGGGGGACCTCCCCCAAACCTCTTGGCCTTACTTCCATGTAAATGTGTTTGGACCTGGAATGCCCATCCTTAATATCCTTATATCAAAGTAAGCACCATAGAAACAGTTGATAGTAACAAACTAATAATGAATGCATTCAGGGAAAGGGTTACTGTACTATTATCTGCAAACATTCTTCTGTGCAGCTGCAAACTGCTTGTGCAAAATCTATATCCAGCTATTTAAGAACAGAAGGGAAACATTGGCTACTATTCAGCGATCTATAGCATGAATATTAAAATGACTGAAAGGGCAGGAGTCCCAAACTGGATGGTAGGAAGCATTCTCAAGGAGAAAATCCTGCAGGATATGGTGGGAGCTTTAATTTAAATGGGGGTTATAATGGACCTTCAGTTTAGAATTAGAAAGTTCTATTAGCAAATTATTGGTACATACGTTCGATCACGGTCAATGTTTTTAGGATTAAGATTAATGGGACTGTCATCTACATAATCTAGAAATAGCTGCACAATCCTAACCTCATCTTCTCTTAACTAAGTCCTATGGAATTCAATGAGGCTTACTCCCAGTTTAGCAGGGTTAGAATTGCAGCCTTAGTCTCTGTTTTTATTTAAATGAGATTGCTTCCAAAAATGTGCTTAGGGTATCATCCAAAACAGAAGTACATTCTATTAAAATATTGGCATTTACTTACAACATATTTTATAACTGATGTGTAAATCATCTTAAAGCCTAATATTTCAGTTGAGTTTGGACAGATAAGAGCATGATAAGAAAATCAATGAGATGCTTGAAAATGAGACATTTGTATTGGAAGGCTCCATAAAATTTTAACCCAGAGTAAATACTATGCCTAGGTTATTAAGAAGTATTAAATAGTCAAAGTGGGTGAAAAACTCAAGAATGATTATATTTCATTTTATATGTGTTTATTTCAAAAAGCGATGAAACATACAAAGGCAAATGGCAAAGCAAAGCAAATCCTTTAAAATACTGTTCTAGGATTGCAAAATAATCACAAATGAATTATTTGTAGTGTTGTAAACTAACATGCTTCTGTTTGAACTGTGAAGGTCAAAGTCATCAAAGGTTAGTGCCTCTGCCTTGACTTTTCAGACCTGCAATATCTTAAACATGCCTAGTCATATTATTTATAATAACTCATTTTACTTTTAAATATATTTATTTTAATCCAGCCGACGTTCAGACTTGCTGGTTAAGCTTGAGATGCACATTCAGCTGTCAGGAGGAATATTAAAATGTTGCAAAGAAGAGCAAGGAAAACTCAGTCACAAAGAAGTTGTTTTACAAGCAATATGTTGATTAATATAATATATGTTGATTAATCAGAATCTTCTCCCCTACTTCCATAGATTGTGAGGCAAGGCAAATGAGATGAGTGATTTATCAAAGAACATGTATTAAAAGTATTCCAGGTTCTTATGGCAACCATCACTAGAACTATTGGTACGTCTAGTACATGAACAAATATGAATATCTGAAGTTAAAACTTTAGTCTAAATTATAACAGGGCAGGGTTCTTAACATTGCAAATATTATTCTGTCTTTCTTTGCATAGAGGAAATCTCCTACAATAGTTTACATTTTAGAAAGCTGCTTTGCTTAAAACAAAAATGTTGCGATCCATTTGTTTCATTTTACTTTTGTATGTAGCACGCCCCTTAAGACATTAGATTTACTAGCATCTTTCACTGTTTCCTACCGCTGGTGAATGCCAAAGTCTTATTTGTTTTCTTTTGAATCCTTTCAAAAGCTACATTTTGAACCATTTGAACCATTTCATATCTGCATTTCAAAAGCTGAAATGGAAAAATAAACCACTTAAAGGCTAACTTGATTCTATTATTACATAAGACGTCCACCTATCCTTCAAGGGTTATTATGCAGGATTCTAAGGAGACTTAGGAGAGAGTGGCTGTTTTTGTAATAAATGAATCCTGTTTCAACTTCAACATCACTAAAGTCAACAATACATTGTCTGCATTTGAGTATGTTCTGCCTAGCCTGGATCGCTTTTAGGAACTCCAGGAACACTTCTGAAACATCAGTATCTGGGGCATTTTTAAGCAGGGTTTTTTCCCCTATCAGCTTTACTAATTTCATCTGATATAATTACAAATATGCGCCTTGGGCATCATCAGCAACTCACTTTTTCCTATTTCAGATTCAGCCATTTCTAATGAGAAGTATAAACAAGCAAGAGATCCTTCCTAATAAATATAATGTGTATAATATATATAATGTATATAATATAATATAATTCATTTCCTTTTATTTCATTGGGTAGCAATTCTGTCTGCTTCCTTCTCAAGTGTACTGTAAACTATCTGCATGATGGTTCTGTTTGCTTTTCACTTTCAAAGAAAAACTGAGCAGACCGTCTTCATATATCACACCATTCACTGTTGTGTAGATGCATTTGGAAGCCAACATCTACATGCTGCCATTTTATAGCATTGCTGTTTGCATTGCACATACAATTAGAGCATTCCTAAATAGGCAGTAAAGGATCTTCTCTGAGATCGCTCCAAAGTAAGCATGATTTAAGTGCCAATTTCAACCAATTCCCCCCCCAAAAGAAATATATAAAGATAATCAAGAACCCAAGGTCCTACCTTTCCCCGTGCACGTTGAGTTCCTAGATGGGATGCACTTCGCTCAAAAGCACACTGCGTCCTGTAGTCTGTGATCAACACTACAGTCAAAGCATCACGCATGACCTCTCTATATATATGCACACAGCAGTCGCCGCAACAAGTGGCTATCGAGAGTCCTACTTCATCCCCCTGTTTATCAAGTGAGGTTACTCATAGAAACAGATCCTTCAAGCAAACACTAAATCTCCATTGGGAGGAAACTGAATGATACACTTGGAGGAGGAGGGGGAGGAGGAACTTATTTTTGACATAGCAGATGAAAATACCCACAGCTATTGCACATACCATTTATTCTGTTAACCATGTAATATACATTGTCATTTTGACGTCCAGACCATTTCTCTTCTTCCATCACCTCCATGTCAATCCAATTCACTCATTCTTACCAATGATGAAATGGGGGCGGTGAGAGGAAACATGGACAGATTGTTATCCTAGATCCTGTATTTGCAGGACGTTTTAAAACCAGCCAGATTAAGCATCGGGAAGATGTTAGCCTTGATAAAGGAAGCCCCACTGGCTTTCTGTCTCCCTGAGACAATGAAATCACATAGTTGTGTCTGTGTGTCTTTCTGTTTGGGATTGTTCTGTTTTAACACATAAGAGATTGAAGGTCGACTACTAGTCTTAATTAACTCAAGTTAAACTAATGAGGGTGGTGGGAGGGAGAGGGAGAGATTGAAGGTTGGGGGAGGGGTGGCTACAGAAAGAAAACGGATCATTAACCAAGAAGGGTTCAGTTTCAGCTAAGAGCTAGGTGGAGGAATGGATACAGCCAGAAAGTTCGCTAAATGCTATTCTTTTGATGCTGTAAGTAAATATTTAACTTGCATCTGGGAGAAGCCATCAAAGACCATCTGGAGTTAAATTCCAGTTCCTATTTTCATTTGGATGCATTTCAAACTAGATTCCAAAGCCAAAGGCTTTCTACTATCCCTACTCTGCCCACTCTGCTTCACTTCAACATATTATTGTCCTTATGTGGAGGCTGTACAGGTTTATTTAAGAGCCATAACATCAAGCCCTGCCTGGTTATGGGCAACTTCTGTGATACATCCAAAGCCTACAGCACCGGCCTCCACTAGAAACCTCCAAGAGCGGTGTGGTTTCTCCACAATGCCTACTATCCATGTTGTCAGCAGCATGCCTTGTTTTGGCCTCTGAACAAAAAAAGGGAGAACTATTTTTCAGCATCCTTCATGCAGAGTGGCAGAAGATATAGACTATATATGTAGAATATATAGTTAAAAAATTAAATGGCATTATTTCCGTACACTCTTGGCTTTGTTTTCCCAAGATAGTCTACGCAACACTGGATTTAGGGCTGTGTGTGAGGTTTCCCCGTGCAGGCGCTGAGCCAAGGGGTCTCAGAACGGAAGGTGAGAGGGAGGGGGCATGAAAATATGAAATATTGGGCAGGGCACCAAATTTTGTCATTGCTCAGGGTGCCATATTACCAAAGTCCTCCCCTGGTCTAAGCTAGTGCATAGTATATCAGACGTACCAATCTAAGACCTGAGAAGAACCATTCATCCTATGAGATCTTTGTTGATAAAAGTACCTGCTGTGCAAAGATTTGGCCTGACACAGGTAGAAACCCATGGTGCAATTATAGGGTGGCCTGGAACCCATGAGTTCTCAGGCATCTCTCAGGATCCTTAAGCAATGATACACGCGTTGCAAAGTATGGAACAAAATGGGCCACTTAGCAGCAGACGTGGCACACAGAGGATGCATATGCAAAGTGAATGAGATGGCAGCCACCCACCTCAGCTTTGTCCTTCAAGGTGTGATAAGGCTCCTGACCAAACAATTCCTGCTTTCTCCTGTTTTAATGCACAAACCACTTACATGAATGCAGCCATGCCAGCTCACTAAATCACTTAGTTTTGCTGCTTGCCTCAGATTTCCAATGGACCAAGCCTTGGACAGGGTGCATGTCTGGAAGGTTTGAGTTCTTTTTAGTAGGTCACAAATTTTGTCAGCTTGATTTCATACAACTGGTGGAGGAATTTTCTGCTGTTCAAATAAAACATAAAATAGTAAAAGGGGATATTTAGACAAGGTTATAAGAAAAGCAATGGGCATCAAGTTTGGGGTTATCCCAAAGGATGTGCCATCTGTGGTGTCCCCTCAAGTAGGTTAGTGGGGCTGGTTCATCAGTTGTGCCTTGTGGCTGCTGATCCTTCACAGTGCTGTCCACTGAGGATCAGCAGGGATCAGCAGATGGGATCACATAAGAGATTTCTGTATCCTGCTTAATTAGCACTTTTGCTCCTCCACACCTCTAGACTAAATTTCTTTGAGAAGAATCTGAACCTGTTTCACCACACCCTTTTCTTTCTTTCTTTCTTTCTTTCTTTCTTTCTTTCTTTCTTTCTTTCTTTCTTTCTTTCTTTTCAGATTTATCAGGATGTTTATCTTGGCAATTGTGCAGCTTCCAGGATTTTGATATGGGTTAGAGTGAACAAGCTGAAGCTTAATCCATACAAGATGGCGGTACCGCGGGTAAGGAAACTGGCTGAGGGGTGCATCAGGTGTGTGTGCCGGGGCCATATTCTCCTTGAAGGGCCATGTTTGCACATGGGAGTCCTGGTATGCCAGCTGTGACCCAACCTAGAAAAAGTAGACCTAGTAGTGGATAGACATGTCCTTGTTACACCCATACTAGACTACATACATGGGGCTGCCTTTGAAGACTATGTGAAAACTTCAGCTGGTGCAGGAAAGTGGTTGCTAGAGTGCTCAGTGGGACCAGGTGGTCAGATTACATTACACTGGTGGTTCTGTGCTGGTTCTGCTGGTTACCAGTGCATTTCCAGGTCCAATTTGAAGTGCTGGCTTTGTCCTTTAAAGCCTTAAGTGGTTTAGTGCCAGGCTATTTGAGGGGCCACCCGCACCCATATGAGCCCACCCACTGGAAGCCCTGAACATAGGCTCATCTTTAAAAATTAGATGCCTGGGCACTCTGGTGCGGTATTCAAAGTCTTTAAAAACTGTTTAAAATGGCTCGCAACTGATGTGTTTGATAGGCTGCTATTAGATAATTTTACTGCTGTGGTTGGAAATTGTTTTATTCTGGTTTACATTTTTGTGTATTGCTATTTTTATATTTTGGTGGTGTTTATATATGTGTGTAGTACAGTTGTATTGATGCCACCTTGGGTGGACACGGTCTGGAAAGATGGCTTATATATATATTTATTGTGTGTGTGTATGGTACAGAAAGGCAAAAGTCATTGCCAGTGGAAAACACTGTAGTGAAGACTAGTGCATTTGTCTACTAATTAATTAATCAGAGGCAGAAGCCTAGGCCAAGAATTCTTTGGAACAATTTACAAAATGCCGCTCCTGAAAGGCAGCAAGTGATCTCATGCAGTGGGGTTTTGGTTAATTAAGAAAAGTAGGAGGAGTTTCAGCAGGAGGAGATCTAGGACCCAAGGGGGCAGGAGAAGGGGAGGATGGGTCGTAGGTTCTCTGTGTTTCAGGTCAGTTACAAAAGGAAAGCAAAGCCTTTGGCAAAGCCTTTGTTGTCTATACATGTGTATCTGTCTTCATCAGCCTTGGCCTTGACCGGGGTTAATAAAAGCACTACTTGCTTTAAGAAGAGCCGAGGGAATGTGACAGGTAACTGAGAAGGAAACTGCCGGCTGCCTTTGGCTTTGCTGTCGTTATTTGTGTCTAACGAGGCCAGCTCGTCGCCAGCCTCTTTGCAGATGAAATGAAGCGATGGGCCCAGCAAGGCAAAGGAGGCGCCGTGTCCTGACAGGCTGAGGTGTGACCTGATGTATCCTAACCATCCCAGACAATGTCAGAAGAACAAGGGAGAAGAGTGAAAAGGTGGAGGGGTCCAAAGTCCGGACTTGGGGTACCCGGAGAAAGGGAATGAAGGAAGAGGATGACAATATGCAGCACGTCATGAAAAGGTGGGAGATAAATTATTCTCCTCCTCTTCTTGGTTACTACAAAAGAGTCTATAAGCAATTGATAAAAAGGTTAAAAGCTGAAATGGCATCACATATAAAATAATATGTTTCAACAAAACCATTCCAATAACACACAAGGAAGCCCAGCAGAAAAACAACACTAACTCCAGCAGCAAGACTGTTTCATTCATCAGCCAGTCGTCACAGAGCTATCAGATGCGTGGGAGAAAAGATAAGTTTTAACCTGGTGTCAAAAGGATGTACTTGATGGCACCAGGTGGGCCTTGCCAGAGAAGAGCATTCCACTGATGGGGGTCCACAACTAAAAAGGCCCTCTGCCTTGGGAGACAAGCCTCAGATGAAGACTGAGAGGTCCACATAAGTACCTATATAGAGAGGTGCTCTGAAAGGTATTGGGATCCTGAGTCATAAAGTCATAAGGAGAACCACTGGATTCTAAGCTCACTCTGCTTTCATCACTTGAGGGCATCAGCCCCACACTTGGTCCAATTGCTGCACCAGTTTAAGGCTTGCACAGCAATTTTGCTGCTGCTCACCTTTCACAATGGCGAGGGTTATTCATTTGCGTGTTCAGACCCAGAAACCTCCCCCCTAAATAAATTCATACATGACGCAAATTTTGGTTTGGTTTTTGGTAGAATTTAGGCCACAACTTTATTGATTACAGAAAGTGATTGGTTGCATAGGCTCTGGTCTGATTAGCTCCCTGCCATGCAGGTATCGCTGATCCAGGGGACCAGCATAGCTCAGCTAGGGTGAACACCTGGATAAGCAGAAAGCCGGGAACAGGCTAACTCCACCACTCAAATGTTCCCCTGGACTCAGGCACAGGCACAAACCATTGAGTCCCTGGATTCCTTTAATGGAATACCCTTCACAGAGGGATGGCAAGAGCGTTCTCCCATCCCTGTCACCTGAACCACAGCCTATCCACAACCTTACAAGTTGTGACGATTTGCTACGTGGCAGGCGAAACCCAAATGGCAACAGCCAATCAGCCAAGTGGGGGAAATTCCTGCCGTGCCCCTGTCCCAACGACAGATGACACACGACGGCATAGCAAGGTCAAGTGCAGGCCCTAAAAGCAGGGAGAGGTGGGCCGGTGTTCCGAATGCACGTGCTGAAAGAAGAAGCTCTGGGTCACGTGCATGGGCATAAATAGGTCCCTTGAACCGTTTGGACTGTGTCCCATTGGCCAGCTTGAACCCAGCTT